CCCCCCCCCCCCCCCCCCCCCCCCCCCCCCCTCCTCCAATCCCGCCTCTCGCAAGCTGCCGTCTGTGCCTGCTCCCAGCGTCGCAATGACGGTTGCTTACGACTCTTCGTTCCGGGGTTGGTCCTCGGGCTCGCACGGCGCTGTCTGCCTCGAGGACAAGTTCGAGGTCCTGAAGGATGTCGGTGACGGAAGCTTTGGCAGCGTCTCGCTGGCACGCGTGCGGAGCGCCGGCGCTCACATCGCACGGAGAGGAACCTTGGTACGCCCTCCAGCCCGCAAGCCCGCACTCACCCGCCAGCCCGGAAGCTGACTTGCCCCTCCCCGCAGGTTGCCATCAAGACGATGAAGAAGACGTTTGACAACTTCAACCAATGTCTGGAGCTAAGAGAAGTCATCTTCCTGCGATCGTTACCCAACCACCCGCACCTGGTGCCCTCGCTCGACATCTTCCTGGATCCCATGAGCAAGAAGCTGCACATCGCCATGGAGTACATGGACGGCAACCTCTACCAGCTCATGAAGGCGCGCGACCACAAGCGCCTGGACTGCTCCACCGTCAAGAGCATCCTCTTCCAGATCATCTCCGGTCTCGAGCACATCCACGAGAACAACTTCTTCCACCGCGACATCAAGCCCGAGAACATCCTCGTTTCGACGTCTGCCCCCGACACAGGCAACGCCTTCAAGAGATATTCCTCCCTCGTCACTCCTCCCTCCACTCCTCCCTCGTACACCATCAAGATCGCCGACTTCGGTCTCGCAAGAGAAACCCACTCCAAGCTCCCCTACACCACCTACGTCTCGACCCGTTGGTACAGAGCACCCGAGGTCCTCCTTCGTGCCGGCGAGTACTCGGCGCCCGTCGACATCTGGGCCGTCGGTGCCATGGCTGTGGAGATCGCAACCCTCAAGCCCCTCTTCCCCGGCGGCAACGAGGTCGATCAGGTCTGGAGGGTGTGCGAGATTATGGGCAGCCCTGGCAGCTGGGTCAACAAGCACGGCGCCAAGGTCGGTGGCGGTGAGTGGAAGGATGGCATCAGACTGGCACAGAAGCTTGGCTTCTCGTTTCCCAAGGTAAATTTCCCACTGTCGAGTCGCGCGCGCGCGCTTTGGAACGCGAAAGCTGATTGTGTTGCGTTGCAGATGGCACCCCACGCCATGGATACCATCCTGCAGTCGCCCGAGTGGCCTGCAAGCCTGGCACAGTTTGTCACTTGGTGTTTGATGTGGGATCCCAAGTCCCGCCCGACTTCTACTCAGGCTCTGTGCCACGAGTTTTTCCAGGACGCCGTCGACCCGCTCCGCCCCAAATCGTCCGCGTCGCGTTTCCTCAACCGCAAGCACTCCGACATGAGCAACACGTCCGGCAAGGACTCGACCGATACGCCCAGCCTCACCTCGAAGACGTCGTCTTGGTTCCGCAAGTCTTTGGTCGCCCGGGATAGCTCCCCCGCCGTTCCGCAGCACATCAGCGCGCCGAAACCCCTTTCGCCCCAACCGTCACCCCAAGCCTCGAACACGTCCGCCGGCACCCTCACGACCAAGCAGAGACGAGACGCAGCAAAGAGGGCCACGTGGACGAACGGTGTGTCAGGGAATGGTGCGCCAATGCAAATACTACCTTCAATACGACCCATCTCACCTCTTCCCGATGCAGTCACCGCCCAGGCCAACCAGACGCCCAATGCGAACGAGAAAGCCACGAAGAAGATCGGCCGCCAGTTGTCGCTCGCGTCGCACGGTAACCACTACGCAGATATCCACCGCGCCGAAGCGGAACGTGCCCTGAACGGAGGCTCCGGCCTCGCATCCCCGTCGAATCCATTCAAGGAGGGCTTCTTCTCACATCTTCGCAAGCGTGCAAGGCGACTTTCCGGTCGGTACCAAGCTCCACCTTCTCCCTCGTCAGGCGACATCGAAGCAAGCGCAGGATGTCTAGCTTGGGGCAGCAGCAGCAACCGGCACTCAATGAACATTGATCCCCCACCTGCACCCACTAGCAACCCAATGCAACAGTCAGACTTTGCTGAGATGGACAAGGCCTTGCAGCACGTGCGTTATAGTTTGGAAGGACTCTCCCCGGCCGGTAGCGTGAAGGCGTCCCCCTCGCCGCGTGTAGCAAGCAACCCGATGCTGAAGCGCCACCACTCCCTGCCCCACGGAAGCGACAGCAACGGCCGAGGCCCTGTTTCGAGTCGGACTCGCCGCGCTGTCCAGCAGCAACCCTCGGCCGGCCACCGTTACGAGACGCCCAACGAAGAGGAAGAGCTCCTCGACGAGGCGCTGCTTTCCGCACACAAGGCTTCGAAGCGAATGGCGAGCGGCCCCACAAGTAATCCTGCATATCTGACACCTTCTCCATCCGCAAATCGCAACGTCAGCTTTGGCAATGGCAGTTATTCGACCCCCACCAAGCCCGTCGAGATCGCAAAGCGCCAGCAGCCGCACGCGGCCGATCCCAAGTGGCCGACGCCGCCGTACGAGGAGAACGAGTGGGCGGCGGCTGCAGCAGCGAGCATCTTCGCGGCGCAGAACGCCTACCGGTGACCGAGATCCCTCACTGAATCGCAAATTTGACGTTTATTCTTGCACATACGACTAATCTTAATCGGATCGAAAAAATCAACCTCTTGACGGCCACTTTCTCAGCGATTTCGGAGCGGCGTCATTACGTATCCCCCCCAAATTACACGGGAAATCTCCGTCAGGAACGGACTGGTGGCATCTAAGACATAAAATGGAAGGAGCACAGGAGCATTTTGGTGTTTGGCGGCGTTTTTCCACCGCAACGTCGATTTCGACATTTTCTGGCTCGTACGCCCGAGCCTTGTCTGCATTTATTTCGCCCGATTCTTTCCATCGGAGTTGCGACAATCTTGGCGGCATAACTTTGCTCATATCTACGGTGTCTTGGGAAGTACAGGGGGGAATCTGGGAATTAGGTAGTCGTTTTCCTTTTCTTGTTCGCTTCATACCCCCTCCGGCCTTCGCGGAATGGGCCTGGCTGTTTGATGTTTTTTTTCCACTGCGCTGTCATTAGTCCCACATGTTCTGGGCGACATACATTACTACTCACATCACACCAGCTATCGGGCACTGCTTAGTTAGAGTTTACAGCATACCCTTGTTTCTACCAGCACGGAAAGCGAGTTTGCTTTGCTCGGCGCTATACCCCCTTTTGTTACCGCTTTTTGTTGACTTTTGATTTGAGACTTGCCCTTTTTCGGGTCGGGCAGGAGGATTTTTATTCGGGAGCGAAAGAACAGAGTACAGCTTGTACAGCATCAACACAACCATCCATCCAACCAACCACACAGAGCGGCGGCGGGTAGCATCCCCCACTTTTATTTCTTTGCACAAAATATGGGCGCCCAGCCTTTGCACAATCTTTCTCTCCCATGTCCTATCACTACAGCCCTTTTTTCTTATTTTCCTTATGGTTCTCGTCGTCATCTAGCTAGTCAGGAAGCACAGAAAGAAAGAGCAGCACACAAAAAAAAAAGAGAAAATCCAACCGCGAGAAAAGGCATTGGCAACTCGCGAACACTACATCAAAGAAGCAGAACTTTTCCTATCAAATCTCAAACTCGTTTCTCCCGCTCTCAGTCTCGTCTGCTCTACTCTCTCTCTCTCTCTCTCTTTTTCTCCATCTCTTGAAGTCTTCAACACGCAGGAAAAGTGGCCGCGGGGGAGATGTGAAAGCACGCCGTAACGCTGGGCTACTGCAGAAAAGGAAAAGAGCCGAGAATATACCAACGAACGAGAAGGAAGGGATGGGATGGGGGATCCATTATTCAAGTGGGTGGTGGGCCGCGCTCTGTGGACGAAAAGGGAAGATACGGTGTGGAGGATCACACGACGATGCAGCGACTTAGCGTCCCGTTGGGGCGTCCGTTAAAAGTGGGCTTTGGCGTTTTTCCACCCCCCCAGCGCCGGTTTTCCCATTGGTCCGTCTTGGTTCGCGCGGCGGTCTAGACCGCCTTTTTCTGTTCTCTCTCGTCAACTGCTACGCTCGGTTCTGATGGTGCGGTTTCGAGCGGCTTACTACCGTTGTACTCTGTCTTTCTCTTGTTACTTTCACCGGTCTTTTCTTACGGTTGGGTTGAACTGGTAAGGGGTGGGTGGGGTGGGGTGGGTTTCTTTGTCCGCCAAAGGCTGGGCTGCTAGATGGATGGTAGGTATCGGGTTGCTCTGCTTCTTCTTCTTCTTCTTCATCTTCACCTTCCACAGCCATTGCTGCTTACACTTTTTACTGTCGTTGCGGAGACACACCTTATACGCGCCATATATTTTTGTATTATACCTATCTTTTTTTTTTTTATAATCCTTGTAGAACCCTCACTTTTGTTTGTAATTCGCCGGCTGGATTTCCGGTCCTCTTCTTTGCCTTCTGTTCTATTCTGCTCGACCTTTTGGTTTCATGTTTGGTCTTGTCTTGTTCTTCGCGCTTATATCACACGTAAGGGAATGTGGGACCTGGGTGAAGTGTGCGTCGTACACACAGACACAGGAGAAGAGAGATGAAACGAAGCTAGATAGAAGGATGGTCTGGGATTTACGGTCGGTGTGTGGGAGAGAGGAGGGTGGGAGCGCAGGGAGATCAGTCAGTCAATCAATCCGATTGCAGGAACAACGCCATTCGCACCTGAAGATGGCGGTGGTTCCTCTTGATCCCATCAGTTTTGACTGCTTCATCCTCTGTTGTTGCTTGTTGTTTCGCGTGGTCAATGTGCTGCTGCTGCTACTACTACTACTACTCCTTTCTTCCCTGCCCACCGCTCACGAGGTGGGTGGGTGAAACGTGGTTCGTCCTTCTACTCCATCCTGGAAGTGGGCTTGAGAAGCGGTATGTACGTGTGATACACCCGTGCTCTCTGGGAAGGTAAGAGCCGCTCAATGCATCATCTCCTGCGGGCCGGCAGCAAGAAACGTAGTGAAAAGGGGGAGGGAAAAAAGGGAGAGGGGAATGTGTGAGCAGCCATAGCATAGCTCCTACAATTTTTCTTATACACGCTAGGTCATCCCCGTGTCTGTATATATCAAACGGGCGACGGGTATAGCAGTGGTATTGGTGTGAGCCAGATCCGAACTTCGGAGCCGAGAGACGGCAGCAGGAAGCATCAACACATGATGGCACTTTTCTTTTTTGCTTTAACCGAGGGGGTGAGTGGCAGCCAATAATGGCCGATGATGATGGAAATTTTTCATGCGAGATTGACGCGATGGTCGCGGCGGTGCCATGATGCTTTCTGGGAAAGAAATAGTGATGTTGCGATGTGCGATACGATACGGGCGGGCGGCATTAAAAAAGTTGCCGGGGTACGATTGGGGGAGGGGGAGGGGGGCAGGCGTCCGTATGGAACGGAAATTTTGGTGAGTCCTATCGGCCGGCAGTACGCGGTCGTCGGTCACGAAAACATCAATCCCCCGGGGCCATGGTCTATTTGGAGACGGTGACAACGACAACGACAACGACAGTGGCGGCGCGGGCAAAGTACTGTTGATCCTCTCCCCCTTCCATCTGGGTTTCCATGGGTGGATGAGTAAGGGCAGAAACAAAGGGAGCCGAAGCCGAGCATCGGCAAGTGGGCGCGGCGGTGAGCGAGCAGCAAGAAAAGACGCCGTCGCCGATGGTTGGTTGAGGTGATGTCGATTTTATGTTTTTGCATAAAGTTTTGCGTGGGCACTCTCCTCCTTCCCCCATGCGAGCTAGCGCATGGCACGTGTGGGGAGAGGGTTGACGCATAAGCCGTAATGCACACTGCACACTGCACACTGGTCGCTCGCCTTCCTTCTTCCGCCGCCCTCGGTGCGGAGCGGAAAAGGATCAGGCAGTCAGTGGTCGGCTGCTAGAGAGACTGAGCGGCGGCGGCGGTGTGCGTTGGAGGGCCTTTCTCCCATGACTACACAGTGCGTGGGGATGGGCAGGTTGCGCTGTGCGCGCCTTGTGGGACGCGTCTTTTTTGACTTTTGCACTGCCACCTGGGACTGTCCCTTTGGTCGTGGCAGTGGTGATGGCAAGAGAGTGGAGGATGGACGGACCCTGGGGCCGTTTGCATGTGCTGATGATGTGCTGGAAAATGGTGAGGCGGACGGGCGGGCGCCACAAACGAACAACAACGCACACCACACACAGAGTGATGACTCCACCAGGCCGGGCTACGTAGCTGGCTGGCTGGCTGGCTGGCGGGCTGGCTGGCTGGAGCTAGCCGTGTGTCATATGGATTCGGTCGACAGAGAATTGGGCTTCCCGTCTTGTGTGACGTGGACCGAGTTGCTACTGTGTGTGCTGGTCGTGCGATAGGCGCATCCATCGCACATCAAGATGCTGCGGTGGCTGGTTGGTTGGCGCCGGGCTAATCACGACCGTCACGTACGCGCGCCTGTATGATTGATGGTTCTCGTTGCCCATCCGCCCACATTTGTAGGCCCTGCATGGGTTCCCTTTTGCTGTCAGCCAACCGGTGCGCCATGTCCAGCGTCGGACGATTATGCAAGACCGTTGGCGGCTGCATGCTGCAGACAAATCCGTCCTGAGACTTGCGAAGCCTTTATTGTTTTCTCCGACGGAGCCGCGCTAGCACTGGCTGTTGAGTCGGCCGGGCAACGACTCTCAGATGCCAATAGATCCAACACCCGGCAGAGCAACGCCGTCTGGATGCAGGTGCAAGGTATGGCCGCAAGGGAGAGCAGGTTTCCAATAAAGCGCCACCCCCGGCTCCTGCGACCTCACTCCACATGGCTGTTGTGAAAGAAACCGGGGATAGTGCTTCCGCGCCTTTCTTTTCTTTTTCCAATGCCGCGGGTGCTGCGTCACATGTCGATGAAATGCTGAAAGAGAGCTGCGTAGCCATGTAAGATTTACCCATGGTGACGCGTCTCATGAACCTCTGTTTTCTCGCGTGGCTGGGTCTATCATCTACCACCCCGCGCTCGCTCGCTTGCATGCTCTCCTCTCTCTCATCAGGGGTTTCCTGACCAGAAGAGCTCGCTTAGCGGGGTCGTAACGGCGGCGGAAAAAAAGCAGCAATATCAACAGTCACGACAACACGACGTTCAAGCCAAAAGGCAAAACAGGGGTAGGCAGCGGCAAGGCCCGTCGGTAAGGCTGGAGATTCCCGATCCCTGAGTTTCGTGGAGAGGCAAAGACGACAATGCAGAAGAGCAGTGACTACCTTGGCGTCAACGCGTGTTTCGAGAAAAAAGGGAAAAAAAAAACCACGATGGCCCGAGTTCTTCTGATGAGACAAGTGTTTGGATTAAACAGAGAAAAAAAGATGGAGATGGAAACCATGTGACCACAACTTGACGCAATGCACGCCGACGATCCGTGGTATGGATGTACTGTTACGCTGCTGCAGCAGTTGGTGCGACGTGTCTTCGACGCTCCCATCATCGGAAGAAGAGCGGTCTGTTGCTCCGTCCGTCCCTGCTCGATTCTTTGGTGTATGCAGTCACGCAGTGCACGGCGGCCGCCGATGTACGCCGGCTTGACCGCAACCTCTTGCCGTGTTCCCATCTCTCTCGCTCGCCGATAAGCGAGAAGAAAAGGACGCGGCGCGCCGGCCAAAAGTGCTCGATCGAAGCTGGCTTCGGGCGGCATGGTCGGGCCTGAGGATCATTCCACTCACCGGTCGTCTCACAAATTGGAATTTTCCTTGATCTTTGAAAGACGACTGTTGACTCTGACACGGGTCCGTTCGGAAAGCACCGCACCGCAGCGCACCGCAGCGCACCGCAGCGCACCGCAGGCAGCGGCAAAAGGCGAGATGCAAGATGCGGTGGGAGGAGGAACGACTCGAGCCGGGGGCCGCCATGCGGCTGTGCGGCGAGGGGTGGAGTCTGTCGGCTGCTTACTACGCATCGTGTGTCGGTTCTGTCCGACTTAGTGATGATGGATTGCCCGCACAGCCACAAGATGAACGCCACACGGCAGCTGATGCCATACCGCCACCTCATTGCTCTTCTGCGCCGGGCCCCCGTTCGTCCATGGGCCAGAGATCAAGGTTCTGCCTTGTTGGACCCCCAATGTGGGTAGCGGACGCGTCCTGTTGCAGCCGCTTGGTCTCCTTTGAGCTGACCGGAAAGCCTTGTATGGACGCACTAGGCCGCTTCGCACACGATGCTATTCCTGGTGTTGAGCTTGTTTTCGCTTCCTGCCCAACGCCGTTGTTGCCCACATCACATGCATATGCGGTGCCTTCGTGTTCCATTATTCGTTCGTTCGTCCGGGCGAGAGAGGCGGTGAGAAGGAAGAGATGGAAGGCGACGCGTGCGGCGTGCGGCGTGCGGGAATCTCATCGCCGCACGCCGTGCCTTCCTGTGGACCGTATCGCGTCGCTGGCCAATGGGACGGCTCCCGCTAACTCGGCTCGGCGAAAAACGCGTCCGCTGCCAGTAGTGCTGCCAGTGCTGCCAGTGCTGCCACTCTCTGCCAGTGCTGCCACCACTTCTTTCCACCGATCATCTCGATCAACTGCGTGCCGCTCGTCGCCATGCCGCATCCGAACAAGGGCCGGCTGCCGGGAACCGGTCTACCACCATGCATGGCCATCTGTGGCGACCGAAACGCTGCACGCTGCGAACGCTTTTCGACTTTGATGAGGCGGTGTCGAATGGGGAAATGGCGTAGCGTTCTTTTCCACCGTGGGGCCTTTTTTCCTGGTGGTGGAGACGACACCTCTTCCCTTGGCCTTCGACGGACAGCAGCACAGATGTGGGGTGGAGACCAACACGGCAACGTTCGCTGTCGCTGTCGCCGTCGCCGTCGTCGGTGTCGTTGGGCGTGTGGGCGGGCATGGTGCGTGTGCCGGCGCCTGCGCCATGCCCCCGTGATGCCCTAAATTTCTGGAAAAAGTCATGGGGGGTACTTTGGCCCGCGCCATGCCGACCATCACTGGAGTTCGTCGTTTCGGAGACGCGTTCCGGACAGCCTTGTGCATGGATCCGGCAGGGAGCCTGCGAGGAGAAAGCCGCCGCTCGTTGTTCTAGAAGCTTGCTTCCAAGCATGTCGTGCAGGTTTCACGCCTCTGTTATCGGCAAGTGGGCCCTTTATTGACGGTGGCGGTCTGTCTCTGCTTGCCCCATCCGGCCGACTCGGAGACGAGAGCGTGTGGATCGACGCGGGCATTGTGGTCCTGAGCGGTGAACCATGGCAGGTGGCCTTTTCTGCCGCTTGGGCGTCGGTCGAGGCTTGCTCCTTTGGGAAGGTGACGAGAGGTGCCATCGCCGATGGCAATGAATTATGCAGACACGCTTCAACAGTGCACCGGGCCAATCTATCAGACGCAGCTTGAGAGAAACTCTCGTACTCTCCGTGCTGCCTGCCCGTCTTCCCCTGACATCAAACCGCCTGATGTTTGTAGGCCTCATAGCTCACAGAAAGGGGCCGAGACCTTGATAGTAATCGAGCCATGAATTGCCTCCTCGAACCATTGGCATCTGCCCGTAGGCCAAAAACACTTGACTTTGCTCTTGACTGCGCTTCGTGCTGTGCTATGCTTAGGCCAGCCTATTTCCGGGCCAACAAACCTACATTGAAGTTGCTTGATAGAGGCTTCTATGTTCCGAGTGACACTATACTCATCCCGCAGGGGCATTTGAAGCGCACATCTGCATACGTATATATATATTCCCAACTGATGCAAAAGCATTCAGACAAACAATTCGATCATCTACTCAAGTAGAAGACGTTGTTCTTGGCAAGGCAGTATTGGGAAAATGCCAAACACTTCACTGTTGTAGACTTTTGACGCCACTGCTCCATCACCTGAGGCTGTGGATCGTCATTGCGACACATACTGCCATTAATCATGAGCCGATCAAATGTCGCGCCAGATCGGAGGCGCAACGAGTCAAACGCTCTTTTATACGAAGAAAGAGCACGGCAGCGCATCAACATGTCTGGGTTGGTCCACGTAAGTCCCTCGAGTGGCAAATGAATAGCATTTCTTTGCATTCCACGTCTCCAAATCCACGTCCCGCCTATCTTGAACGCCTTCGCGCCATAACCCCCGTTCCTTACATGGCCAGCTTCTTTGGGGAGAATGTAGATCACTGACATGGTGTATGTGCAGGAACCCTCTGTGGGCGAAGATTTCCTCCGCATCGCAATCTCCCATGGCTGTATTATGAGACAGGTCAAACTCGGTCTCGGAACTCGCGAGGCCATGTCGTCGTGTCTCGTGGAATGCGGTTCCTATCACCACGCTTGCCGAAACCGCCCGCCTGCACGTTACACGTAGCGCACCCTCTGTCGAGCAGATCCTCTTTACGAGTGAGGGTAGAACCAAACCATCGGCTCGTCATTCATTGGCGGGGTGCGCCATTTCTCCTCCCCATTGGCCCTCCGCCCTGCCGCCGCCCGCATGCTGCAAAGTGCCCGATTAGGCAATCCCCCACGACACCCCGCGTAGCCGAGCATGCCCACCACTGGCACGCCACTCGTCTTATCTGCAGCATCCGCTGCCGTCACATGTTCGCCGTTCATGCAAAGCTGTGCTGGCTCGAGACAGTCTCGCCATGAGGCTGAAGAAACCATCTATTTATCCCCCTCCAACACCTTTCCGTCCGAGCACGACGGCGCGTTTGGTGAGGTTTCAGCCCGGCGCCTTCCTGCGAAATTATTTTCTCTTCCCCCCTCCTCTTCCACACCATGCCAACACCCCCCCGCAGCCACGATGCGTCCCAAGCAACATGAACCCACCCGCCGCGGCACCGGCACCGGCACCATGAACAACAAGAAGAAGAAATCGCACCCGCACCACCACCACAAAAAGCCCCCCAAATCCATCCTCAAGAACCGCAAGCCACCAACCCCAACAACCAGCGCCGCCGCCGCCGACGCCGACGCGCCCATCCCCCCCACCGAAGCCGACCTCCCTCCCGCCGAAGCCGACCCCCCTCCCGCCGCCGCCGCCGCCGACAACGAACCCCCCTCCCACGACCGCAACAGCGCCGACGCCCACTCCCCCCCTCCCACCATCGCCACCAACTCCAAGCGCGCGTGCCAGCTGCTCCTGCGCATCAAAGCCGACCAGAGCCCCGTCGCGGCCTTTTTCGGCATCGCGCGGCTCAAGGGCGCGGCGGCGGAGCTGCACCGGCTGCTGGCCGAGGAAGGGGAGCGCGTGCGGACGGGGGAGAGGGACGTGCGGAGGTTGTTGCGGTTGCGTGGTGGGGGCGTGGGGGAGATTAACAAGGGGGGTGGGGGTGGGGTGAGGGAGTGGGAGTGGTTGGAGCGGGATGAGGAGGTTTTGGGGAAGACTGGTGAGTGATTGAGCTTTTTTTCTTCCTCTTTTTTTTTATTGGGGGGAGGGGAGTAGAGGAGGAGAGGGAAGGGTGTTTTTTATATATATATATTTTTGAGAAAGAGAGAGAAAGAAATAAAGAGACAGAAAGAGAGAGAGACAGAGAGGCGAACAGAGAGGCGAGCGGGACAACGGCTGATGTGACGCTTGTTTTCTCCCTTTTCCTCAATAGTGCAAACGAAGACGGAATTTGTATCCATCAACAGCCAGTTCAACAAGATCGTCGTCACGCCACTGGAGAAGTCTTTCCGGAACCACGGCCGCTCGCAACCGGACTATGGCCACCTCCGCAGACAGGCGGAACTGCTGCTGGAGCAGGCGCGCGAGGCGCGCAACGCGCTGAAGACGGCGGTCAAAGATGCGAAGAGGAGGAATTCTTCAGCAAGCGAGGACGTCGAGCCGGATCCGCTGCAGTTCAAGATTCCGGTTCAGCATAGGAAGCGGCGCAAGAGGCATTCGCAGGGGAGGAAGAAGCTTTAGCCTTGCAAAGACAAGAGGGAGTTACTGGGTGACGTGCGTTTGGGGTTGGTCGTTGGGCTGGAGTTTGGGGTAGCATTTCGGTATGTCATGGTCTTTCTATTTCCAGGGCGTATGGCGCACGTTCTTTGATAAGGTGCTTCTCCGTCGCCATAAAAGGCGAAGGGGGGTTCCATGGAGAGGCGAGCTTGTATATATACTGTATCCTTTGTATCTCTTTACTTCGTCGAAGCCCTCGTTTTTGGACATCACTTCTCGAATACCAGATGACTTCAAGCGCACATGCCCCGAAGACTATGGGATTGCCATCGTGTGATATGAACGTGTTCGTCAGACCGTTGCGGTAGAGCCTATAATATTCTGCGACGCATTGTGTGGGTATCTGGCTGCGTTGATTATTCGTAAGCGATTTAAAATCAACAACCACTTCGTACTTGCCAGTCTAGTTATTTTCAGCCCACAAACACCACCACACACCCATCACTAACTAGACTACTCCTTCCTCAACTGAACCTAAACTTCCAAAACACACCACTACCACCCCGCCCTCACTCACGCACGCACGCCATTCCCTCCCCCACCAGCCCCCATCACCTCCACATCCACCCCCTCCCTCACCAACACATAAACCCAATGCGCCGTCTTCGGCCTATGCACCAGCCTTCCCCCACCATCCTCATCTCCCTCCCCCTCCTCCACCTCCACCATCTCCTTCCTTTCCAGCCGCCACAAACGCCCCGGATGCACGAACCCCCTCTCCAACAACTCCTTATCCAACCTCCCCTCGTCGACCCGCGCGGGGAACGGCTCGAAGAAGGGGAAGCGATGCGGCGAGTACGAGAGTGCGAGCCAGCGGCCGCCGGGGGGCACGATGAGGGCGAGGTGGAGGGCGAGGATGTGGAGGGGGTGGATAGTCACCATCGAGGAGGGAGGGGAGGAGGGAGAGGATGTGGCGGTGGTGGTGCTGCTGTTGGAAGAGGAGGGTGATGGCGATGGCGACGATGAAGACGAGGGATCCGGTGATGAGGCGGAAGGGGGTGGCGCTGAGCGAGGCTGGATGTGGTACGGCAGCGGGACGGGGACGTCGTCGCCGCAGCTGATGGCGTCGCAGGTGCTCTTGTCGACGACGATGTCGTAGCGGTGGGCTAGCGCGGCGATGGAGGGGAGGGAGAGGAGGTCGAGGGTGCTCCACTGCATGCGGGGTGGGTGGTGGTCGGCGGGGTTTTCAGCAGCACCTTCTCTCCCGCCTTCGGCTCCGGCTGTGGTTTCGTCGACCGGGTCTGGCGGGGGCGTTGCTGCATCGTCCTGCTTCGGCGCCCCGGTCTCTTCGCGCGCGGTGGGAGCGTCGGGCTCGAAGACGTCGCGCTCCCACTGGGCGCCTAGCTCGACGGCCACGCGCGAGAAGTCGGTGTTGTGAACCTGGCGCGGGTCGTCGACGTGGGAGCGCAGATGCAGCGAGAGGGCCGAGGTGCCGCAGCCAATGTGCAACAGGCGCGGGCGGGGGTTGGATGGGGAGGAGGCGTGGTCGAGAGCTTCGACGATGACGCCGTCCAGACAGTTGGCCGGAAGGAGCCAGTCGAAGGCCGACGGGTTCTTTGTGAAGCGTTGGTCCCAGTAGTCGGGTCGGGCGAAGGGCGGCGGGTCCTTGGCCATGAAGCAACGCAGACAATAGAGCAGAAGAAAGCAGATGTGACGGAGTAAGGAGAGGGCTGCTCGGCTTGGGAAGGCTGGTGGAAGGAAGCGTCAGACGCTGGACAAGAACTTGACTGTGGCAACAAAACGAAACATGCCTTTGTGCATCACTTAAGCTATCGATGCATGGAACATTGTCTTCCAAGGCAATGGGAATGTCCTCTACCTCTTAGACGACCAGGCGCCCTGAGTACCGCCAGCTACCAACCCGGAGCATTTGGGTTGGCGGCAGCATGGCGGCTGAGGATGGAACCAAGAACTTGAGGCCTACCTTGAAGTCGCTCAGACGCGGGGGAATCGCAGAAGGCAGCAAAAACGAAGGAAGTTGCAAAGTGCAGGAGTCACAGCCGAGTTTGAGGTTGGCCGAGCTCGAGGGCCACCGCAAGTCCCTCACTCCGGCCGCCCACGCGCACCACCGCCGCACCAATTTTCCCCGACCATCTCTCACCACCGCCCACGCCCTCTCCATACCGACAAAGCTTCGCCCCCGCCATGGCATCCGCCTCAATGCCGCGCGCCCTCGTGCGCATCTCCTCCGCGCGCCCTCTCCGCACATCCGCCGCGCTCTTTCCCACGAGCGCAGCAGCAGCAGCCCAGCGGCTCCTCCTCCGCCGCACCTACGCCGCCGCCAGCAAAAAGGACGACTCCAAGCCGCGCGTGCTCGAGAAGCCGGACAAGTTCCGGCCCCCGTCGCACGCCGCCCGGCTGCCCTCGAACCGCAAGAAGCCGCAGTACACGTACGGCCCGCGGCTGACCGAGGAGGAGCTGGCGCAACAGAAGCGCAAGAAGTACCCGAACATGATGCCGCCCGAGGGCACCCCCATGTACTATTTCCTGACGAACCGGATGCTGCACGTCTACATTTCGCTGGTACGTTTTGCGTTCATCAAAAAGAAAAGAGAGAGAGAGGGAGGGAGGGAGAAAACGCCCCTCCAACCTTAGTAAACGCTTGAGATCTGACAAAAACACCCACCCACACCACCAAACAGGCCGTCCTCTTCTCCCTCGCCTTCTACGTCTTCCTCGCCAACTTCCTCACCACCACGCCCTACCGCGACCTCCTCCCCGACCGCTCCGACCTCGTCGCCCACCCCTTCCGCTCGCTGCGCCAGTTCCTCGCCGTCTACCGCATGCACGCCGACCACGTCTCGCACGAGACGGCCGAGAAGCGCAAGCGCAAGGTCGAGGACGTCGACAAGCGCGCCGAGTACCGCCGCGCCCACGGCCTGGACGCCGCCGAGGACACGGGCCTGCTGCGGGGATGGCTGGCGGAGCCGCACGAGAAGAGGACGGAGGAGGTGGTGGTGGTGGGGGCGGATGGGGAGGGGCGCGGGCAGGAGCAGGAGCGGGAGCAGAGCCCCGTGGCGAAGGAGGAGCAGGAGGGGTTTAGGGATTTTGAGGGGAGGCAGCAGCGGGAGCGGAGGCCGGTGAAGAAGTGGTTAGGTATTTGGTGAGGGAAAGAGAGATGTGGGTTGGGGGTGGGAGGTGTCGGCTTTTGTCGGTGGAAGTGGGTTTTGCACGAGGAGAAACTGAGTATGATGCGTGTGTGTGCGGGGCCTGGGGTTTTCTTTGCATGGGATTGGAGTACATGGAGCCGATGGGAAAAGAACTGGGAAGGAGAGGTGCGTCGGTGGCATACTCCTCTCTTGCACAATAGGACTTGTGGATACACCATGTAGTCATGAAACAGGCCAATGTGAGATGTCAATGTAAGATATTCTAGGATTCAAAAGTAGTGCTCCACCCTAGAGGTGGCCCAATTTGGAGAAGTAAATCCTTGAGGAAGCGTATGTACAGCCTAGCAACTCCCCTCATCCAATACGTATCATACGTAGCCAAGCCTTCCCCTTGTCTCTTTCCATTCGTCTTCTCGTCATTACGTTTATCCCATATCCAATCGTCATTCTTCAGACTCATAACCGTCGTCACTTCAAAATAGAATATCCCCTCCAGCTTCCAAAACTCTCCTCCACCCAGAGGGAGGGGGATGAGATGAACCCAAGAACCAAACCACGAAGAAACAAAAAAACCAAAACCTCCATCCTCGTCACCCCCATCACGAAAACCACCACCCCACAATCGGAATCAACCCCCTCCTGCCCAACCCCGCCGCATTCGGCTCCGCCACCGTCGTGCTCGCCACAACGATGAACCCGCCCCCGCCCGTCGTCCCCGTGGTCGTCGTCACACTCGTGGGCAACACGAAGCTCCCCAGGCTCGACGTCGAGCCCGAGCCCTGTCCCTCGGTGACGGTGGTGACGCCGTAGCCGGCGGCGACGGTCGAGCTCGCGCGGATGGAGCCGGTGCACACGGCGCCCGACGGGCAGCACGCGACGTGGCCGGCCTGGTCGACGGCGCAGTTGCTCGAGCGGTGGCAGCACAGGCCCGGCGCGCCGAGCGCGGCGCACGCAGAGTACGAGGCCGGGCAGGTGGTGCCGCCCGAGGAGCTGCTGGATGACGACGACGAGGCTTGGCGTTTGAGGAGGGCGAGGAGGTTGTGGTGGTCGGGCGCTGGGGTCGTGGTGGGGGAGGTGGTTGCGGCGGTGTTGGAGGCGGAGGCGGGTGTGGGTGTGGAGAGTGGAGGTTGTGGTGCGGCGGCGGCGGCGGCGTGGTGGTCGTGGTGGAGGAAGGGGATGTTGTCGAGGATTAGGCCCGGGAGGAAAGGCGAGTAGGGCGTCGGGGATGGGGCGGCGTCGGGCGAGTCGTTGGTGTTGGCGGCGGGCGGGGGTGCGGCGACTGCGCTGGCGCTGCTGCTGCTGGCGAGCAGCGTGACCGCGAGGACGAGGCGTAGTGATGTGCGCATTGTGGAGGTTGCGGGTTGTTTGAGCGGCGGAGGTGAGGAGTGGAGTGATTGCGCGGGTGCAATGCAGAGGGAGAGGAGCAGGCGGGAGGAAGCTCTGCTGCGGTGGTGGTGTAATGATCAGGTGTGCTGGCTGTAACGAGCGTACGCTGTTGCTGCAGTGGCTGTGAGATTAGTTGGACGAAGCTGCAGAGGGAAGTCTAGTTGCGGGCGCGTCACTCACCAAGCAGACGGACGGTTAGAATGCCTTGGAAGGCGGAAAGCGGGCGGAGCAGCGCGGTTTTGGTCTGGCGGTGGTTCAATTATCGGGCGGCTGGACTTTGGGGCTGGGAACGGGTGGATCGGCCGCACGCCTCTCCCCTTGGCCCCAGCTTTCCGCCCGTTGTCTGGAGCAACTCCGCAGTTGAAGCCTTGGCTCCCACGTCACAACCCTATCTTCAACTCGTCTCGCTGACTGCCACACCCTCAGGCCGCGCGTTCTGCAGCTTCCGTGCCTGTATCTGTTCGAGTGTTTCGTGTCTTTCTATGACACGAGACGGGTGGTTTACATCTCTATTCCCGTGGACGCCTAGTAATAGCGCCATCTCCTGCTTTGACGTCACCTCTCCATTCGTGGGATACCTAGTTATCCTCACTTTCGTCGAGATGGATTCTCACCTTTGCTTCACTGAGTTCGACAGCGTCAATCGCAAGCTTTTAATCGTTATATTGTCTAAGGCTAGTCGCTTTTGTCGTGTTGAAAATATAACTTATCCTGGGTATCAATCCGAACTCCCGCACTCACCTCGTTCTCACCACCACTTCCTAAAAAGAAAGACAAAAAAAAGATCCCTCCGCAGCCACCAACGCCCCCCACCTTCTCACGTCGTGTACCGATCCAGCTCCTCATCCGTCGGCATACACTCAACCAACTCTCCATCACCCTTTTCGGCATTACACCTGGCGCTGTACATGATGTTAAGCGTGATAGACCTCCGTTCACCAACACCTTCACCCGCTTTAACCTTCTTCCGCATCCTACTCTTCAGCTCCCCTTCCGCCTCCTCTGCCTCCTCCCCCCAGTTCATCCCCTCCACCAAACTCCCACCCCTCCCATCCCCACCGTCAACAACCCGCTGATGATGAAACAACTCCGGCGCAACGCTCACGCACCTCAAGCCAGGCTTCTTCCCCTCTTCTCCCATGGCACACCCCGCGCCCAGCTCGTTGTCGAAAGCCGCGCCGCCGTTCTCGCCGCCCGCCATCTCGAGGATGCGCGCGGCGCCGTGCCGGGTGACGGCGTAGGCAAAGGTGCAGGTGGGGCCCGGCGAGCGCATGACGCTGCGCGTGCCGTCTTCCAGGGGCGTGTAGGCGTAGCGGTCGGCGAGGGCGCGCAGGCGGTTGGCCGGCGGCAGCGACGCCGCGTCCGCGAGCGTGTCGAGTTGGCGCGAGTGCGGGGTCTTGACCGAGGCGCAGTGGCCGAGCCAGAGGATGTCGTAGCCGAGGGTGTAGGGGAGGGTGGAGTTGTTGTCGGCGTTGGTGTTGTTGTTGTTGCCGCTGATGGTGGCGTTCGAGGGAGATTTTTTGTTGTTGTTGTTGTTGTTGTCGCTGTGGCCGTCGTCTAGGATCTCGCGCACCAGCGATGGTACCGCTGCGTTTGGTGCGAGTATTTGCCGGATGCGGACGTCCCAGTCGGCATCGTCCTCGAGGATCAGGGCGGTGTTGATGTCGTGCGCGAGAACGTACTTGAGTGCGTCCACGTGTGCCAGCCACGCCCTTGCGCTGCCTGTACGTGGCGACTCGCCGCTCTTCGACTTATGTTGCATGAAGGCGTGTAGCTCCTTGTCCGAAACGTGCCGTGACTGGTGTACGTTGATTGCTAGACCTGTCCGATTCGCCGCCGCGAGGAGGCCGTGTTGACGCCATGCGCCCGGCTTGGATGTATCTTCGGAGGATATGGCGATGATTGTCTGGAACTGTAGGTACGAATGCGACATTAGCAAAAACGGTATTCTGGCACTGACTCGCGATGGAGAATGGACGGTAACGTACTCCAAGTGTGGCATTGGCAGCCTCAATGTTTGCCTGCCCTCCAAAGAGCGTCTTTGCTATCTGCACGGGCTGTATCGTGTCGAGGATGTAGAGCTGCCATAGAAACAGTGCCGTTATGCCAGCAAAGACGAAGACGGTGCGGCCTGGCCTTATCGGCAGGCGAGAGTTCGGAACAAGCATCTGATCTGTCAACTCGCGCTGCACACAGTCATGTTGTTGGTGAATCGGCGATGTTACAGGGCAGTGACGAGAGGAGAAATGGCGGGGAGAGTACGCTTGCCGGGAGCTGCCGTGATAAAGTCCTGGAAAGCAGCGTCGAGGGCTGTGGTGGCTGAATAGTTATTATCTCGCGCCACCGGGATTCCCGGCTACTGATGCGCGCGTGATACCGCCCGGTCCAGATGTGGCAAGGTCGTGAGGGCGAAGCTAGGAAGAATGCGAGGGAAGCCGTGAGTGTCACCGTTACGCAAGGCCGTAGGTATGTTTTTCTGCTGCGACCAGCCATACCCTTTTTTTTTCTTTCACTAGAATCGTCCAAGCTTCCCTTAGCAGCGCAAATTCGCACGAACACTCGATAGAAGCCGGCAATATTACCTGCTCTATAGGGCTAGGGCGCAATTTTTCGGTGGCTCCCACGTTGTTTACCCCACACCACTATCCTTATCTGGACCCCTGTAGGTTCCGAGCGAACCGGACAGACACTAATCCGACACCTTCCGTCCGAAGTGTTCTTCAACACCATTTCTCAAACACGGGACGCCTGCCTTCTTCGAGAAAGGGTTTGTGTTTCGGCCTTGCCGCTCTTATTTGGCGCAAGAGGGAACGGTGTATCCACCCGTCGGGCAGCATTTTATTCTACTCTTAATATTACTTGCAAGCGTCTCATCTTTGGGTATCTCTAATGCGCGCACTAAAGCGACGACGGCATGAGCAGGAGCGCGACCAACATTATTGGACACCGCTTTTAAGGGCGCACGGATATGCACTCACGGTTCATCGCCAGCCGCCAACTCTTCCCTCATCCCATCTCTCCTTTCTCTCTCTCCTCAAGTATGCGACCTTTTTGCCCTCCCTGATCCGTCTCACAAACTCTGCAACCTCTCGTTCGGTCGCCTGCCCACCACCTTCGCCTTCAAGGAAGCTCTCTTCTAGACCGCGACAAAGCGCTTCTTGCTCGGTGATGGAAGTGCTTAGTCTCTGGTAGAGTGCTGGCGGGCTGAAGTCCTTGAGTGCAGCGTCTTGCTCGGCTTGCTTCGCACGCCACTGTCCCTCGAGGGCACGAAGGCTAAGCAGCCGGGACTGGGTATGTTGGCGCTGGTGCTGCAGATGTGACTCAAGGTTCTTCAACGACTCTGCCAGTGCTATGTTGGCTGCCAAGGCCTCGTTGAGCGCGACGGTAGATGCGGCGATGGAGGGGTGGGCCGTGTCGGGCGAGTGAGCAAGCGCTTTCTGGAGCTCGGGATTCTCAAGAACCGCCTGGAGGTCAGCCGTGCTGCATGCAATTGTGAGCATTGGACGATCCGCATCACGCATTGTGAGGCAATTTCGCACTTCTTATCCTTCAGCACATCTGGAAGCCAGCCCTCTTCAGGTAGTTCAATTTGCGGCTGCTGGTCAACTACAGCCGGCTGCTGACCGCCATAAGTCCGAGGCGACTGGGAAGCCGGATCTGCTTGGGCCTGGGCTATCTGAGCCGGCGTGGGGGGCAGCGGCGGGCCAGTAAGCGGCGTGCCTCTTCCGCTCGAGTGAGCGGAGGGCTTCGGCGGCGGAGGCGGCGGTGTGGATGCGTCGAACTGGTACTGTGTTTGGGACGGGTGTGGGGAGTGGTACGACATGAGTGTGAGCGGTGTGCCGCGATGCACCTCGGGGGAAATGAGAATGGTATTGGGAGCGCTGCTGGACTGCTACTTCAGGATGTCTCCATGTTGTCCCCGCGGTATGACGCGCCTCCGGGCGAGCTGGGCCAGCTAGGAACAACAGTTTCGCCGCGTCCGACGCCGCCGTCGGTCGATCGCTTGGACCCTCGGACCCTGAGGGCGCTGTGCCGCTGGCACTGCCAACGCGTCCTGGTGTGCTGCTCCTGTCGGTCCTCAATATTACAGCTGCTGGCGAGGCGCTGGGAAGTCGATGCAAAATATACAAGGTTGCTATATTTGCACGCCTCCTTATGCGTTCGGCAGGCGGGCGGAGGGTCTCAGTTCTGGCCGGCAGAGACAGCGATAGGACAGGAGGCGTGGAGGCCTGCGCCGAGGCCTCCCCTGACGAGGCATGATGGGCGAGCTAACGTGGCTGGCGAGCAGCGAAATTACACGTCCATTAGCCGCGCCGATGCATCGAAAGACATGAAACAATTCGCCAGCGGCGGGCCGGGCCAAATGAACTGCACGGCAGCGGGCTAGGCGGCGGCGCTTCTGGGCCTCTGGTGCCGCGGCGGACGCGCTGGCGGGCGACGCGGCGGGCGTGGGTCGCGCGCGATTGGACGGGAGCGCTACTTCTGAATGGCGCGATTGACGACGGCGACAGGATCGCAGCGCGCACCGCGATCGATTGTGGGCGCGCTGCAGTGATGCACCCCACCGCCCAGCGCGGTTCTGGTGTGCAGGGAAATGAACGCGCAGCCGAGAAAGGGGAAGAACAGCGGCCGGCCTCTGCTTCACGGGCTGGCGTCCATTTGGGGAGGGCCCGTTTGGCCACGCTCGGTGCAAGCGCCGTTCTCCGCAGTGCCAGGCAGCCCACTGCCCTGAACCAGCAGCTTTCCCTGCGCAGGCGCCCAATCAGCAGCCTGCCCTGGCCACCAGCACGCGGCTTAGACCACCACCGATAGCACTGCGGAGCGCGCATCTTTCCTCCTCCCCTTCCCCTACCGCACGCGGACAAGATTCGAGAGCGCCTCGGTGCGCCAAAGCCTAGAAGGAAGAAATCACGAGAATCCCGACCGATTCGTGCAACGGCCCTTCACTATCTCCATCTTTGCCCAATTGGAACAATGCACGCCCATACCCAGACTCCACCTCTCCGCCGCCGGGGCTCCAATTCGTCTGAGACGCCCTTGTCGCCTGATATAGAAGCCCCCCAGCTTAGGACCGCGTCGCTTTTCGGCATCACAACGCCCTCTTCTGCGACGTTTCGCGCTCAGACACCTGCGAGTCCGACCGTTGCATCACCTCCCGTCCGTCGCAAGCCGCTGCCCGCTAACGCCTCGCCCGTCGCCACGCGCTTCTCCTCCCAAAGCTATACCACGGGCCCCCGGATCGTCGAGAGAGGTCACACGCAGCGCGCCTTCTCTACCGACAACACACCTCATCCCTTCGCGCGCTCCCAAGCAGTCTTCACGCCGCCCCTTACCGCGACCAAGGAAGAGTTCAACCCCAGTACCCGAGACAAGTATGTCCATGTGCCGCACCCTTGGTCGCGAATCAGCACCGTTTCGGGGGCGCGACGTCAAACCGCGACTGTCAGACTGACCTGCATGCAGCTCCGCCACCACCGGCGCTACGCCAAACGACCCGCTAGACGACTACATCGCCGAGGACGAAGATCGCCCAAGGAGAGCATCATCGCAGTACGGAGGCTTGCTGCCAGGGGTGGAAGACAATTCCCGGCCGGGTTATGATCGCGCGGCCAGCAGCTACCACACGGCACGAGTTTCAACATCTGAATGGGATCCTGAGACAGCTCCGGATAATACACACAGCCGCGAACGGACCCCGACCATGTCCTCATATGATTCACAAAGAACCCCGAACTTGACACTTCAGATCCACGGAGAGGATGGCGTCACAGGCGATTTCCTCGACTATGACCAGCTCACGGACGACGAGGACCACTCGCCGAAACCTGAGATGGCAGCCGGTGGCAACAAGTTCACGTCTTTCTTTGGATGGAAGTCTGGATCACAAAACCTAGCGAACGGCTCGCCTGCTACCAACTTCTCTGACGATTCCCCGGCACCCAACGGTCTCAACCTGCAGAAGAAGACGCCCAAGGCGCTGGACATTCCTGCTGCCAACTCCCAGCAGTCGTACTTCACTGTGCCCGGCACACCGCTTTACTCATCCTCTCCCAGTGTCAATGCGCATGTTGAGGAGCTCGAGCGCGAGCTGCGCGAGATCAGCCAAGAACTAGCCGGCTCGATCAAGAGGGAGTTGGAACTCGAGGACGAACTTGAAAACTACAAGGCCGAGAATCCCACTGGGACGACAGAAAACCGGAGGACGAGCGATTACTACTCGGACTCTGGTGCTAGCTCCGCAAAGTTCCCCATTGGCGACCCCGAGGCAAGACTGGAGACATTGGAAAAGTTGCGCCGGAAAGCAGAGCAGGACAGGGCGTCAGCCAAGAATGAGACTGCACAGCGGCTTCAAGATGAATTGCGGAGACGCGCAGACCTTGAATCTCAAGTCCAGTCTCTGGAGGAACAGCTTCAGGGGAATGAGAAGCTGGATGATATCAAACGCCGGCTTGTTGATGAGAAGCAAGCCAAGGAAAACCTGGAAGATTTGCTGGCAGCCCTGCGTGAGGCGCACGACAAGGACCGGGGCGAGAGAGACAATTTGCGTGATGAAATCATCCCGCAGCTCAACGCTCGCTTGACTGGCCTCGAAACCGGGGCTGGAGAGGTCGAGAAGCTGAGATACGAAAACACTCGCCTGCAACAGGAACTCGAATCCTTCCAAATGGAAATACTCCCGGACCTCCGCACTCGTTTGGACCAGTTCAAGGACATGCAACAAGAAAACGCTCGTCTGCAGTATGAGCTCGACAATGTCCGCAACGAAACCAATGATGCCCAGGCAGACCGCATCGAGAAGCTTCAGGACGAGATAACCCGCCTCAAGCGTCAACTCAGTACCGTTCAAAACGAAGCAAACATCGCTGAGGTTGCTCAGCTCCAGGCCACGCAACTCCAAGCTCTCGGCGAGGAGAACTCTCGCCTTCAACAAGAACTCCAAACGGTTCGCAACGAGAACCAATCCTTGCTCAACGCGCGCCGCATGCGACTCGAACTGGCGCAGCAGTCGGACCGTTTCAACTCGATTTCCGAGGAAGGCGAGGAAGGAACAGCATCCGCCTCGCCGAAGATTGGTCTCTCTCGTTCTAACTCCCTCGCCCGCAATTCCGTCCAGCTTCTTAAACGTGGCTCCCGCAGTGGCACGCTCACTGGTCTTTCCCGATCCAACTCGGTCAAAGAGAAAGGTGAAGCCCCGCGCGACTTTGGAGAGAAGATGAAGGATGTCGAAGAACAGCGGGATGCTCTGCACCGTGCTCTCAAACAGCTCCTAGCACGCTACGAACAGCAGGAGAAAAACCACGCAAAGAAAATCAAACTCCTCGAAATGGAGAGGGACCGTGCGCTCAATGTGTCTCCCAGACGCACAGCATTCCACGGTGAGGTCACCAACCTCCGCGCCGAAATCAACCATCTGCGCAAGCGTGCAGATGATGCTCTCGATCAGAAGTGGCAAGTCGAGAAGAACCTTGGTGGCGTTCGCATGGATCTTGCCCGTGCCGAGCTGGAAACCAGCTCGCTTCGCGATCTCATGAGTGAGAAGGACATGTTTGTACAAGAGCGGAGACCGTCGGCGGGCAGTGTCTACAGTGATGACTCTCAGGCGCCAGTCACTTTGGAGCGGGCTTACAAGGAACTTCAGACCCTCCACGCTCTCTCGCTCGCGCGTGTCAAAGGAATGGAGGAAGGAGAGGATGCGGAAGAAGCCGAGCGCGTCCTGGGTCTGCTCAAGCAAAGCATTTCGGACGCGAAGACGGAGCGTGATAACGCTCTCAAGGAGGCCGAGACGTATCGCCAGCAAGCTCGTAATCTTCAAGAGTCGGAGGTTGCACACTTGGACAAGGAACACTCCCTTGCATCTGAGCTCTTCGGGGCCGCCAAGAGGATGGACGAGCTCGCGGCTCAAACTCAAATACAGTTACAGCAAAACGATGCTCTCAGGCAGCGTCTTGCCGAAGCTATCGGACGAGGTGAGAGCGAGCAGCGTCTCGCCGCAAAGCGCATCACGGAGATGCAGAGCAAGCTGCGCGCAGCTGAGGAAGGCGTCTCGGTGGCGCAGAACCAATCGGATGAGGCGCTCAACCCACACGAAGATGAGCTGCGTGCGATCAACGACAGTCAAGTAGCACAGTTGAAGCGCATGCAAGGCGCCCGGGGACTGCTCGATACGACCAGGCTTACACCAGCATACAGCCCCATGCCGAAGCCCCTCAGTCCCATCTTCGCGCAGAGAAGCCCGAGGTTAGACATCACATCGAGCGGCCTTGGTATCTCGATCCAGCAAGCAACGAAGACTGGAGAACTGGAGCACAAGGTGCACGACCTGGAGAAGGCCCTGTCGGACGCGGACAGGGAGATGGAGGAGGTGGTTGGCCGCATGAACATGGCACAGATTGAAGTTGCAGAGCTGCAGACCGAGAAGTGAGTTCACCCGATCGACCAACAAGCATAAGAAATGTTTCTAACATTCCGAACAGGGACGAGGCTATGCGCGAGACAAGAAGACTGCAGGCCGAGATCACTGCCCAACGCGAGTTGGTCAAGGAGCTCATGAGCCAGCAGTAGGGATAGACCCTCACTTGGTGCCACACGCAATATTTTTCGACCCTTCTCTCTTTCCGAAAGAATAGAGAGGAAGAGTCGCGATCTCCCGTTTCGCACCGGCAGCAGTTGAGCAGGGCTCTCCTTACTTCACTGCATTGATTGGCGTTCTTGGATAGGTCTTGTCCCACCAGTGCACGAAAAAGCAAAACGGTTGGTTGGATTGGGTGCATATCAGGCGTTGCTTTTGTTTAGAGTTGGGTCTCTACTTCTTGTTTCTTCCCCCCTTTCTCCGAGCCCAAGGAAAGTCCCGACTCCTTAATCCTCTCTCTTCTACGCGCGCCATTTGGGCCGCTGCCTTCGAGCTCAGAGGCTGCCGGCCATTTGTGTGCCCCATTTCATACCTTTCTCTCTCACGGCGTTCGCGAGCAGATGGCCACTGCTTGCTGCAACAGCCTGGCATTTTAACGCTCTATCATTTGGTAATTATATAGATTGGTGGTCTGGTGGGATACTTTTGGATTTGCATTTCTGGAGACGGCTGGGGACGTCATCGATACCTAGCGGCTTGGTATTGTATTGTCGTAGGAGAAGTGGGTGGGTTATTTTGGAAAGTTTCTGTGGGTTGGCGAGGTGTAATCTGGCCTCCACCGATGGTGATCGGAATCTGGACACAGGCCGTGTTTTCGATAGAGCTCCTTGCAGAGCACAAGGAAATCAATATTTTGGCTCGCCAACTGTTGTGATGCGTTGTGGGGGTGAGCATGACAATCGTGTGACGAGGCGGGCAGGCGCACGGTGGCTTGCAGCGGTTTGCCCCTCTCTGTCTGGGGTCCATGGCCTGGGCGGCTGTCTTCTGCGCGGGTGACATGCCTCGGCCGTCCAGTGTGTGGTATTTCGCGTGCCTGCATTCTCTATAGGTTGCTTTGGGCGCACTGGATTGGTTGGACAGATTTATCGGTGCGCCCTGTCGGGAGGACCCCAAAGCTTGGCCCGCGCTCGCGGGCCATGAGTCGCCCTGGATTGGGAAGACAGGAGAGCAGCTCTGGAGGCAGCTCTGACATGCATAGGGGCTCCTGTCACCGCCCATTGGCGGGCCAATGTGTCCCCGGCAGGCACGCAAGGCCGACGGGGCGCCGACGCAGAGGGGGTGTTGATGTTGGGTGCATGTGTGTTGACGCGGCTATACGGACGACGCCGTGTGTTGGTCTGCGTGCACCGTGAAACGTCGGCAAAGGCTGGTGAAACAGCGTCGCTGGGTCACTGGGCGGGCGCTGCAGTCGGGCGGCGACAGTGCTGTTGAGGCGGGGTGCGCAGAGGCGAACGCTGATCGCGAGCGTGTCTTGCCCGATTGAGGCGAGTTGAGGCCGTCAGCTCGTGGTAGACAGCTGCAGGCAACACGTGCCCGGGGCAGGGCTGGCGTGCTGCTGGTGCGGCGCCTTCCCTAGGGTGGGCAATCTGAAACCAGACTGGCAGCTCTCCTGCAGTTTTGGCCCAAGGGGCGGCGTGTCCCGGTATTATCGACGAACCCGCCCTCGACAGGCTCCCCCCAAACCCCAAGCAAGACGCTGGCCCAATTCCAATTGCCCAGATCGCTGCTCTCGCGCCCTGCTGTTGCTGTGTAGCCTGCGAGGACCCAATCCCTAATAAACCGTCCCGCCAACTAGCCGCGTGCGCTCGGCCTGTCGCCCGCCGACCGCCTCCCGCCTCCGCCTTCTCCCCCGTGCCCGCCGCAACCTCCTCCCTCCCAGGCCCAGCTCTCCGTTTGCGCTGTTCCTCGACACCTTCACTTTGACCACCCTCCGCGCAGCCTGCCCGCATTGCCGCCATCTGCCTCGGCTGGAGCGAATCTCTGAGCTTGACACCCCGCGGCGCCATTGCCGCCGTCACGCTTTCTTCACGTAGGTAGGGGTCCTGCTGTCCCCCCCTCACCACGCTTGGGGCTTACAACCACCAGAATTGTCCAGGATTTGCCTCGTAGCCGAAACGCTTCCTCCCTGCGCCCGCCATGCAGAACAATCAGCAGAACCGCCTCCACCTAAACTTCGGTTTCAACAACGACCGGAACTTTGCCGCGGAGCAGGGCCGTGCATATCCCACCACGCCCTCCACTTTCCCACAGCCTGTCTACCCGAACCAGAATGGACAGCAGGAGGTCTGGGGCACTCAGCAAGCGAACAACGCCTACGGCGGTGCTGGCTACTTCATGAACTCCCCGGGCTACGCGCCACCACAATACCAGGGCATGCAGCCCCCGCAGGCTGCCTACCGTACGCCCCAGGGCTACAACGACGGCACCAATGGCCTCGTCCACCAGTTCTCCAACCAGAACCTGGGAACCCCTCGTTCTGGAAGCCCCTACGGTCGCCAGCCGTCACCCAACCCCAACCGCCCCCGCACCGCTGGTTCTTCAGGCCAGCAGCAGTATGGCAACTACCTGAGCGCCCACATGCCCGGCCAGCACCAACCCTCGCTCAATGACGATGAGCCTCCGGCAAAGAACCCCGACAAGTACACCGACAACATCATCAAGCGTGCCCGTCTGTCCACCGGTTTGGTCAGCGACTTCTTCCGCCAGAGCGTTCAGCGCGCTCGTGACAGGAACGCCAGGTAAGCTTCCGTGACTCATTTTCGCACGAAGCAAAAACAATTGACGCAATGAACGCGACAGAGCTCTCGAGCTTGAGCAGATCCTCTCGAACCCGAACATCTCCGAGGCGAAGAAGCAGGCAAAGATTCAGGATGTCCAAGCAGCAGAGATGAGATTCCTCCGCTTCCTGCGGACGCGCGAAAGGCCAGAGAACTTTGTCACTGTGAAGATCATCGGAAAGGGTGCGTTCGGTGAGGTCAAGCTGGTGCAGAGGAAGAACGACGGCAAGGTGTACGCCTTGAAGTCTCTTATCAAGGCGGAAATGGTACGCTTCGAAATCAGCACGCTGGTGCACTTGGATGCTGACTGTATGTGTAGTTCAAGAAGGATCAACTTGCACACGTCCGCTCCGAGCGTGATATCCTGGCTGAGTCGGACAGCCCTTGGGTCGTCAAGCTCCACACTACTTTCCAGGACAACACATTTCTGTACATGCTCATGGAGTTCTTGCCGGGTGGTGACTTGATGACTATGCTCATCAAGTACGAGATTTTCACGGAGGACATCACTCGCTTTTACATGGCTGAGCTCACCCTGGCTATTGAGGCTGTCCACAAGCTTGGCTTCATACATCGGTATGAAATTTGCGTACCTCTGAACTCTGGCGGAATTTGCTGACCCATCACAGTGATATCAAACCCGATAACATTCTTCTCGACCGTGGCGGCCACATCAAGCTCACTGATTTCGGTCTTTCTACTGGTTTCCACAAGGAGCACGAGGCGTCATACTACCAGAAGCTCCTTTCTGGCAACACGCAAAAATCTTCGAACCGCGATAACCGCAACTCGGTTGCCATCGATCAGATCCAGCTCACGGTCAGCAATCGTACACAGATCAACAGCTGGCGTAAGTCGCGTCGTCAACTGGCCTACTCCACCGTTGGTACGCCCGATTACATCGCTCCGGAGATTTTCAGCGGCAAGGGTTACGACTATGGTTGCGACTGGTGGTCCGTCGGTACTATTATGTTCGAGTGTCTTATTGGCTGGCCGCCGTTCTGCGCTGAGGAGCCCCATGACACCTACCGCAAGATTGTTGACTGGCCCCGTAACCTGCACTTCCCGCCCGACCAGCAGCTTGGCGCTGAAGCAGAAGACTTCATTCGGAGGTGAGTGGCGCTGCTTCTTCAATTTCCTTTCCTTTTGCCACCCCCTCAAGCCCTTGAAACCCAGCCCCACTATTCTGATACTGTTGATCGTTCTAACCTTGAGCAGACTCATCTGCAATGCCGAGGACCGTCTTGGCCGCATCGGCGGTGGGCACGAGATCAAGCAGCACGCCTTCTTCCGCGGAGTGCAGTGGGATGGTCTCCGCAAGATCAGGGCGCCGTTCGAACCGAAGCTGGCATCCAACGTCGACACGCAGTACTTCCCGATTGACGAGATCGACCAGCACGACAACTCGGCGGCACTGCGGGCGCAGACTGCGCACCAGTCCGAGGACATGGCGGCCGAGATGAGCTTGCCGTTCATCGGTTACACGTACAAGCGTTTCGATGCTTTCCGCGGCTCGTAGAGAGTGGGAAAGAGGGAAAAGTAAAAGATCAAGCGAGCATGAAGGAGCATGTATTACGGTTTCTTTTTTTTTGGTGGTATGCACAGGATGGGGTCACAGCAGATCAGCCCTTTTATTCTCTTCCCTGTTTTTCTCGCTTCTCTACTAAACGTCAAATCTTTATACATTTGTTCGTCTTGGTCGAGCCAGCTATTAAACCAGCCAATTCAGCCAACACTTAGACGAGAGGATAGCGGATGGGGATGTCGGTTTCCATTTACCTTCTGAGTGCACTTTCCGTCGTGAACCACGCGGCTGGTGCTGCCGTCGTCGCCATGGAGAGTCTGCACATGAACCAACGTGGGTGGAGTGGTGCGTTCAGTGGGTGAGCCACTCTAACCATTGATCGAGCGATTGTGCGTATATGCATATACGAGGGTTGTGGGGTCTGCGTCTCCTTCTATTGTTTAATTCTCCATCATCTCATGGACACGATTTCATCAACGGTGACAAGCTCGAGCGATGTCTGGCTTTTGGCTTTTCCCCATCATATATTTCTTTGTTTTCTTACCACCTTTTAGTTGCTCTAAAGCTTACACTTCTGTTATGCTCATCTGTTACTATCCTTCCTAGCGATTTGGGCTCGTACACGAATGGCAATCAGGCAGGTATATGTACTCGGAGTAGAAAGAAAAAGAGGTTCATGAGGTCATGGCGTCAAACATGGAGACTGAAGCTCGGAATTTTGTCCGTTGAAGATTATGTGGTTCTTTTATTCGGTCTCTCGCTGTTCTATTGGCATATTTCGGGCTCTGCTCATGCTCTTGGTCGATTTTGTGAAGAAGACGTGGATGGAGAGGTCGAATAACAATTCCACATAACGTTACGCGAAAATGACAAGCAAGAGTTCGGCCTTCCAATAGACTGATTTTCTTTCCACGAAAAAAGGTGTGCATCTGAGCGAAGCCCGCCGTCAACGTCTATCATTCTTCTCTTCCTGTAAAAACTAGAACCGCTTGCTAACAAAGTTCACCACGTGCCTCCCCAGAAAACGCCCAGTTTCTCCATACGCGCTGATGCTCAAATGTTGTAATTTCCTTGGGGAACCTCTGGAAACCACGTTGTGTCAGATAGAGATCGTTCCTCTCGCGGGTCACTAGAGGGGAGCGAGAAAGGACGGCAGACGCAGTGCAAACATCTCCCCTCCTTCCACCCTGTATTATTTCCGGCGTGCGAACAAGGGGGCCTCGCGCCCGTGAAACTTTGTCTCCCCACCATCGTCTAGATTCCAAGGATATGGGGTGGTCGGCTTCACGTTCTCGATGGTAATGTTGTCGATCCCTCTCTGCCTCGTTTTTTGCGAAAGTTTCCCGCAACATTCCTAAGAAATTGTTGTTCTCCGTCACAAAGTAAATGTTCTTTTTTTGTTCCTTTCTTTCTTTTTTTTTGGTTGAGAAGGCCTAGCGCGCCTCGAACTGGACCATCCTATTGTGCCGTTGCGTTAGTATCAGCCGCTTCAAGGTCCACACGACGTTGCTGGATTCCTTTGTTCCGACTCAAACTCACCTGTTCGTCCGCTCCTTGTACAGCACGCGGTGGCCGCACTCGCGGCACATGATCTGGTCGCCACGGCGCAGGATGACCTTGGCGTCGCAGTCGCCGCACAGGTACGCGACCGGCTTGGTTGTGTCCTCGAAGGCGACGCTGCTGGCGGCGCCGGCGCCGGAGCCGCTGGTCGGGGGCTGGTAGGCTTGCGACATTATGTTATGCGACGAGAGGAGAGAGTTTGGCGGAGTCTGGAGAGCGGCGGAGGGGAAGCTCGAGTGGGGCAGACTTGGTCGTGGGTGTATTTCTGCAGGAGGGTGGTGTAGTCGAAAGTTCCACGGCCAGCCTGCGTCGTTGCTCCGATGATGGCCGACGGCCGACGCGCCCGAAGAAAAAGAGGGCGCGCCTTGCCGGACCGGGCAGGCGGTGAGGCGGTGGTGCCCGCGGGAAAATGCTTAGAAACGCAGGCTTATCGATAGGCCGACGTCGGAGGGCTTTCGTCTCCATATTCCGCCACCGCAATGACCGCCGGCGATTGCGCGCGCCATGACATAGCAAAGTGTGGATGCGTTTTCTGCCTGTGCCTTTCTCCGGGATACGCTACTGTCTTTCTCTTATATTGTTTGGTCAGCATTCTCCGCTTGAGCCCCCTCTGAACCCCTCCATGTCGCTGCACCTGGCTGCTTAATATTCGCCGTTTCCCGAGTGCGCGCGCGTTGCCCCTCCCATCTATTGCTTCTGCTCTTGAGCTTTCCACCTCTTTTTTACTACCGGTCGCTGCGCCGAAACATCTCGCCTAAGATGAGCGCAATTCTCTCCGCCGACGATCTGAACGACTTCATTTCTCCCGGCGTCGCCTGCATAAAACCTATCGAGACCATACCAGCCGAGTCCAAGGATGGCGCTTCCGTAAGCAAATACACCCCCGTGCTTTCTCTCGCTCTAGTAAATTCCCTAGAGATGACTGGAATATGACTGACCTCCCCGCTTCAGAACCCCTACGAAGTCACGACCGAAGACAAAGTCACCGCCGCCAACCCTCCGCCCGCGCAGCTCTCGCTGACCGATTGCCTCGCCTGCTCGGGCTGCGTCACCTCCGCCGAGGCCATGCTCGTATCGCTGCAATCACACACCGAAGTCCTCAACACACTGGACGCTCACCCAGAACTGGCGCCGCCGGCGGCAACAGAAAGGCATACGAACGGCGCGGCGAAGACTGGCGTGGCGACGAACAGCGCGACGGCGCACCACCACCACCACCACCACGGGGTGAACGGCGTGGCCAACGGGACTGCCGGCGGCGAAAGCAAGATCTTCGTCGCCAGCGTCAGCCCGCAAGCGCGCGCGAGCCTGGCGGCGACGTTCGGCGTCAGCGAGCGCGAGGCCGGGCACATGGTGGAGCGGCTGCTGAGCGGGCCGGACGGCGTGCGGCGCGGCGGCGCGCACGGCAGCGGCTTCGCGTGGGTCATCGACACCAACACGGTGCGGGAGGCGGCGCTGGTGCTGGCGGCGGACGAGGTGTCATCGGCGCTATCGTCGTCGGGAGCGTCTTCTCCAGCTACTACTACTACTACTACTACTACTACTCCGGGGCAAGAAGGAGCCGCGTCGACGATGCCGAGGAAGCCGATCCTGACGTCGGCGTGCCCCGGGTGGATCTGCTACGCGGAGAAGACGCACCCGTACGTGCTGCCGCACCTGTCGCGGATGAAGTCGCCGCAGGCGCTGGCGGGCACGCTGGTCAAGTCGGTCCTGTGGCGCCGGTTCGGCGTGGCACCCGAGCGGGTGTGGCATCTGGCCGTGATGCCGTGCTTCGACAAGAAGCTCGAGGCCAGCCGCTCCGAGCTGACGTCGGCCGCCTGGATGCCCGCCTCTTCTTCGTCTTCTTCCAAAAACGAACCCGTCCGCGACGTCGACTGCGTCATCACGGCCCGCGAGCTCCTCTCGCTCGCCCAGAGCCGCGGCGTCGACTTCGCCGCCATCCCGCGCACGCCACTGCCGCTGAAGCAGCGCGTCCCTTTCCCCGACCCCGAACTCGACGCCTTCCTCTTCCCCTCACGACGACAAACTCCAACTCCAAACACCACCCGCCAACGGAAACAGAACACCACCACCACCCCGCCACCCTCCGACCCCTTCGCCGTCGGCACCAGCGGCGGCTACCTCTACCACATCATGCAAACCCTCGCCGCCCGCCACCACGCCAATAGTGCCCCGCCGCCGTCCCTGCACGTCGAGCGCGGCCGCAACGCCGACGTGGTCGAGTACGTCCTGCGCGACGCGGCGACGGGCGCCGTCGTCGTCAAGGCGGCGCGCTTCTACGGCTTCCGCAACATCCAGAACCTCGTGCGCCGGCTGAAGCCCGCGCGCGCGAGCAGGATGCCCGGCGCGGCGAGGAGGAGGGGGGTTCCTCCTGGTGGTGCTGGTGGTGCTGGTGGGGGGGATGGTGAGTATGCGTATGTGGAGGTCATGGCGTGTCCGGGTGGGTGTACGAATGGTGGGGGGCAGATCAAGGCGGGGGAGGTGGCGGAGCTGAGGGGGGAGGGGGAGGGGGTGGCGACGGATGAAGGCGTCGTGGTGGATGGTGGCGAGGTGAAGCTGCAGCAGCAGCAGCAGCAACAGAGGAAGCCGGGTCCGCAGGAGCAGAAGGAGTGGTTGAGAAGGGTGGATGAGGCGTATTTTTCCGCGTCGTCGTCGTCGTCGGCGTCGGAAGATGAAAGCGGAGAGGATGAGGATGTGGATATGGACGCGGCGGAGCGGGTGATGGAGTCGGACGTCGGTGGCGATGCTATGGATGTGGACTCTGCGCCGCCGTCGTCGAAGACCGATGGCGATGCGGGCAAAGTGGGTGCGGATGGCGAGGAGGAGGATGTCGTCGTCGATGGCGTTTCGAGGCGTAAGGTCCACGCTTTCTTGCGCCATTGGAGCGACGTCACGGGCGTGGATGTGGCCGGCCTTACGCAGACCAGCTACAGGAAAGTCGAGAGTGATGTGGGCAAGGCGAAGAAGGCTAGTGATGTGGAGAGGGTGGCTGGGCTGGCCAGCAGTATCGGTGGGGGGTGGTAAACGGGATGATCAATTTATATGGTTGGTTGGTTGGTTGGTGGTGGACGTGGTGTTTTGAGGGCGTTTTGTTTTGGTTTTTATGCATAGAGGCGTTTTTCGTCGTATCGTTGCTCTGTTCTGATCAGAAAGTCAAGGGAAACGGTGAAAGGGCGGGGTTGATGCACACGATAGATGGGATCAAAAGAGGCGAGTCTTAGGTTTTTAGGTATACCCTTGTGGATGGACGTGTTTAGTCAAGAACATAGGGCCAGAATGAACTGTCACGTTGTAGCCCCTTCCGCATCTGTTCGCGTGTGTGCATGCGCCAATTCTTTAGTCGACGTGGGAAGCATTGCGATGGTAGATGCATGGTTCCCTTTACAAGAAAGGTGATCAAATGACGACTCCTGTCCTTGCAAGCGCAACCGCCTTTGGAGATTCTCTACGGCTTCTGTGAGAAGTTTACCGTATCAATGTTGATGTTGAAGTTTGGGATTGGGGAGCCATCTCGGCAATGCTGCTTGCTACCACTTACGCCCGCTAATGGACAGCAGTATTTACGCTGAACGTAGGACACTGCCATCTCCCATTTCGGGGCTTCCTCAGTCACCAAGCAAACATGCAGACGAATAAAACTTCCCTTGCTATACATAGTACGATCACTATCGAGTGAAATACTCACTCTGGACTTGTTATGATTGAGTCCCAGAGTACGTCAGCGAAGGTCGGGATGCTGTGACGGAGGAGGTGTCAGTGGTAGGGAAAGGTGAGGCGCCTGATATACTCTCGGCAGGGATGGCTGCTCAGTCTCAGCTGTCTTCTGAGAAAGGACTCTCTTTCTTTTAAGAGAGAAAAAGTATTGACAAAGAAAATGCTGAAGAGGTCGTGACAAGTGGTAAGCGGTATAGGATAGTATGGCCTCTTCCCAAGAGCTAGCGTAACACGGTATGATATGGGGGTACTCGTAAAAGAAGGCATTGAAGTCTTTGCCTATAAGAGCGGCAGCTTTTGTTTTTATTTTATTTTAAGTGGCACTGTTGGCTTCTACAGCCGGTATGTACAAAACAAGAGGCCCAGGTTGTAACTGAATTCTCTAGTCCGTCAACAAGAGCTTCTGAGCATGACTATCGTATCCAGAAACATTGTTGACGGAGATCTTCCTGCTTCTCGAGCACGAGGCCATTTGCTTAGCATTGTTCTACCGAGATATGACAGATGTGGTCTCTACAGAGCAGCAAGACTGGAATCTTTGCAGTATTCAAGAAGCAAATGACGTCGCCTTTACAAGTGCGTGCCGGCGCCAGGCCAGCAATAGGATGCTTTGTGAGCAACCGGCGGCCACTGATGAGTCTCCTCTGCCTATCCTCTCCCTACCTGAAATGTAGAGACCGCTTGAATGTTGACCCTCTTTCGTGTATTGGCTCCAAAAGCCCTGAGGGGCATTGTCAAAATAACGTGCTAACCGATTCTCATCGGAATGCCCTGCGGTTGCCTCGGTCGTTCCGGTTCTATGGAGAACGACCATGGAGTTGTCAAAATCTGCAAGAGGCGCGTCTCATCGGCTTACCGAAGCGGTGTGTAGGCGTACTACAGTGAGGATGGGTTTTGAGCCATTACAGCCTCGTGCGTTAGGGCGCGACATGTCGAGACGGTTGACCGCTGAGGAAGTCCTCGAATCCTTAGGATCCTGGGCGCTAGGATATGGCGTATTGAAAATGCTTTCAGCTGTGCTTGAAGGATTCTTGTGAACGTTTCTGGGCGCTGAGTCGATGGGAAGCGCTAGATTAGACGGTCCGAGAGACGCTGATCGTAAGTTTTATCCCGTGGGACGACTAGGTCAGCCTCGCCTCGCATTAGGAGATCATCTGTTGCAGTGGCTGTGAGTGCAGCCTGTGGGCTTCAAGTTTGTCTGCAAGGCTCAGAATTTGCCAACAGGGATCGTGCATTGAGACTCGCAGAGAGAGAAGACAGGTAAACATGGTATAACAAATTTCAATACAGGCGCAAAGAGAGTGCTAAGATCAGGGAAACCAGTGACAAAAATAACACGGAGGGTAATTCGATTCGTATGCCACAGCTTGAATGACCAAATCCGCAATTTGAGAAAGCGTAGAAGACCCAGTGTCAAACCTTACTTTCTGGATCCTACATCGCATGTCCCTCAGGGGCAGTCGCCCAATCCCTCTGGAACCCAGCCCAGCCTCCCGTCGGCTCCTCGTGGAGCTTGAGGGAGTGAATGACCATATCATACTGCCCATTATCGGGCAGCACTCCCTGGTTGACGTTCCCGCCCATGGCGACATTAATAATGATCTGAAAATCCGCCAGCCTGCGCGTACCAGGCGGAATCTCAGCCTTCATGACGGGCGCGCCGTCGACATACCACACCATGCGGCCGCCGGGGCCGTCCTGGTCCCACGCGAAGCCGTACCAGCGGCCATTGGGGTGGTCGAGCAGCGGGACGGGCGTCTCCTTGACGCGGTGCTTGTTCCAGTCGTTGCCGTCGAAGTGGCCCCAGTGCAGGCAGGCGTGGTTCTCGCGCACGCCGTTCCACGCCTCGAAGATGTCGACCTCGCCGTCGCCCGGCCACGCGAACGGTTCGCGCGGCAGCAGCCAGAAGGCCGGCCACACACCCCGCGCCGACGGCGCCGTCAGCCGCACCTGCAGGAACCCTCGGTCGCGGGCCAGCGGCTGGTGCGACACCAGGCGCGCGCTCGTGTACTTGTGGCCGTCAGGCGCCGAGTTGTCGGCGATGGCGCGCAGGACCAGGGCGCCGGCGGGCGTGTGGAACGAATTGCGCGGGTCCGAGGTGTAGTTTTGGGCTTCATTGTTGCCCCAGCCCGTGGCGCCCTGTTTGTGCTCGAAGTTCACGGAGACGGGGGCGCTTGGGTGGAGGGTGGGTTCCCAGTAGTGCGGTGGGGCGCTCGGATGGGCCGGGACGGGCGGAGGTTGTTGCTGGTATGGCTGTTGTTGATACGGCGGTTGCCCATACTGCGGCTGCCCCCAAGGCTGCTGCCCGTATGGGGGCTGGCCGTATTGAGGCTGGCCATACTGTTGTGGGGGGTATTGCTGCTGCTGCTGCTGCTGCTGCTGAGAGGGGTGCGGCGGCGGCGGCGGGGGTCGCTGGTAGTATGACTGCTGTTGTTGTTGCTGCGGAGGGTGAGAGCCGGGATAGAAATGCGGAGCGGCAGGTTGGTAGTATGCGGCGGGATTGGGTGCAGGATTGGGAGGGTTGGCGGGGTAGTACTGCTGTTGCTGCTGGTGTTGCTGGTGGTACTGCTGGCCGGGGTATTGCTGCTGGCCGGGGTACTGCTGATTGGGATGGGGTGGCACGGGAGGAGCTTGCTGGTGCGAGGCCTGGTACTTGTCGTACTGGGTCTTCGCCTTGGAGATGAGACCGTCGAGCTGCTTTCCGAAGGGCATGGCGTTGGCGCAAGTGTGGGGTGGAGGAGGGGCCGTCTGACGCGCAGCGATCGGCAGCTGCGACCCAGACAACGCCCAACTTACGTCATCCTCGGCACATTGCTCCTCCCACCCAAGACTTTCTGCCCCGATGATTGCTGCGACGAGAAGGACCCTCCAACGCATTGTAATACAGGAGAAGCGGAGACTAAGGATTTGTGAGCAGCTCGTCTACGCGCCCCCTGAAGACCAAGTCCGGCCCACAATATGCGCCAGCAGCGCCACTAACCTCACCAGTGCGGCAACCGGATATATTTTCTGTCAGTATGAATTGATCCTCTGTTGTAGACGTTATTTACTTAGTAGTACTGCTGCGGATACGGTACTCCCCTACGCCTGCTCTGGTCCCTCCATTGGCTTCACCGATGACCGCCTCTCCCTCTGTTGCCTCTCCCTCTGTTGCCTCCCCCTCTATCATTACCACTGCCATGTGCACCACCGAAAGCCCTACTATCAAGCTCTCCTCTGGAAGAGTGGCCACCGCGGGGTTGCCAACCGCCTCGCTGACCACCCCTACCCCTACCTCTCTGTCCCCTTCCCCTGCCAAACCCTCTCGGAGGAGCCTGCTCCTCCCCATTGCCATCCTCGTTATCCTCGTCTTCGGCCTCATACCCATCTACGTCCCCAACAATGTTATTCAAGCCCGTCCTCACCTGTCTCGGCGTCAAGTCCCAATCCACGTCCATCTGACTGGAGAAGTACTGTTGCTGTTGCTGTTGCTGTTGCTGCATCCCCGGCCACGTCCATGTCGGCGCATCGTCCATTACCAGATCGCCGTCACCGCTCCCCATAGCCGACACGCCCTCGCCTTGGCCCCACCAGCACCGCGCCTTCTTCAAAGGAGGGGGGAGAGAAGTACTTACCGCAGTCTGCACCTCCCCGTTCGCCAAGTCGTCGGCACACCCCGTCATCCACGCCCTCTTCCTCTTCGGCCCCGTGCGCAACTGCATCGCGATATCCTCTAGCAAGCTCGCTGCCGCTGTCAAGGAACCATCCGAGCCTTGCTGTTGAGACTGCTGCTGTTGCTGTTGCTGTTGCTCGTTGGCTTTTTGCTGCTGCAGAGCGGCCAGCGTCGCGTTTAAGACGAGGGTGAATGCAGAAGGCGAGTTGACCTTGACCGGTGATGGAGAGGATGGCGTTGAAGGCGACCTGTAGGACCACATGGCTGGGCTGTCGCAAGAAGTGCTGGCGGCGTGAAGCATGGTGGTGTCTATGGCCGGCGGCCACTGATGGCGAGGCCGGCTGGAGAACTTCCTGCCGGTGGTGGGACTGGATGGGTGCACTGGGAGGAGATGGGTATCAGAGACATGATCGGGGTCCACCGGGGAAGGAATTACCGTCGTGTTGATCCATCTACTGACGGGCTGGATGGCGGTGACGGGGTTGTCGGCGGGGAAGCGGACGGATCGGACCCTTACCACTGCCGTGGAGATGCTGTTATTCTGCTGCTCGTCCTCCTTCTTGTGGTAATCATCCTCCTCGTCTTCGACGAAAGGGCATAGGGGACCTTGCCTGTCGGCGAAGAACCAACAAGCGGCTGTGGGCGGTCGTAGGATGCCACCACTAGGGGTTCCGGGGCGTTTGACTGCTAATGCCGAAGCCATTCCAGATGACTGATGCTGTCAGTAAGCGTATGAAATGAAGAACTTACCGTGAAAACTGCTACAAGGGAGTGCGTGAAGGATGATTCTGCCCACTGGGGCAGGATCAATGGTATTATACCATTTCCCTCGCCCATTGATAGCCATTGTCTGTAACAAAGAAGACAAGATCAAAGAAACGGGTGAACTATATATAAACTTTCTTTGTCAAGTGGCCAAGTTCCTGTAGATCTAACAATGGGAACAATGGCGTTGTATTGCTTCCCGTTCGGCAGCACCGAGTACCGTCGGATGGACTCGCAATACTTACAGAACGTGCACAAAAAAAACCATTATAGCCTTTGTTATACTCGGGAAAGTATTATCTGGTGTCATATCAATGTCCAATATGTCTGGCTGTAGATAGTTTCAAGTGTAGTACACGATTTCTGGTTGGAAACTGATTGGCGTTAAGCTTGCCCGCATGCTTTGAAAAAAAAATGGAATACAGTAATTTCAGGAACATGCCTCATTCAATGGTGATGCAAAGTATTGATTTGAAGTCTTCGTAGATTGAAATATATGATATTGGGTTATAAACCTTACCAGCAAACGGCTTTCCGCGCTTAAGGTGGGGAATTTTCGTAAACATGGTAATGACAGCCTGATGCCATACTGACTTACCTACTCTCTTGCACTGCCCTAATACTCTGACATGGTTTCAGCAAGCCCCCAATCCTCGATATCTATGGGTGCGTTAGCTTCAGCAAGTCCACAGCCATCGATATCCATCGGGCCGGGTTCCAGATCAATATCATAACACGGATTCTTCCAGAGGCCTACAAACCACACGGGTCGATTGGTAGTCATATCCGCCATGACAGTGTCTCCATCCGAGTCTACCGCCCAACTGAGGCTGTCATACCAAAGCCGACGCTCACGATTCTCTTTGAGGGCGACCTCGGCGAAGCCGTTCCACTGAATCTCCCTGTTGTAAGGGTACGCGGATGCGTCAAATGGCAATCGGAGGTCGACGTCGGTAGGAGAGAAGTCAATCTGGATGGGGGCGGCCATGTTGCTCAGGGTCATGTCGGGTTCCCTTTGGCAGTATGGGTAGTTCGCGTCTTGTTGATTCTGGCAGTTTCCGTTGCACAGACGGACCAGCCTACCTCTGTGATCGTGATAACTATTGCACCCCCCGTTGTTGACACAGCCATCGTAAACCAACTGCTCGGTTACGATTCCTCTTCCATGCTGGTCGTCCTGCCATTGGACGACGTTCAAATTTACGCCGCCGTTTTGATGGCCTCTGTTGTTGGGCCAGTTGTTGTTTTGGTAGTTTCCGTTGTTGTTTCTATTGCGTCCCTGGTGAGGGTTGTGGCCCCCTTGATGTCCATGGATGTTAATCGGACTACGTCCTTGGTGATTGTTGTTTCGTCCGTATTGTCCATTGTTGTCAACATTGCCTCCTGGGCGATTGTTGTTTCTTCTGGTTTGTCCGTGTTGTCCATTGTTGTAATTAGCATTGCCCCCTGAGTAATTGTTGTTTCTTCTGTTTTGGTGGTGTTGTCCATTGTTGTAGTTAGCATTGCCTCCTGGGTAAGTGCTGTTTCTTCTGTTTTGTCCGTTGTTGCTACCATTGCCTCCCTGGTAATCGTTGCTCCTTCGGTGATTTTGGGTGTTGCTACCATTGCCTCCCTGGTGCGTGGTATTAGCGCCTCGGCGGTATTGGTTGTTATTACCGTTGCCTCTGTTGTTCCCGTGACTTTGATAGTGCTGTCCTTGGAAGTTCTGCGGGGCCCGCCCGTTTCTGTTCTGGTTACGATTGCGTCCAGGCATACCGAATGGAATATACTCGAATGACAGTGAGAAGAGAATAGGCCAAAAGGAGACGAAACGAGGGATATGTGGAAAGGATCAGAATACTTATATGTGTGCATTGTTCTTCTCACACAAAGACATTCGGTGGTAGGAAGTGGACAAAGACCAAGAATAGCGACAGAGTGACGTGGGTCTGCTCTTTGGACCATTGTCTGGTGGAGAGCGTACGAAGGCTTTCCCCCTTACTGCGAGACGGGACGAAGGCGTGCAGAGCACTCTTTCCTCTTGCGGCTAGCGCGATAAGCAGCAAGGCTGCAAGGCTCTCCGATCCGACCCGAAGCTGCAGACAGCACTGGCAGTCTTGACAGAAGTTTCGCTGCCCTCTCAGAAATGAGCGGTAACGGTAGTGCAAGCCACGCGGCGGGCAAGGATCAGAACGGTCGACGGTCCCTGCAGCACTTCTCCCCGTGGTCCACATTTCGGGCACTGGGCGCCGGCGCCGCGACTCTCTTCGCCGAGGATGCAAGTCGATGGCCAATGCAGGTCGAAGGCCAAAGCGCTGGCATGCTACGCTCGTACGAAGCGGCGAAAGCAGACAAAGCTGCGAAGGGCCGGGGCCAGGGGCTCGCATCAGCACAACAGTTGGGCAAACTTGCCTATTCGGGGAAAGCGGCTGTTCCCTGGACCTCGGCACCTCGAGCTGTGGGGGAAGCTTCCCCGCGGGGTCCCTGCGTCCCTGCCCTCCCTGCCCGAGTTTCAGCTCCACCCCCGACAACCTCCCTCGGTCCATACAACACTTGTTCACTCATCCTCGACTGTGACTTCCACGCGAGCCGCACTTCCGCCCGTAACCGACTGTATCCCCCCTCGCCATCCAGCTTTCCAATCCGCGAGAATACGTGTGGTACCTAGCGCACAACCTCTCCTCTTCCCGGCTTCCCGGCTTCCCGTTCTCTCACATCCCACTGCAAGGGGTCCATCCAAACAGCTCGTGCCGTCCTTCAAGCTCACCGCCAACCGGGAACCGTGATCGCCGCCTCCGCTCCGCTCCACCCCACCCCTCTCTCATTACTCCGCAGACAACCGCAACCACCACCAACACCAACACCTACGCAAGAACCGGAACCAAAAAAGAAAGAAAGAGAAAAGAAAACCAAAATGACAACCACCTTCCCCACCTCCCCCACCCCCTTCGCCGAGCCCCCCTACCTCTCCGACCTCCCCTCGCCCTACCACACGCCCTCGCACCGCAGCTGGCAGCGCGCCATCCGGACCTTCATCGAAGAAAACCTCCTCAAACATGCCTTCGAATGGGACGCGCAGGAGACGGTGCCGCCGCACGTCTTCGAGACCTTTGCCAAAGCCAACATGCTGGTGCCAAACCTGCCCGCACCGCTGCCGGTCGAGTGGCTGAGGAAGTTGGGGCTGGGAGAGCTGCTCGGGGGCGTGAAGGTGGAGGAATTCGACTATCTGCACGGGGCGATTTACTGCGATGAGGTGAGTCGAACGTGAATGCCATTCCCCTAGTCGCTTCCGCTTCTTCTTCTTCTTCTTCTGCATCTTCCACTTCTGCATCTTCCGCTCCTGCATCTTCCGCAGCGCCACTCCAATCCTTTCCCTTTCCCCCAGAAATCCATCCAGAAAAACTGAACCCCCTCCGCAGATGGCCCGCGCCGGCATCGCCGGGCCCTCGGGCTCCCTCACCGTCGGCATGGCCTTCGGCGTGCCGCCCATCATCAAGTTCGGCTCCCCGGCCCTCCAAGCCCGCTTCCTGCCGGACCTCCTCACCGGCCGCGCCCGCGCGTGCATCGCCATCACCGAGCCCGACGCCGGCTCCGACGTCGCGCGCATCACGACCACGGCCGTCAAGTCCGCCGACGGCAGGCGCTACGTCGTCAACGGCACCAAGAAGTGGATCACCAACGGCATCTGGAGCGACTACGCCGCCATGGCGGTGCGGACGGGTGGCGAAGGGCCGGGGGGGCTGAGCATGCTCGTCGTGCCGTTGAAGGGGGAGAAGGGGGTGAGCATGCGGCGGTTGAAGGTGGGCGGGCAGGTCAGCGCGGGGACGACGTTTATCGAGTTGGATGACGTGGAGGTGCCGGTGGAGAATTTGATTGGGGAGGAGGGGATGGGGATGAGGTATATTAGTGAGTTTTGTTGCTCCCTTCCCTCTTTTGTCTCGTTTCGTTTTGGAAGAGTGCCGTGCTGGGACCGAGGACGGGGTGTGTGGGATGTGTGATGGATTTGTTGGAAAAGGAGGGAAAGAAAGAGAGAAGACGTATTGACCACCGAAACCCACCCCTGCAGTGACAAACTTCAACCACGAGCGCCTCACCATCGCCATCTCCACCACCCGCTACGCCCGCGTCGCCGTCGCCTCGGCCATGGACTACGTCCTGCGCCGCGAGGCCTTCGGCGCCCCCCTCGTCGAGCAGCCCGTCGTCCGGCACCGGCTCGCCAAGGCCGGCGCCGAGCTCGAGAGCCTGCAGGCCTGGGTCGACCAGTTCGTCTACCAGATGACGCGCCTCTCCAAGGCGGACGCCGACGCCCGGCTCGGCGGCCTCACCGCCCTGGCAAAGGCCCGCGCCGGCATCGTCTTCGACGAGTGCGCCCGCTGTGCCGTGCTGCTGTTTGGCGGCAACGGATACACCAGGACCGGTCAGGGCGAGATCGCCGAGAGGATTTACCGCGAGGTGCCCGGACAGAGGTATGTATGCTTTGGCTTCCTTTTTTTTTTTTTTTTTTGCTTTCTTTGTTTGTTGCGATGGTCGGTGGGCGTGAAGTGAGTGAGGGCAGCAGCGACATCAACATCGTACCCCTCAATATGGACATTCCTATTCCCTTCAGTTCACAGCATTGTTTTTTTTTTCTGAAAAGAAAAGGACAGCTGACTGATTTCATCTCGCGGCAACAGGATCCCGGGAGGATCGGAAGACGTGCTGCTCGATCTGGCCATACGGCAGCTGGTCAAGAACTACAGGAAGCAGACAAAGGCTCTAGAGCGGCCGAGCGGGTCGTCGAAACTCTAGATTACTTTCAACAAATCTACATGTCTGCATCGTCATAAGTGTCCAGGCCTCTTGTGGGGGTGTGTGGTGTGCAGCTCCGGAGTTAAGGAAGTAGGCTCGCATCGGGACAAGTGGAGCCATCGAATCGAATGCAGGAGAATCAGCAACCTGTTTGGGGCCACGGTTGGATTTTCTTCGCAGGTTCCCATGGCGTGCTGCGGTGCGACGTTTGCTACGTTGTCGTCACGTTGTCGTCAAAAGCTTGTTTCGAAATCTTCCCTCAACCCTCCGTATGCCCGCCCCCGCTGCCCCGATGTCTTACTTGATGCATTATTCTGTGCGCCTGGCGCGGTTTTTGTCTGTACTCATCCGTATCTGGCCCAATGAACAGGGCAAGCTGCAAGTGTGGGGGGGAAAGGCTTGTTCTTTCGAACAATAAGAAAGAAAAACGACCGGCGGGAACGAGCCACCAACTACGAGCGAGTTATTTCCGCGATCGTCGTTACACTACTTTGCGACTGCAACAAATCCTGACAGTAGTAGTAGTCCCGCTTCTCGCCTTACCTGCTGGGTTCCGGTTTCCTGCTCATCAGCCCGGGGGGTGCCGCTACCTATGCTTGCGCTTGCGCTTGCGCTTGCTCTGCGCTACGCCCGCACCGGCTCCGCGCCCTGCAGCAGCGCACCCAAGGCAAACGGACAACGCAGAGCGAGCAAAGGAGATTATTGAGAGAAGGCCGCGTTCGGCCAAGTACCGCGTTTCGATTCCGCACGCCTCCCCCGCCCCGCCAGACCCCCCACAGACACACGCACCCCGCATCAATCGTCAGCCTCAGTAGCCTCATCGAGGCTAGGCTTGGACATGGAGGTAGGGGAAAAGGACCTGATTGACGGGCATGGCAATCCGGAGCTAAGGAAAGAGCAGAAAACCTTGCAGGCGGGAGCAAAAGTGTAGATGCACGAGCAGTCCCGCGATCGATGTGAGAGAGTCTGGGTGTGAGCGAGAGAGGAGTGCTTGGCTGCCTTTATCCGCCATGATACGGCCTTCTGCAAGAGCAAGGAAAGCGCTGGGGGTGCGCCTTGCCTCCTGCATGGCTCAAAGCCGTTGGCGCGAACTCGTGGGCTGCCTGGCGGTAGGCGGTGGGCGGTGACTGGAGGTGCTTTGATGGCAACGGCAGTGCCAATTAAAGCACGCGACACGTCACGGGCTGGCGACGAGCGAAGGAATCAAAGGAAAACGACAAAAAGCCATCGTGGGGATTGTGGAGAAGGTGGCTGGCGGTTTCTTCGAGGACGCGACTCAGGCAATAGGTACGTGCTGTGCTCTGGCCAGCGGGGACGACGGCCAAAAACTAGAAGTTGGAATTAGCGCCGAGTGGTGAAGATCGTGATTGCGCCCCCAAGCTGGGTCTCGTGCGGTGAGTTGACACAGTGCCAAGTGTTTTTTTCCCCGCGGGGTCTCCGCCAAACCCGAGTCTGAAGGAACGAGGCGATTGTGTCAGGGAACACGAGAACCGCCTCCTTGCCCCGCCGTAGCGGCTGCGTGCCGTCTTGTCCGCGGTTGCCGATGACGGCGAGGACTGAGATGGCGGGATCTGGAAAATACATGGCGAACTGGAACCCACGGCGAGCGAGCGCCTATACGTACCTGTCCACCCTGCTGTTACTGGACGCAGGCCGCCGCTATCGGACCTACATCTGGGCCCGTCTGATCGATAATCGGAAGCGAAGGGTTCATGCATCATCATCCTGTGGTGCGTCAGATATTTCTTTCGCGTCTCATCACTAGACACGTCGTTGGTCAGCGTCAAGCGGCCCCGTCCCGTTTCGCGCTCTTTGCCTTCGCCCTCTCCCTTCGCGGCGCGTGGGGGAGGCTTGGGGCTCAGCCACCATGGACGTTTGCACGAGCTGGAGCAGTCTTGCTGCAACGAGCATCGTGCCCCGCGGGTTTCCCTTTTATTTGCGCACCTGCATGGCGCTGGGCGGTGGGCTCGGCATGCGCCGGCCTATCCCGAGCCTATCCGCGCACGCGCTGCGAGTCACCCGCCGGCCAGAACCCATGGCGCGGCTGGGTGCGGGTGATTTGATTACACAGCGTCGCAGGGCCGTGTTGCGGCGGCTGTTGTTGGTGCAGAAGTGGGCGATGTGCGATTTATGGAGAATCGCAAGGGGACCCACTGCGGCTTTTTGCTGCGCGGCGCTGCGGGGGTTACGAGACCGGGGGGTGTTGGATCGAAAAGGGAAGCCGACGAGAGAAAAGGCGCGGTGGACCAGGTGGCAGTGGCAGCGGAGGGCCGGGCCAACGACGAACTGTTAAGTCTCGCTGACCGGAATGCTGGCCAACGGCGGCTTGGGTGGGCCAGGAGCTTCGACGATGACGGCGCCGGTGGAGGTGGCGGGAAGACGGACGCCGGACGGTCGAGTCCATCGTGATCCACACCCATAGCACACCCACTTCGGACCGCATCCGCTTCCAGGGGGGGCGGTCCCACAAGTTGTTGATATCAGAGCCTCGCAAGACGTGCAGCCTGGCCGCTGCCACTTCACCAGCAGGCTCGCATGACCAGCGGCTGCACAATGCACCGCGACCCTCTTGCGCTGCTACCCAGGTATCTGTGCTCGCCAGCGGCCAGAGGTACGGTGAACGCCAGGCCCAGCGGAGCGCGCGCTAGGAGCAGCGACGAGGCAGTCTTCACCACCGAATGGCGGACAGCGCAATTGGGTGCTGGCCTGAATCCCGAGCCTTCTCCGTGCACCACAGCGAAGCAGGCACCATGCGAGAGGCAGCACGCAGCACGGCGACGATCCCCATGCGTGGCGTCGTGGAGATCGGCCGCTTGCCGCGCCCCACAGGGTTTGCCTTGGGCGCGCAGTAGGTAGGTATTCTCTTCGTCATCATCGCGGTGCTGACATTCGCCGTGCCACCGTTCGCGGAATGGCAGCGTTATCTGCTAGTGGCCGTGCGCGCGCGAGGTGCGAGGTGCGAGGTCACTGTGAGGGCAAGCGGGCGGGGCCTGGGGCCCGGGGCCATGGCGACGACGGCGTGGCGGCGGCGGCGCCGGCGGCAGCGACTGCAGCGCGATTGCAGCGATGTCGGCGGACTCTGCTCCTGGACGGCGTGGTTTGCGCATGGTGGCGGAGGGGAGCAGCAGGTCGAGGGCGCAGGGCAGGCCGTCCGGCCGTCCGGTTTGGGCAGATGGCTGCGAGGGTGCATGGAGCGCGTTTCGCAGCACGCTGACCGGCGCTCAGATGCCCGCGAGCATCCGCTAGCATGGCCGGTGCGGGCTGGCTGGGCGGGCGTCCCCCGTCTGCCACGCGCGCCCTTCCAGAAGAACCTTCTTCGATCTTCAAAGGGGCTCTGCTGGGCTGAACCATGGGCGCTGCGCGGGCTCGGGGCGGCTTGGCTCCAGTGGGAGGCATGTGAAAGGCGCTGACGCGCTGGGCTCGGCCGTAGCGCGGGCTGTCAAAAGCCAAAAGCGCGCAGCTCAAGGGGTCACGAGCGTGGAGCGCGGTGGGGCGGCCGTCTCATCTCAAAAAAGGCGTCGCGAATCTCACATGCCGGGCCATGCTGGGCCAAGCCTTGCGCGCCGCCGGACGGTGGGAGACATGGGAGACGTCAGGCAGCGCCAGGCCAGCCAGGCCAGCCTGTGCTAGGCTAAGCATGACGTTGGCCGGGCGTGTGACACGGCAGCGGTGTCCTGTGCCGGCCGCCATGCAGGCAAGCAGATGCCAATTACTCGTCGCGCCCCGCCGCCTGCCAAACGGCGCAGTGCATCCGAGAGTGCCCGAGCTGCACTGCCCGGACAGGCATGGCGCCGCCGTGGAGAATCCGGGGTCGCTCCACATCCGCTGGGTAGGGAAAGGGACGCGTGAATTCATCGTCCTGGGCCCAAGTGCCCTTTTGGCCCGCATACAAAGTCTCCACGATCCCCCTTCCCGCATCCGGCCCTGCGATCTGGCCCCCTTCCGCTGCAAGAGTGTTGCTGTCCGCCGCGCACGAGACCCTGGCCGCGCCCCTCATATCAGCCCTCTCCCCTCCGCCCGTCCGTCTCCATTGCCACGCCCTCAGCCATTGCAGACGCCCGCCGACCTCGCCGTCTCTCCCGCCCCTCCCGCCTCTCCACCATGTCGGCCTCTCCCGCGTCGAACACGGACTCGACCGAGCTGCTCGCCCCGCCGCCGCCGCCCTCGCAGCAGCAACCGCAGCAGAGCGCCGCGCCCGCCGCCGCGCCGACGTCCCAGCAGCAGGCCGCGGCGAAGCGGAAGGCTTCGGCCGCCGGCATGGACAACCACGGTACCGGCCGCAGCGTCAAGAGGAGGGCATCCAAGGCGTGCCAGTGCTGCCGCGCGCGCAAGGTGCGCTGCAACGTCACCGAGCACGGCGCTCCATGCACCAACTGCCGGCTCGACGAGGTCGAGTGCATCGTGTCCGAGTCTCGCAGGAAAAAGTCAGTACCGCGCTCAAGCCGGGCGGATGAGACCTCTGCGTCCGTCTGTTATTTTCTTTTCCCTTCCCCTGTGCGCCATCGAGATGGAGAAAACTGGGGCGCGGGGCTGGGGCCCCTGCGTCTTCACCGCTGCTGGCCAATGGGCGCCCGTGCAGAGTGTTTCCCTCGCTGCGCCTCCGCTGGTCCTGGCGAAGGTGCACGGCGACTCCACTGTCTGCCGAAACACCCTCGCACCTCGTCTGCCGGCCCCGTCTCGGAGCAATGCCCCGCCTGCAACAACCAATCGCCGCGCCTGACGACACGCATGCTGACGCAACCCTCAATCTGCAGGAAGTGGTCCAGAGACGACGACGCCTCCAAGAACACCAACGACGCCGATGTCGCCAGCGCCGCCAACGGCTCGGGCAAGCGCAGGCTCGCCTCGCGCGATGCTCTCGACGGCATCTCGTCCCTCAAGGACGGCGCATCCGGCAGCGTCGACCTGTCCATGGACGAGCACGTGCCGCACTCGATATGTTTGTGCTCCCGTGCCTGCGCAGCCGTTCAGCCGCATTGCTAACGAGTCATTCCCGCAGACGCATCACACGGCCAGCGTCTCAATTACAGCTTTTCCGAGCTGAACCGCCGCATGTCGACGGCTTCCTCCTCCACCGGAACCGGGTTTCCGATTCTGGGCTACAGCCCCGTCTCTGCCGACGCGAAACTGCAGCAGCCGTTTTTCCCCAACATCGCGCCCAAGACCAGTGCCGGATTCAGCCTCCCTGCGTGCATCAAGCCGCTGCCTCCGCGGATAGGCCAGGATGAGATCGCCTATCTGCAGAAGAAGGGTGCACTAACGATCCCTTCGTTTGAGCTGAAGACCGAGCTTCTCCGCGCCTATGTCGAGTTCGTGCATCCCTACATGCCATTGTTGGACCTGCACGAATTCCTACGCATCATCGATTGTCAAGATGGTAGCCAGGGCAAGATGAGCTTGATCCTGTTCCAGGCCGTGATGTTTGCGGGCTCCGCGTTTGCCGATTTCAAGTACCTTCGTAAGGCTGGTTACTCGAACCGCAAGGAGGCGCGCAAGGACTTCTTCCAGAAGACAAGGGTGAGTCGAGACAGAAAAGTCGCAGATGACTGCTTGAGACACGTCACAGGACTGCCAGTCCCCTGAACGATGAGCATGATTCCGCACCCACTACAGTTGTTAACCAATACTTGCAGCTTTTATACGACTTCGACTATGAGCAAGACCGTGTGTCGCTGGTGCAGGCGCTTCTGCTCCTCACCTACTACTATGAGACTCCCGACGACCAAAAAGACACGTGGCACTGGATGGGTGTCGCTACCTCGGTCGCGCACACAATAGGCCTGCACCGCAATCCCGACAAAGCCAACATGGATCCCAAACGGGTGAAGCTTTGGAAGCGGATTTGGTGGTCGACGTACATGCGTGACCGTCTCATCGCTCTCGGCATGCGGAGGCCGACAAGGATAAAGGATGAGGACTACGACGTACCGCTGTTGACGCTCGACGACTTTGAAATCGCCGCCGTGCCTGACAGCATCTCCTGCATTCCCGCCGACTGCGTTGTTGCACGCGATGTCGCACTGCAGCGCCAGTTGGCCGTTTGCTGCATCCAAAAGGCCAAATTGTGCCTCTGTATCAGCCACGTGCTCTCGAAGCAGTACTGCGTTTTGAACAATAACCAAGGCCTTCTCAACGACCGCACCACAATGATGTTGTTACCCAAGAAGCTTGACCCTCAGAAGTCGGATGTCAAGCACTGTGACGCGGAACTGAAGAAGTGGAAGGAAGAGCTCCCAGACGAGGCAAAGTACGAGGAGGCATCGAGTGGGAACAGGTCCGTTGACCTCCACAAGTCCCTCCTGCACATGGTCTTCTACACGACGCTTTCCGCACTTCATCGGCCTCAGGTGCTTCCTTCAGGACCCGTTGATGGCTGTCCCGAGCAAGATGCGAACGGAGTTCTCGAGTCATCTCGTCGCCACGTCCGCACTGCTGCTACAGCCATCACAGGTATTGCACAGAAGCTGGATTCGCTCGATCTCGTTCGCTTCCTCCCTACCACTGGTGTGACGGTCCTGCTTCCTGCCATCATCATCCACCTGCTGGACATCAAGTCGCCGGATGAAGAAACGCGTCGTTCCAGCCTCCGTGGGTTCTGTCAGTGTATGCAGGTCATGGGTAAGCTTCGGGATCTGTATGCTGCAGCAGACTACAGCACAGCATTCCTGGAAGCTGCCATTCGCAAGGCTGGCATTTCCATCGCGCCAATCCCCCCACCTCCGGAGCAGCCTGCGCCAGCTGCGCCAGCTGCACCAGTGCAAACTGTTCCCACTAAGCAGCAGAAGGCAGATTCCGCGGGCGTTGGCGATCTGCTCAACGCTGGTCGTCGCCTGGACACAAGCGGGAATGTTGCGCCCTACAACACCATCACCCCGCCGCCGGACAGCATGACGGAGGACGGGCTCAACGGGCACTCCAGCCTGCACGATGCCGACAACACGTCGGACGAAGAAGTCGCCCGCCGCCTCGAGACCTTCCTGGCGAGCACGCCGCCCGCATCGGACCACCACGCGTCGGACGCGTCGCAGCCAGACGTCGACGGCGCCAACAACCACCACCACGTCCACGCGCACAACGACGCGTGCGGCAACGACCACAGCCACCTGGACGGCGTCGACATGGACGGCGGCTCGGACAGCAACCAGCTCTTCCCGTGGCCGAACTTCACCCTCGACGAGGGTTCCGGCGGCGACGTCAACTCGTTCTGCGGCAAGATCGACGGGCTCACGGGCTTCGAGAGCGGGGCGGGCGCCGCGAGCACCACGCTGGAAGATGGCGGCTTGGCGGTCGACTTCGACGCGTTGATGAACACGGACGCGATGGGCGACGCTTGCGCGAGCTTCTCGTTCAACGACTTCGGCACGAACGACGACGGCGAGCACGGCAACGGGTTGGGTGGATTTGGCAGTGAAGCGCTGGACGTCGGCGTTGCCAGTGTGGATTGGATGAAGGGGATGGCGTGAGCGAGCGAGCGAGCGAGTCGGTTTGGTCTTTCGTCTTTGGATTTTGGTTTGGTTTGGTTCCTCTTCGTTGTGAAAAATATTCCTCCAAAGGTTGTTTTGGTGTTTATATATGCAAGAGTCGGTGTTCCGGACGAAACGGAAATTTGGGTTACCTACCAGGGAAAACGGGCAGAGGCGAACTTGGGGGAGTTGGATCTTTTTTCTTTGTTTGCGCAATCTTGGTTGAAAAAGAGACCGGGTGGCATAGAGGTCGGGCGAAGCGGCATTTGAAAAACGAAAAAGGAACACCTCACAGTACCTTTCTGGTTTTGGGTTGTTTGATTACACGGAAGGCTATGATGGTTATGCATGCTTCCTCTGTCGATATCTAGGTTACGAATAGCATGCCAATGGAACGGAAGTAAGAAAAGAAAGAAAAAAAAGCTCAAGCAACTACAATAGTGGGGACAAGCAGTTGAAGCCTTCGCACTGACAACCAGACGAGAGCTTCCCCATCGCGGAGAGACTGTGCTCGCCTACTGCGTATGTATATGTACATACATATGTGAAAACTTCAAACACACTGCAGAGAAAGAGAGTCATGATGCATTATTGCCTAGCCGAAGAGTTTTCTGGGGCTTTGCCGATCGCTCTTTCTCTTCCAATTGTGTCGGCCCCCACGGTCGTTTAAGCGCCGGGAGGGCACTTGAGTATGACGCCAAGCAAACGGCCGTCCACGGTGCCTGTGCCGCAACCGCAACTCTAACGATCATCCCCACCTGCTGCTGCTGCCTGCCTTCCTCCCGCTTCCTCGCTCGCTTGCTGGAAAGCGTTCGTTCCCTCGCTCGTCCCGACTTGTTGTAAACCAGAAAAAAAAAAAAGAAAAAGCATGATGGCTTCGGTTGCAGACCGTACGTTCCATATAGGCTCTCGGAGCTAGTGCGCAACCGCCTTTGTGTTTCCAGCTTTAATGTGCTGCTGTTCTACGCCGCACACCAGCAGCACCTGCGCCGCACGCACGCACGCACCCGCGCACCCGCGCAGCCGCCGATCCCCTGTAAAGAGAAAGGAACATTGCTCCACCAATGCGGCCCAAGTATAGATAGCCAGGCGGCAGCACGCGGCGCAGCAAGGTGCCTTTTTTTTTTTTGGTAATATGGAGACAATGCCCGCGCGTGTGCGCCGCAGCGCTGCTGATTAAAAAAAAAAGTCGCACATCACACCTTTTCGCGCGCGCACCGCCGCCCCCGCTGCCGCAGACGTCGTTTACTGTCTGAATGACAGTGTCGTCTTTTTTTCTTTTTGGCACGGTTCTCGCTTTTCTTTCTTCCTCTCTCTCTCTCTCTCTCTCTCTCTCTCTCTCTCTCTCTTTCTATCTCTCTTTCTCGCTCTCGCTCTCGCTCTGCCTTGCGTACAAGGTGTACATGAGGAGTGAGCGAGTGAGTGTCTGCCATCTCCCATCTTTTGCCTGGATAGAAGAGTATCTGCCAGGCTGTACGATTTTTCTCTTAATTATCCAGTCAACCTAATCAACCAAGAAACCATGCACACAAGTGGAGTTACACGCGACACCACCACCGCGCCACCGCCGTACCCCCACGACGACGACGAGGCCCCGACATGGCCGTCTCAGCCCAGCAGTCGCGTAAGCAGCTTGGATTCCGGGCGACGACCGGCATCTGGCCCGTATTCGCCGGTGCCGGACGTGTCGGATGAAGAGGAGGAGGGGGATGATGACGATGGCCGCGGTGGAGGGTATGCGCGAGTTCCTGTTACCGCTGCTGCTGCTGCTGCTGCTGCTGTTAGGGAGAGCCAGAGCCAGGGCCAGAGCCAGAGGCTGTCGTGGATGTCGGATGATTTTCAGTCTGGAGACGATGGCGCGACGGGCTGGGGGCGGCAGCAGCGGCAGCAGCAGGGGCAGCAGCAGCGAGACTCGGCGACGACGCTGGGGAGTGGTGGTGGTGGCAGGGGTGATGACGATGGCGTCGACGACGCAGAGAGGGAGGAGGAGAAGAAGAAGAAGAACGACGCCCTGTGCGAGATGGCACGACTGTCGACGGATGGCGGCGACGATGACGCCGCCAGAGCAAATCAGCCGCCCAAGTGGATGCCGTTCCACCTGCGACGGCCGTTCTTGGTGGGGTTCGCTGTCGTGTGGGTGCTCATGATCGTGGCGTTGGAGGTGCTGTATTTCGTCTCGGAGCGTGACGGCGGGATCGCGACCGTGGACGAGGGCTTGCATTACTTGTGGACGTATGGGCCGACGTTTGGTGAGTGTTTTCCTTGCGGCTCATGCTCCTTCTTCTCCTATTGTGGATTTTGCTGGACTGACGGGGACCTCCGTGTTTGCAAGTCCTCACCATGGCCGCTGCGCTGTGGGGACAGGTGGAACATAGCGCGAAAGGGATCATGCCGTGGACGCTGATGAGCCGCGGGCCGACGGTGGCAGAACACGGCCTGCTGCTGAACTACCTGACATCGTCGATGGCGGGGTCGATGGTCCGGTCGCTGCGGAGAGGCCACTTCGCCGTCAGCATCGGCATCCTGGGGTCCTTGGTCGTGCGGCTTCTGATCATCTTCTCCACCGGTCTGCTCAGCTTGGAGTACCGCTCCGTGACCAACGCCAAGGACTTCGTCTTCCAGGACAGCCCCAACTTCGCCAAGGTGGTGGACTATACCAGCTTCTCCAGTGAACAGTTCCGGCCGTTGAGCAACGGCGTCAACTTCTGGGCTATTCTTGATTATAATTTGTCGTATCCTCATGGGGCGACGTCGAAGTATGCTCTGCAGTCTTTTGCGCCTAGTGATGGTGGTGAGTGTGTCGCGTCTTGTTGGCCTTCGTTTCCTTTGCAGCTAACGATGGGTAGGCGATTACATCAACGTGACGGCCGATGTCCAGGTCTTCGAGGCCTCACTGGAGAACTGCGAGACGTTCAACTTTAGCTACGATACAGGGGGCTCGTCAAACACTTTCGGCATCTCTTGGCATAAAGGGGTCCCAGAGCGCTACTGGAGCACTTTCGAGCCCTGGTGCTACACGGACCATTCGACGTACGGCACGTCTTCATCCGTAGCAGACGGCCTCCTTAACGAATTCATGAACCTGACGCAGCATGTCGTTAGATGCACGAATTCGTCGAATTCGTTACCGGTAGAGGAGCGGGAAGACCGCGTTCTCATCACACTCGACGCCTGGGTCTCTCAGGATCAATCAGCGTCTTCAGGCATAATGTGCGAGCCGAAATACTCGCTGACCCGGCGAACAGTCACGAACGTGACAGGGAGCACCGGGATTGAGGATGGACTCAACGTCAGCGCAGAGGTCAAAGAGAGGTTGGACCTGGGCGCTCGGCCTTTCAACATCACCCGTAACATACTGTACAGCGTGGGGGGCGAACATGCCGACGGTATCTTCGACATCCAGGCGAACGCGTGGTACACGTTGCTAAACACGACAGAGCCGCAGAGCAGCCTACAAGCCTTCAGCAACACAAGCCTGGTGGTGGAGCTCTCGCAACGCGTGTTCCCTGGCTTCGCGGCTTACACGATCAAGAAGGACTTCATGGACCCTTCGGACGAGACTGCGAACGGCACCGTCGTCTTCACGCAGAACCGTCTTTGCGTGCAGGAGCTGTCGCTGAGGCTCATGGAGGCTCTCCTCGGGCTGCTGACACTGCTCAGCATAGCGTTGTGCTTCCTGTCTCCCGGAGTCTTCCACCGGGATCCGAGATCTGTGGGCGCCCATGCCTTGATTCTAGCAAGGAGCCCGGGCCTCATCAAGCTGCTGAGCGGTTACGGCGCGTCGTCGAAGCAGGCTCTAAAGTCGCGCCTTGCCGGCCACACGGCGCTCTTTCCGCAGCGAGCGTCACCGGAAGACGCGGCCATCACCGTCGCTCCGCAAGATGGCACAAGGTGCGAGGCAGAGTGCCCAGACGAACTCGAGCAACGTCGATGGTGGCACCCCATGCCGGCGACGTGGTGGTTCAGAAGCTCGCTGGTGGCGGCAGCGATGGGCATCATCATAGCGCTCGAGGCGCTGCTGCAGGCGTCAGAGAAGAACGACGGGCTCGGGGACGTGCGGCTCGACGGCTATCAAAAATACGCGTGGACCTTCATCCCAACCGTCGTCATGGCGGGCATCGGGCTGGCCTTCTCCATGGCCGACTCGACGGCACGCACGCTCCACCCGTTCCAGCTGCTGGGCAAAGGCCAGGCCAGCTTCGGCGAGCTGCTGTACGACCCGGCGGGCCAGGTGTCGCTGGTGGCGGTGGGGCGGGCGGCGTGGAAGCGGCACTTTGCGCTGCTGGCCATGATGCTGACGGGCCTGCTGGCGCCGCTGCTGACCATCGTCACCAGCGGCCTGTACACGGCGGAGCCGGTGCCGGGCGTGCGCAACGTCACCCTGACGCTGCACGACTGGTTCGACGTCCAGAACCGCTCCGTCAACATCATCAACACGGTCGACGGCGACGACGGCGAGGCCTGGACCGTGTTCCAGCTGCTGGAGTTCTCGAACCTGTCGTACCCGCAGTGGACCCACGGCGAATACGCCTTCTCCAGCTTCGGCCTCGACGTCGATGATAGTAGTAAGAGTAGTAGCAGCAGCAGCAGCAACAACAACACCACCACCACCACCACCGTCGCCGACGGCATGACCATCCGCGCCCGCCTGCCCGCCGTGCGCGCCAACCTCAACTGCAGCCTGCTGCACTACTACGAAAACCGCAACTTCACCTACGCCGACATCCCCGGCGGCGACAGCTTCATCCCCATCGACCCGCCGGCCGGCTGCCGCACGCCGCCCTACAGCAGCAACGCCACCCGGCGCCAGATCTGGCTGACGCCCGACCCGGCCATCGACGCGGACGGCACCCTCGACCGCGCGCGCCGGGGCGAGGACGGGGGCGCCTTCGTCGCGCGCCTCGAGGACGACTACGCCACCGTCAGCCTGGCGTGGGAGGACGCGTACGTCGGCTCCGCGTCGACGTCGACGAGCGTCGGCCTCTGCGGCGACGGGCGCCAGCACGTCTTCTACGGCGTCGGCGCCAGCGGGCCCGACCGGCTCTGGGAAGACTTCGCCCTCTTCCACTGCGCGCCCTACGTCGAGGCGCTGTTCGTCGCCGCCAACCTGTCGCTGCCGGGCCTCGACCTCGTCGTGCTCGACGACAGCGACGGCGATCCGCCCGTCGTCCCCGACGAGGACTCGACCGCCTTCCTGTCCGCCTCGGCCAGCGCCACCGCCTTCGCCAACGCCGACTTCGACACCTTCGCCGCCGCCCTCGTCAACGGCAGCGTCGGCGGCATCGGCGGCGTCGCTCACTTCTCCTCGCTCGTCGGCCGCGCCAACGTCGGCCGCGCCAAGCAGGCGCTCGAGTCCCTGTACGCCGTCTACGGCGCGCAGAGGCTGCATTTCAACTACCGCCGGGCGCTCGACGTCGACGGCTCGGTGCCGGCCTTCGCCCCCGCCGCCGCGAACGAATCGTCGGAGGCCGGATCATCAGCCAATGCGCCGGGCACCATGGAACGGTTCGTGGGCGGCGGCGGGGGTAGCGCCGTGTTGACGGATCGCACGCGGTTGCGGCTGAAGCAGAGCGCCGTGTCGACGCGCATCTTGGAGGCGCTGGTCGCCGCCATGGCCCTGTGTTTGGTGGTGGCGGCCGTGTTGGAGAGGAGGGGCGGAGCGGCGGCGGCGGCGGTGGTGTTTTCGTCTGAGGCTTCAGCTTCGTCTTCGTCGAGGCTGGGCGGCTGGAGTGGTGGTGGTGGTGGGAGAGTTGTGCCGAAGGATCCGGGGTCGTTGGCTGCGAAGATGAGTTTGTTCGCGGACGAGGAGGTGTGGAGGAGGGAGGTGCCGGTGGGGGCGGAGAGGTGGGGGGATGGGGAAGTTGTGCGGAAAGGCGTGTTCCAGGGGTGCGTGTTTGGATTGGGGTGGTGGGGTGCCAGTGGGGAGGATGGGACGGGCGGGAAGGGGAGGTTTGGGGTGGATGTGGTTGGGAGGGCGGATCCGAGGGGGTCGACGTGATGGGCGGAGCTGGCCTGGATATGCTCTTTGTTGCTCATGATACCTGTTTGACCTTAATTTTTCTTCTTTTCCTTTCTCCCTCCTCCTTTCCCATTTCTCCTGTTTTTTTCGCGATGCGACCAGACACTGCGTAATGAGACCAAAACTTAACCAATACATATCAAGCTGTCTTCCCATTATGAGCCCTCAGCACCTTCCGAAGTACCATTCAACCAGGACGCGAAACATAGCTTTTGATGCTTGCCGTCTTGATGTCAAGAAGCTGCTGATCATGGATATCTAGCGCGCGACCTGCTCTATTACTTACAACAGCGAACTGCGGCTGCGGATCGAGATCGTCCTTCCCGTTTCCCAGCCGGCGGGGAGGGCGGCAGTGATAGCATAGCACACTAACCAGCCTGTTCAAGTGATGCAAAGCCATTCCGAATTGAGGAGTCTCCACAGGTTTGTCTCAGACCAAACTTCCACTCCGCGCAAGACAAAAGCAAAAGGCAGAAGCAAGGGAATCTAGAGACAACTGTTCAACGTGGTGTCTCAACCTTGAAAGAAGCTTACGCCCACGTAAGCTAGTCGTGCAGCCCCTTCGTCTGTGTAGCACATAGCGTTTCGTTCCTGCCTTTGTGGAACACGCCCTATACCGAACCCTGTGATGACTGCGACGACGGCCTCTAGTACGTTGACGTACATGGTTTCCGTTGAAACTCTTCCAAGACATGAAAGACCTCCCAAATTGCGTATACTGTCCACTGTTCCTATCGAGTGAGCTCGATTATGATGCGACGACTGATTATTGTTCTGTGCTGGACCTTGCGATCGGTTTCGAGACCATTTGGGAAAAACTTCTTCTCGTTACTGGTGTGGTCTTGGACTGGCCGAGGCCCTGTGAGACGCACAGCACTGGAATATGGATTGAGTGTCTATCGGCGTTCGCGGAGCTATGCGGAAAAGTTACAGTTGAAGTGTCGTACAAAGAGAGCTGCAGTGATGGTCAAGTTTGATGGGCATAGCAAAAAGCGATTGTGTTGTTGGAACAGCACTTCCCCACTAGCTCGCTCTCTGGTGAGAAGCGAAGAATTGTGATTAGCTCTGCGTGCATGAAGACAGCTCGACAGGGGCCCACGGACTGCGAGAATTACCTTCAACGACTCACCGGCATTTCTCGGCACTTGGAGACACCGCATCGTGCAGTCGCACCACGCGCGAAGGATTCAGCTGTCATACTACTCGCTTCCAAGAATAGGGCACCGAAGAGCAGCAGGTGGGAACATCATGGCTGAGCCAAGAAAGTCGGATCGTATTCCACCAACCACGCTCACCGCTGGCGGTTTGCTTGTCAAGAGCGATACGAGCCGCACGATCCGTTCTCATTACCAAATCATGCGTTCGAATCCAGAGAACTTCGAAGCGAGCAAAGAGGGCGAAGATACTTCAAGGTACAAGGCCAGCCGCCATGGCCCGGAAGATGGCATATCGTTTGCCAATCGAGAAATCGAGGGGGTGTCGAGCCATCGAGTTTTACTGGATAGTGAGAATAAGCCTTCGTTGCCGCACCTGATTTAGGTCCAGGCTAGAAACCGCCAACAGCCGAGAGATCCGAAAAAGCACTTGATCGTAACCGTGGGCCATGGCGAGTGCTTCGCCCATGAGACCTGCAGTGCCTTTTGGTAGGTGGGAAAGAGAAGCCAACACGAGCAAAGGGCTTGCGAAGGAGCGCGGTCGCTGAATACCCGTTTCTAGAATATGTGAGTTTTTGCCACAGGCCTCCAGCCTCTGAGCACAGAGACCGCACTAGCGAGGTCTCATGGCCAACTTCTGCAGTGAGATACTGACGATGGATCCCTCGGGAGAACGGACTTCCATGTTTGCCTCCAACAGGGTGCGAGACATCTTGATGGCACGCCCCTGGCATCCGGGGTGCCGTGAAACGGGCCAAAAACAGGCAGTGGGCAGCGGAAGAGGTGAAGCAACTCACAACGCATCGCCTGGAGAGACCCACCTAGATCATGCAATGGAGGGAATTTTGGCCCTGGCTTCTGCTTCGAACTTGTCGGAAGGGAGACAGAACTATTGTTTGCATGCATAGCGAACAGATCAGGCGAAGAGATCAGGCGCCGCAGCAACAACCAGCAGTGCGGCAGAACTGCATACTGATGTGCCGGTGCTGGGGAAAATGGCGTTGGTGGCGGTTCGTCATATTAGATGCTGGGCTGAACGGGTTCCACAGAAGCTCCAGCGCAGAAGTAGGCCTATCTGCCTCAATATATGTGCGTCTCAATTTGGAGCGTTCGCCGTGATGACGCGTAAGCCGAGCATAATCCGGAATTTCAAAAAATGCGCCTACAGGACCTGACGGCCAACCAGTTCAGCCTTACCCGCATTAGAAGAGTGCAGTTGATTCATTCTGTTGACAAAGCTTGCTCACCGCTTCAATCCTCTGCCGTGAAGCCGCCAGCCTTGCGCAGAGGTAGCCGAGCAAGCCGAAGGTGCATTCGTCGAAAAGCCGAACCCGACGCCATTTTGTTAGGCATGTAAGCGGGGTCATCGGCAGACGAACGTGCCACCGAGAGGAGATCCGAATGTCAGTTTTCGTCGACAGGACGTATGGAGTAATGGATGTCCATTGTTCAGAACACGTCAGTGCTCATTTCGGCGAGAGACGGACAAGAAGCACCCGATCGAAAAAAGCACCGGGCTCCCAGCACGTTGAGATGCGGCGATCTTGTTCGCCGCTTGTCGAACGGCTTCTTTGCTTTTCGCGCGTTCTCGGACTCGGGACGGCTGTGTTGGGTAGAACTGGCGAGCGAGTGCCCACAGTAGATGGGTACAAGGGCGATGTACATACATACCCATGTATAGACTTGCATTAGGCAAGCCTCCAATGGCATTCGCCTTCATAGCGTGTACGCTTCCGATATTGGCGCTACCATTGGATGTACAGTTGAATGTGGGGCACTTCGAGCCATGCCGCTGAACCCGTGAGTTGCTATGTGGCCGTCGCAGTGTGCAGCTGGGCAGGCGATGAACGCCCGTCAGCTCTGCTTAACCTATTAGATCATGCCAAAGAGCGAAGCTAACTCTCGCTTCGCTGACAGAAGAGCTTCGGCGGTGTGAGTGCTCGTAGGCGGCATCTTGCTGCGATCTTGACAAACAACAGTGGACCCGTTGGCATAAAGCGCATGCACCCCAGGGATTTGCTGCGATGCGCCGCCAGTTGGGAAATAGCCCGACGCGGCTGGACCTTGCTCTTGACTCCTTCCGCCCCACACGGCGCGGCGAGCTGGCAGCTCTTTCAGCCCCCAGATGGACAGGGCCAGATACAATGGTCGGTGGCCTTACGCGGAGAAAGCTGGATACCCCGACTGGCGATCGACATAGCAAGGTCGATCCTATTCGCATCCTTTCCAGGGCTTAAGAAAACGAAGAGGCGCTCCAACGGCGGAGGGCAGAGCGATGGCAAGCGAGAAGATGGCATGCAGCAGCTCGTTCTCAGCGCCGGGCACATGGTAGTGGCAGGCCAGGCTTCCGTCGCCGACCAACCCGAATACAAGCAACAGGGATGACAACCAAGACAGGCGGGTTCCGCGCCTTGGCGCGACGCCGCAGACGACGTTTTTCGGGCTAGGTGCCGCTCCGCCACGGCGCCTTCGTTCCAGCCCCCGTGGCTTGGCTTGAGTCGGCTATCCAACGTGCTTCCCATCCCGCCGTGGCATGTGCCGCTGCAGCCTGGATGGACTGAGCGGCCTGCGCTGGCTGACGGTGAGCGGCCGCCACAACACTGGACGGACAAGCACGGGGCTGACGGTGCGTTAGCCCCAACGGATGGCCCCAGCCTCAGAGAGCAAGCAAGCGGGCACTGCCAGGGTCGGGATCTGGGAAACGCCATTCGACTGCGTTGTCGGGCGACGAAAGGGTCTTCGCCGAGGCGCTGCTCACGCGGAGGCTCTCGCGCCTGGGAACCCCTGGAACAAGATACTTTTTCCCGGCGTAGTTTACGACGGCTTTAGATCGGCAGTAGCGGTGGTCAGACATTGCGGGCGAACGTCGCAAGGGTGACTCGGGCGCTCTGGCGTCCGGGAAGCGCGGGGGTGGAGGCCAGCTGGAGCTCCCGAAGGCTTGGCAGCCGAGTGCGCCGACATGCGAGGCGCAGTGCACGAGCTGTGAGGACAGGTGCCTGCTTCGGGTTCGTGAGCGAGCCGGAATCGAGGCGTGACGGCGGGTACACAACGCAGCATCGGGTGGCGTGGTGACGGACGCCGTGTAACTTGGGGAGAGGAGCAGTGGGCACGGGGGGCTTGGATCGTAAATTGTTTCCGCATCGCTTGTGGGCCCATAGGGCTGAGGATTCCTCGCTTGCGCGTGCGCGAAAACGGCAGGCATAACCACGCCATCACTTCCCCATCCAAAGCCACAAGCTGTATTGATTCTGCACTGCATCGCATCGTGTCAAACTTTCAGACAAAAAATGCATTTTGTGGCTAGCTGGAGCCACGTCTACCACTAGCGCCATCCTTGTGCTGCCCGCTGTACCGCAACAGGCGTTGATTCGTGGACTCATAAGGCTCAGAAGAAGAAGCTCAGCACTAACAAAACAGTAGGCCTCAAACAGGCATCCCCACTCGCCGCAATCAGATCGCCTATACCGCTCTCCACGTGGGCAGGGCGACAATGTGACCACCCTGGGACGAGCAGGCCTTCACTGACGCCGTCGGGGTCACAGTGGTCGTGTATGTCCAGCTGGCATGTGTCAATAATACAAACCAAAGCACAGTGGGAAGGGGGCACATACGTCTTGTAGAGAGTCTTGATAGCGGTAATGGTTGTGTACGAGATGCTCGTCCTCGTCTTCGTCGGCGTAGGCGCGGTGATGGTGGCGGTGGTCTTGCCCGAGTAGACGGTGCTGGGTGCAAGAGTGGACGAGACGGTCTGTGTAGTGAGGACAGTCTCGGTGGTGGTCGAAGGAGCGGCAGTATGAGTGACGGTCGTGTTGACCACAGTGTCTGCCGTGACAACGACCGTAGCCTCGTCAGGAGCGCGTTCGTCCAGCTCACGCTCGTTGAGACGCTCGGGAATCGACATGCCGCGCCTAAGGCGAGCCTCACGGATCATGCGGCGAGCCACGTTGGGGTCCATAGGCGTGTCGATGGCGTTGCGGACACGGACCGCTCCAGTCTGCAGTGCTGCGACGGAGACACGAGTGGGGGTGTATGTGCAAGTAGGATCGTGCTTGGAAGGCTTGGGCGGAACCGTGCAAGTGGCAGTCTTGGTCTTGGTAACAGTGGTGAGGCTCTTGGTCCACGATTGCCTGGTTCGGGTCTTGACCCATGTGACCCAAGACGTGACCGGCTTGGGAGTCACCGTCTTCTTCGCCGTGGCAGACGGAGAGGTGACGGTCTGCGTGTTCGGCACCGTGTCCGTCACCAGCAGCGTCGAAGTAAGGTTGGTTGTGAGTATAGGCGTTGAGGTGACATCCCATGTGACTGTGGAAGTGTAGGTGCTGGTGACCTGGGTACCAACAGTGAGAAATAGCTCACGCTGGTATGCGTATGGAGAGTCGTCAACGTTAGGTCCGTTGTTGCCGAAAACAACAATGAGCCAGTCTCCGCTGAACATCTGGTTCTTCAAGATCGGGCAGCTTGATAGCTGCGGAGTATCATCCGGCGTGACGGCAACGTCGGTGCAGATGTACTCGGTGTAGTTTGGGTCGACAAGGAGAACGTCGGCAGTCCCACCAGCACAGCCCTCGAATTCAGACACCTTGGAAAAACAGGTCAGGTACTGCATTGACTCCCGCTCTCGCTCTGTCGCCGGAAACTTACAGCAGTGAAGTTCTCTGCCAAGGCTTTGTTGATGAAGTAAGAGCCCTCGTTCTGGAAGTCAATACCATATGACACGCAGTCTGACAGGGCTCCAGGCACAGCGGCCAGAGCCGCTGCCAGGATACTCAGACGGGAACGAATGGAAGACATGAGAACAAAGATGCGGCTGCGGGACGAGTGCAGGTGAAAGCCAAAGCGACTGTGAGGGAGGATGCTACATGATGTCCACTGGGCCAGGTTGGCTTATAAGTGCGGCGAGCAGGCAGCATGCCTTCTCCGGGCCGTAGACAGCCTCTTCAGCTCGGCAGCATCCTAGAGACATGGCATACGAGGACAACCGACTCTGGGAGAGTCGATACTGCGGGAGCTCCACGCGACCTGGTCGCAAGAACCGCCTGCCTTGGCGAGAGGGCCAAAAGTGGAAACACTGGACTGATGGCGGGCATGGCTAGCCAGGACAAGCGCGACTGCAACGTTGGATGCAGCGCGGGAGGCAGTGGCTGCTCTCGTGAGAAGCGGCTTGGGCGGAGGTGGGTGCGTTGGACGCGATACGCGGGCGAGAGCTTGATGCGAGCGCGACGTCAACGAAGAGTTGCGAAGTGGGCCTGATGAGCCGCCGCGGGGCCGGCCAATGGGGCGCGGACTAACGTGGCGCCGGCGGGCAGGCCACTGGAGGCCACTGGCGGCCACTGGCGGCGATCCGCCGCCGCCGCCTGCCTATCTTTAGACAACCGCAAGTCATCGGGCAATGCTGGCCAAACTCTCCGCGCCCTTCGTTGCTGACGCCCGTGGCTCAACAATTCCCGATCGCACGCCCGCCGCGCCCCGCTCGCGAATGCCTGCTCCGTGTCAGCCCGCAGATATCGCCCGGCGCGCCCCATGCTAGCAGCAGCCGTCGCAAAATGCTGTGTCACCGCTTCTTCCGCCGCCATGGATTGACCTCTCCGCAAGGCGCCCGCCCTGCCCAAGCCTGTTTTCGTTCTCGGGCCATCTGCCTTGCCCTGCCGGCCCCCGGTCCTGGCTCAGTGCTGACCGCAGCCGTCGTTTGCCGTTGCTCGTGATCCTCCTGCTGGCATGGGACCAGTACTGCCATCGCATGGCCTTGCCCGCTGTGCGCCACGCTGCCCACGTCCTGATCGACTGGCCCCCGGACCCCACATGGGTTAGCGAAGGGGAATTGACCGGGCGTTCGGGATCGATGCTTGGTCCCCACCTGCTCGGGCTTTCCGGGCTGCCAAAGGCCGACCATCTTCACTACCCTTCTACACGTCAGAACGTGGCACTTGATGCCTGCCAAGACGCTCCGGCACCGCCCGCTACCACTATCTGCGATGCCGACAGTGCACTCTTCGGCTCTCCGTCTTTCAGCTTGGGTCACCGCTTTCCTGCATGAGATGTGATCTGGTTGCCACTTAGACTACTGAAAATTTGCACCGCCGTCGGTTTCAAGTCACGAAGGTTTGGCTCGGGAATCGTCACGTCTGCAGGAACGCCAGGAACAATGCCATTCCCGTGAGACAGCTTGTCAGCGGAAAGTTGCAGGTCAGCATATGCACGGCTCATCTGGAGATTTCTTCTGTCAGCAGCTCAACCAAGTGTTGCCTTGGTTTGCGAAGATGGGCCAACCGTCGGCCCCATCATCTTGCGGCTGATGCTCTAGCCGGAAACTACGCGGAAGCCTCGTTCGATATTCTTGCGTACAGAAATCACTTGACGGGGTAGCCTGAAGGATCTGTTGCGGGCGGCATTAGTGGGAGTCTTACAGCGGCTAGACGATGTGCCTGCGTCTGCCCAGACCATGCAGAGGTTGTCATTCGGCTGCCACATGTATGTGCAACCGAGCCCTTTGAGATACTAAAATAAGAGATCGTAAGCCGCCGGCTCTGCCAAGCTGCAACGGCACGCGGGAAGTCCAAGCCCTGACGGAGTGTGGCTGATGAAGATGCCAGGCCAGTCAGCGTGGTTAGCTGACCGACAGCCTACAGCTCCGCTCCGATTCCGCCTCAGGTCTTGGCTCAATTGCCAGAAGTGGACATGCCAGCGACTGAGACATGATCTTCCACCAATTTGAGTTCGCTCTTGCCATGCCACCCTCGTGTCCGGCCCTGGAACAGCCATCGCTACCGGCGCTCTGGGTGGGCCTCCCTGAGCTCGCGCGTGGCAAGGATTAGCTTGCGCTCATCGAAGTGTCATGGCCCCGTGGGCAGATTCGCTAAACCCTCAGCCGATCTCTGGTGTAGCTGCAGGTGCCGCTGTCCACCTACCGTGGGGGCTAATCCTATGCTCCCTTGCAATTTACACCACCCGTCTGTTCCACATTGGGACATCGTAGCCTTTAGCTGAAGTTGATGGCGACTATGTAAAGGCCTTCGAACCCACCATTAGTTCCATCATCACATTCACTTCCCAGCTCTCCTTTGAAGAGCATCTGCCGGAAGCTCCACGGGCTCAATCTTCTTCGGTCTTTACTCTCTGGTCGTTGGTAGCACTTCCTTGAACGGAAGCTTGCGTGCCTAGCGCCATGGTCTCACTCAAGCAAATCGGTGTCAGCCTGTTGGCATTGACTGCGCATACGCTCGCTGCGGCCCTCCCAGATGCTGGGTCTCCAGACCTCGTCGTCCGTCAAGCTACCACTACGGTAAAGTCATCATCGACTTCGACTACTGTGTCCGCTCCAGTCAGCGCTTCTGCATCAAGCAAAGCTTCTTCTTCTTCTTCCTCAGTCAAGTCCTCATCGACCACTTCCAAGGTCTCTGATGCGGCCTGCACCAACAGTCCCAGCACCAGAGGCTGCTGGAAGAATGGCTTGAGCATTGCCGCCGACTTCGACAACAAATACCCCACCACGGGAAAGACAGTCAAGTACACTCTTACTGTCACCAACGTCACCGACTGCAACACGTACATGAGCAAGGGTATCGGCGATGGCTTCTGCAGGCCGATGTTGCTCATCAACGAACAGTTCCCGGGACCTACCATCAATGCAGGTACGCGTATTACCAAGCCTTGAAGTAACGTAAGCACTGATCATGTTTCACAGAATGGGGCGACCAACTCGAGTAAGTGAGCGAACCGTCATGGTCTGAATTGGGAAGGTCAAGCGTCAGGTCTGTGCGCTGTACAAGCGTTGCTTGAGGCGCACGTTTAATGCACTTCAACGGTAGCGCTTGGGAGCGCGCTCACACCTCAGCTGAAGGCCGACACGGCTACGATTCTTCTCACAACCTTTAACTGACATGGACATTCAGGATCACTGTCGTCAACAATATGCAAGACAACGGCACTTCCTTCCACTGGCATGGCATCCGCCAACTGAACTCTTGCCAAATGGATGGCGCTAATGGCGTCACCGAATGTCCAATTCCACCTGGCAAGAGCTTCACGTACAAGTTCAAGGCTACGCAATACGGTCAGTCTTGACCTGACACCGGTTTTTCTTTCGTAAGCTTATAATCCACAACAGGCACAACTTGGTACCACAGCCATCACTCTGCTCAGTATGGCGATGGCATTGCTGGTGCCATTGTCATCAACGGCCCGGCAACGGCCAATTATGACGTGGATCTGGGTCCGGTCGCACTTACTGAGACGTACGACCAGACCGCATGGACGATGAACTGGCGGGCGCTTCACATCGCAGCTCCTCCAGAGCCTATCAACATCCTCTTCAACGGATCCATGGTAAACACCACAGGCGGTGGTAAGTACAACCTTATCACCGTCACCAAGGGAAAGACTTATCGTCTCCGTCTCATCAACATGAGCGTTGATACATTCTTTGTCTTCTCCATGGATGGTCACCAGTTCCAAATCATTACCTCCGATTTGGTGCCGGTCCACCCCTACAACGCCACCTCAATCATCATGGGCATCGGGCAGCGCTACGACATTGTCTTCACGGCCGACCAGCCAGCTAGCAACTACTGGTTGCGCACCCAGATTGCTGACTGCAGTAACAACGTGCTCAAGGGCTCGTCCGAAATTGTCCTGGGTGGTATTCTGAACTACGACGGCTTCGACAAGACGGATCTCCCGGTCACGACTAGTTCCACCATTGAGACGACGGCTTGTGTCAATGAGCCGTACACCAAGCTCATTCCCTGGTGGGAGACGATAGTTCCAAAGGACCAGTTCGCCGCTTCGCTCGAGGGAATCGACCTGACCTTCAACGGTGCTGCCACTCTTGAGAACCAGACCCTCGTGCAGTGGTACCTGAACGACAGCGCCATGAATGTCGATTGGGGAAAGCCGACCCTGCAATACTTTGCAGATGGCAACACCGACTACAAGAAGTCGATGAACGTCTTCCAGATGCCGGCTGAGGGCACGTGGTCCTTCTGGATCATCCACAATAACCTCGAGACCTTCGGGCTCGACCACCCTATCCATCTCCACGGCCACGACTTCTTCCATCTTGGCGCTGGCGTGGGTGATTGGGATGGCAACGTCGACGCGTTGACGTTCAACAACCCCATGCGCCGTGATGTCATGATCCTGCCCGGGTCGACTTCAGGAGGCTACCTGATTATTGGTTTCCCCGCCGACAACCCCGGCGCCTGGCTTATGCATTGCCATATCGTAAGTGCTGTGTACTACCTGAACCTTGGCCTGCAGCGCTGACATATGTATCTCTAGGCATGGCACGTCACCGATGGCCTCAGCCTGCAGTTCGTCGAGAACCCGGGGTCGTTCACGGGCGATCTCACGGGCATGAAGCAGAACTGCGCGAACTGGAATGCCTACGACCCGTACTACGAGAAGGAGGTGGGCGATTCGGGCTTGTAAGGGGAGGGTGTGGCGCAGTGCATGTTTTTCTTTCTGTTCTGGGATGCGTCTCCTTTCGTGGGAAGACGCGGACTTTGTCTGTTGTAAGTTTTGGCGAGGGCATTACGACGGCGTTGATTGCGGGCATGGACGGCGGGTGCGCGAGACGAGGCAGGAGATAGGCGAAATAAAAAAGCACATGTTATCTCGATGCGAAGGGGCTCATGAAATGTGCTAAGATTGCGGCGCCTCACGCCACGGTGTTAAGATTGCGGACTCACGACTGGTACGAGGAAGCGTGTGGCGCACGAGGCCCGAATCCGGGGAGAATAGCGTGCCTTGGGGGGGAAAGGGAAAAAATCGATTGGATCACCATGACGCAGCGGGTTTAATTGGGCCGAATGGTGGGCGCCTGTGCTGTGGGTGGTGTGGCACGGTGGGAGCGATCGACCGGCAGCACTGGGCGTCGCGTGGGAAGCATTTCGCTTAGCTGCGATCCGAGTCTGAGCTGTGCTGGCGTCCGAGCATTGCGGGCACGCGGGCACGCGGGCGCGTCGCTGGTCAGGCTTGCCAGCGCAGACGCGTTTCACGTCCGAGGGCTGCGAGCGCCGTGTCGCGGCGCGGGCAAGGTTCCCCAGGCCTGGCTGGAGAGCGGCCGCTCCCGTTCTGCGGCATGAGTGGCTTGACAGGCGGGCGACAGCCAATCAGGCGCCCGTAGCGCAGGCGAAAACGTGACCGCCTGGAGCTAGGCTGAGCCCTGCCCTAAGCCGGCTCCCCTTAACAAGCCTGTTGTTCGGCGTCACCCTCAGAGCCAGGCCAACACATCCCCATCTCCGCACCCCCGTCAATTATGGTCAAGGCCCGTCTGCACGCGTCTGGAGCTGCTCGTGCCATCGCCGCCGACTCCATGTCCCTCTTTTAGCTCTGTTAGCTGAGAGCGCGCATTCCTTTTGTCCCACTGGTGCGCTAAGCCTAGGCGTTCGACGTGGAAAACTATCCTTGCAGCACCGCTCCCACGACGCGCTGCGTCCTGGAACGCGAGCATACCAGCAACACCGCCCCCCGCCGAGCCCAAGCCTCCCATTGCGGCCCTGCTCTAGCCTCGCCGCGGCACTAGATGTTGGATGCAAGCTCAACGCACCGAGACGCCGCCTCCCCGCTCTTCGCCTCCGCCGGCTGTCGTTGCTGAGGGCCCCCCACGCTCCCTCAAGATCGACACCGCGGTCGCCGCGTCGCCTGCGCGTTCTCTTGAGCCCTCTCCCACCCAGACCCTCGGCCACTCGAGTCCTGAGCTCCCCCCGCTCCCGCAGCTGCCGTCGCTGGGCGGCATCCCTCGCACGCCGCACACCGCCCAGCCGAAGCGGCCCGCCGACCAGTCGCATTTCTACACCGCCAGCTGGGGGTCGCCGTACCAGCAGCCCTCGCCCGAGTTCCACACAAAGTCCCGCCGCCACAACAGGGACACCTGGGCCCTCGATCCCGAGCCCGACGACCCAGACTCGCCGCGCTTCGGCCTCGATCATCTGATCCCGAATCGCCTCGAAGACAACGAAGAGCCGAAGCTCAAGTTCAACCTCGAGCACTTGCTGCCGAAGCGCCTGCCGTCCTTCCTCACAAAGGACTCGGCCGACCCCGCCACGCCCACCAAAGCCCCCAAGCTTTGGCCCGACTTGACCGCCGAGAAGACTCCGGTCCCGCCCGCCGCCCACGCGAAGCAGAACCCGCAGCTCTTCTTCCCGCGCGAGCCCACCGAAGGTTGGATAAAGCAGTTTCTGACCGGACAGTGGCAGTCGGAGAAGGCCAATTGGTGGAGTGACGGCTCGACTGACGAGGACTCTGACGAAGGAGACGCCGGCGAAGCGTCGCAAGACGGCCAGACTAAGGTCAAGGACAAGAAGCGCAAGGCCAAGAAGGGACACAACCCGAGGAAGAACAACCTTACGCTGAAGCAGGCCGATTTCTGGGCCCATTTCGGCCAGAAGGGAAAAGAGACGTTCGAGAAGATGCTCGCCTCGCGGTTCGCGGATACTCCCCCGGCGATGGAGCCTCCTGCGCCGGGACCAGGACCAGCACTATCACCATCGCACCCCGAGCCGGAGCTGTTGGGTGACCAGGACGGCGAGTTGAAAACCGAGGTGATTTTTGATGCGGAATCAAGAAGTCTCGCGAGCCGTGGCACCGAGGAAAAGAGCTTAGAGGAAAAGCCGCCCCGGCCAATATCAAAGGACGGGCCGCCTCCACCTGCCAAAGCTCCCTCAAAGGCTCCGTCGCCGGTGAACGACGCCCCGCCGCCTCCACCCCCAAAGGCTGCCCAGCCTGCGCCTGTGCCAGCACATGCGCCTGTGCCTGTCAAGGCTGCTGATCTTCCCGTGAAACGGCCAAAGAAGCGTGTGCTATGGAAAAACAGGAACATCGTCATTCAGATACCGTATGATCGTGAAAGAGGGAAGGAGGGTGGTCCGCCACGGCCTCTATCGCCAAGAGAGGTGCAGGGCCGCCTCAAGCAGTTTGAAGAAGCGGGGTTGAACATCCATGGCTTTGATACCAGCGATGAGAACGGCTACATCGCGCAAGGTCTTGCTCAAAACCGTGAGATATGGCCAGATCCTGCTGACGACACACACCAATGGCGTACAACTCATACGACCCGTGTTTCAATTCCCGACAGGGCTGAGTGGGACAGATACGTTGCGTTCTTAACGGAGCAGAAGCTGGCTGCATTGGGCGTGACTCTGAGTGCGCCCGAAGAGGAAATAGTAGATAACCCCATGTCTCGGTCGGCTTCGGCCCAGCAGTTCGCTGGTGGACCCGGCTTGGCTTTCTCGCCGCCACCTCAGTCGATCTCTGTGGGCACCCAAGGTTTCTCCACGTTTTCTGCACCCTTCTCGCTTCCATCCGGCCCGTCTCCCGGTATCCCTGGTCACATGTCGAGGACGTCGATCGCGTCGCCGATTTCTCCATTCGGCGGTCCTCAGAGGCCCACCGGTCACCTTCACAGGCATTCGACTTTCGCGTCGCCGTCTCTGCCCCAGCAACCAACTCCTCCGTTGACCGGCTTCTCCCCTTCGCTGTTCCTAGCGCAAAATGGTGGAACCCGCGGCGCTTCGCCTGCCATTCCTACTAGCGCCCCGGGCCAAGACATGATGTCGCCTGTGTCGCCGTTTACGAACAATGCCCAGATACATGCCCAGTATCCCTTCCCATCTTCTACTGATACTTTCTCGCAAATGCATCAGCAACAGCAACAGTTGCAGCAGCAGCTTCTCCAGCAGCAGCAGCAGCAGATCATCAACAACAGACCCCATCTTACTTTGGAGGAGTTGCCTGAGGAAGATGCTGAAGAGGATATCAGGCCTCAGACTCCGGAGCAGACCAACAATGGCCCGAGCCCGAACATCGTCGTTCCTACTCCGCGGGGCAGCCACCGCCACAACATCAGCCAGAATCTTGAAAGGGAGATCCGCGATGCCGAGTACCACCTCGAGGAGGCCATCAACCGCCAACTGGATGAAGATGGCGAGTTTGGCCCTGGAAACAGATTTGGGATGCACAGCCCGCCCAGCAAGCCAACTCAGACGAATGGCAATGCAACGATGTGGCAGGGTTCCAATGGCATTCAACATCAGTCGCAGAATAGGCAACAAAGCTATGGTGGCCCTGGCTACCAAGGCAACCATGAAGACGACGATAGGACCAACATCTCCGACGTTGAGACCAACCCTAGTATTGAGGGTCAGAATGACCAGTCCACCGGCGTTTCGTCGTCGCACACCACCTTCGCCAGCTCCAACCTTAACACCAGCCATCACGTCAGCCACTCCAGCCAGGGCTCTGCAACATCTAAGCTCAACGTCCAGGCACCCGAGTTCAAGTTCCCCTCTGGTCCGTCATTCAATCCGACCGCACAGTTCAGCCCTAGCAACGCCAACTTCACCTTTGGCCCGAACTATCAGCAGGGCCAGCAGGGCCAGCAGGGCCAGCAGGGCCAACAACAGCAGCCTGTTGAGGAACGCCCTCCTCCCAGCCGTGGAAACACCAAGCTTCACGCTGCGGTGCCCAGTTTCGTCCCGTCTTTCAAGCTGGGTGGGTTGGGCTTGCCGCAGCCGCCGGTCGTTCCTTCCATGCCGGCTAGTACCATGCCCAGCTCCACTTTCGACTTTGCTGCCCAAGGGCCCGCGTTCAAGCCCGACGCTAACGCGTTCCAACCGGATACCTCTGTGCAGCCCAGCGGCTCTTCTCAGGACTCCGGCAAGCTGTTCAACATCGATATCCAGGAACAAGACATTGTCAAGCCCGCTAAGCGAAACAAGGCCATTCCGATTATCAAGCCCGATCTCCAGCAACTGCAGCAAATGCAGCAGCAGCAACTGCAGCAGCAGGAACAGGAGGAAGAGGAGTTGTTCGATGAGCATGGTCGTCCTATGCAGGCCGAATGGCGGCAGAAGAGGGCCCGTCAGAACGTTCGCGAGGGCGACGCTGAGCCTATGTTCGCCACTCCCCGCGTCGTTCCTTCCAACGCCCCGCCTCAGCCGCTCGGAGATGCGATGCAATCGCAGAACTTTGCCTACAGGGACAGGATCAGCCCTATACCCGAAGGCAAAGAGAACAGGACGCCGACGCCCAATGGTATTCAGCGCCAGTTGACTCCATTCAAGCCAAGGGGCCCGCAACAGCAGAACGAGGGCTATAACGTCGACTTCAACAGGGGCCACATCACCAACCAGAACAGCATCGACCTCAACGAGGCTCAGGAGCCATTCGACTTCAAGTTTGGCGTGCATGTCACAAAGCCTTCGACAGACAATCATGAGGCGCAGCAGGCCGCTGCTGGTTTGCGCCAGTTCAACCCCAGCCCTGCTGCCACAAACGCGAACAGCTACCAGCCCAGTGAAGGTGGTTCTTTCATGACTGCCATGGAGAACGGCAAGAACCAGGCAGGAGATGGCGACTTTGAGGAAAGACCTACGTTCAACGAGATCGACGAGATCATGAGGGCCATGAATGACCAGGGATCTGAATTTGGCGTGATCAGGGAGTCTCCCGGATGGAACCGCTCAAGCCCCCTGCCCAGACCCCCGTCCAACTCGCGGCCCGCTCAAGCCCTGTTCAGGAACGACGCACTCAGCCCTGCACCTCAACGGACGCTGTACGCACCTCCGCACAACGACGGTGGTACTTCATCTGGCCAGGACCCCTTCAGCGATTCCAAGGCTGGCTTGGCCTACGAGTCACCTGTGCATAGACTTGGTGGCGACAATGTTGCTGTCAGCGACTGGGATGACATCGTCACGACCGATGAAGAGGGCAAATTCAAAGAACGGCGCGGGTTCTTCGATTCTCGCGTTGATGGCCTCATTGACAACGTGTTGCAGAGCCGCCTTGGTCCTCTCGAGAGAAGCATCCACAATATCAAGGACTCGATCTCCGCTATGGCTATGATGCGGACCGGTCGTCGCAGCTTCTCGGGTGAACCTGGCGAAAGCGACGCTGACGATGAGGATGACGACCTCGCCTCACAGCACCGCAACCGCTCGCCAGGCAAGAGCCGTAAACTCGAGAAGATCAAGAACGCCGTCGTGGAGGCTTTGTCTCAGGCTACCATGCCTCCTGCCCCGTCGAAGTCGCCCGGCATTGACATTGCTGAATTCTACCAGGCGCTCGCGGATCTGAAGATGTCGATCGCTCGTTCTGCTGCCACCGGCCAACTTGATGACTTCCGTGAGATCATGGACGAAGCACTCAACCGGCAGAGCACCGTCCTTTCCCAGAAGCGACAGCAGGAGGCCAATGCCGAAGCTGCGGCTCGCATCGCGGAATTGGAAAGGATGGTCGACGAGTTGCAGCAGCGCATGGAAGTCACAATTGAGAGCCGCAAGATCGCCGAGCGCACCGAGGACGACGCGCAGCGTAAGCTGGCTTTGACTGAAGAAGAACTTCTTCTCCTTCGAGCCCAAGGTCGGGACGACGCCAACAAGATCCGCGCTCTGAACGAGGAGTCACATGAGCTGAAATTGAGGCTCGGATCCTCCGAATCTTCCCAGGAAGAGCTCCGCCGGCGTCTCGTCACGCTCGAGACGCAGAACGAAGCGCTCGAGGCTACGCTGGACGAGTACCGCTTGTCCAGCAAGAAATGGTCGGACGAGATCAACAAGGCTAACGAGGACAACGAGCAGCTCCGCCGCTCGATCAGCACGCTCGAGGGTCAGAACCAGGAGTCCATCCGAGGCCGCGAAAAGATGCGCCACAGGCTTGAACAACTGCAGAAGGATCTGGTGTCGGCTACCACCCATGTCGCCGACGAGAAGGCTCGCTGGGCAAGGCAAGAAGAGGAGCATACCAAGAAGTATGAGACTCTTCGGGCCAGGATCGAGGCCGAGGCTCGTACTCGCGAGAGGTTCGAGAGGGAGATGGAGAGGCTGGAGGGCCAGGAGCGCGAAGGCATGCGCATGAAGGTTATCTTGGAGCAGACTCAGAGACACAATGCCAGCATGGAAGAAGCCATGAACAAGCTTCGCATGGAGAACTCCGAGTTTCAGAAGAGGGCCGAGCGCTTCGAGCGCGAGTTCCACGAATCGAGAGAGATTGCTCGTGCGGAGATCAAGCGTATCCGTATGGCCATGGAGGCCGAGCTCAACGCTGCCAACAGCCAGGTCAACGTTGTGCGCTCCGAGCTTGAGAGCGAGAACACCAGGCTTCGCAACGAGATCGACCAACTCCGCATGGACCGCGATACTGAGAAGGCCAGGCATGAGCTTGTACTTGAGAGTGAGGCAGATGCCAAGCGTGATGCTCTTCGTGAGGCCCACGACGGTAGAGACCGCGCCCTCAGGGATCAGCAGCACCGTTACGAGAAGGCTATGGAGGACCAACAGCAGCGGTACGAGAAGACGATGGAAGATCAGCAGCAGCGGTACGAGAAGGAAATCAGCATGCTCGAGAAGCGTTATGCCGAGAAGGTCGAAGACCACCAGCAACGCTACGAAAAGACGATCGAGGACCTCCACCGCCAGCACAACCGCGACTTGGCCAATGCCATCGAGGACAAGCAGCACAACGAGCAGACGCTCAACGACCGTCTCGCTCTCGCCGACGAGAAGGTGGAATTCATGCAAGACAAGATCATCCACCTCGAGGAGAAGCTCGAGGTTGCCAAGTCTGCGGCCCACGCAGCTGCTGTTGCCGCTCAGTCATCCAAGAGCCCTGCTCCCCTTTCAGAGCACTCTCTGCCCAGTGCTGCCGAGAAGGTGTCGCCCCAGGCTCTCCGCGAGTCGATCGCCGTTCTTCAAGAGCAGCTGCAGGAGCGCGAGGAGCGCATCGAGTCGCTCGACCAGAAGCTGTCCGAGTTCGACGGCGACGCTCCGCAGAGGCTCAAGGAGAAGGAGACGGAGATTGGCTGGCTGCGCGAGCTGCTTGGTGTCCGCGTCGACGACATCACCGACCTCATCAATTCGCTGGCCCAGCCTGCCTTCGACCGCGAGCAGGTCCGTGACGCTGCTATCCGCATCCGCACCAACTTGCAGATGGAACAGCAAGAGAAGGAGCGTCTCATCTCGGGCGGCCAGACATTCCCTGCGTTGGCAAGCCTCTCCAGCTTCGCCTCGCCCAAGGCTGCCCAGCTCGCCGCCGCCATCGGCAACTGGCGCAAGGGCAGGGAAAATGCCAGCGCCAGCAAGCTCTCGCGTGCTCCCTCAGCTGCCGACAACCACGAGCAGACGCCTGTCAAGAACCCCAACCCCTCTGCTGGCTTCCTCGCCGGCCTCATGACCCCACCCGCCTCGCAACTTCGTCGCACCCCCACCCCCTCGACCGGCCGCCGCGCGCGCGACCGCGAATCTTTCTCCTCGTCCACCTCCGCCCGTGGCTTCCCCGTCCTGGGCAGTGTGACGCAAGGCAAGCAACGCGCCGGCTCCTCGCTGAGCCACCACCATTTCGACCATCACCAGCTGGCAACACCGCCCGGCTCGCGCGGCGGCACCGGCCTCCTGACCAAGAGCGCGTACGACCACGACGCGCCGGACAGCACGTTCAGCCCCAGCCAGTTCCACTACGACGAGGAAACGGACGGCGACGAGGCATACATGTTCCACCAGCAACATCAGCATGGGCACGACGTGAAGATGATGATGGACAACCGTCCTGTGGACGAGAGGTACGGGATCGGCGTCGCCGTCAGCCCGGACTTGGACGAGGGGATCCATGTTGGCGCGGTGCCGCACATGCAGTTTGAGCCGTTTGGACCTGGATCCGGGTTTGGGCATCATGGGCATCAGGAGCGGCATCAGTGATGTGGGGATTGAGCCTGTTGAGCCGAGCTAAGGATGTCGCAGTTGATTGACTGGGTGGTGGGAGGTGTCGTAATCGACGGGGGTCAAGATTGGAACTAAAACGCACATTTCTTTTGTTATCTTTCTTTTTCTTGTTGATTGTTTTGGTACGTTATGGCTTTCCTAATTTGTCTCTCGCTCACGCACACACACACATATGAACTGTACACTGGAGTACAGCAGCTTCTGCAGGCCTCGTTGGCTTTGCGTCCATTCTTTTGTTTTGTCTAGGGGTTGTCTCTTGTTTTTCGAATCCTCTCTCCTATTACAAAGTTGTAACAACGCTCCTGTTGTTTGTGGTTTTGGCTTTTTTTCTGTTTCTTCCTGGCTACCACCACACTTCTGTTCATTATTCAGGCAAGCAACATTTAAAAAAACCAAAACCGAACTTTTTTTTTGGCGTTTGCAAAACACGTCGACCTTTTTTAGATACCCCCGAGAAGGAGGAAGAAGGAGAAGTTGAAAAAGAGGAGGGAAGGAAGGATTAATCATTTGCTTTTTTTTTTTTCGTTGCAGTTGTTGTTAGTCGTTGTTATTGTTGCAGTCCTTAATAGTACACGCGTCGCCGCTGAAAGACAGAAAGAATGATATGATTATTAGTTGGTATTTTCGTCGTCGTTGTCTTTTCTATCACTTGATTGATATTGTTCTTTACTTCTCTCCATTTGAATGGAGGCTTGCATGCGTTGGTGGATCATTTTCTTTTTTTTTTAAAAAAAAAAAGAGCTTTGCTGTCGCCATGCGGGTTTTCATTCGCTGCTCCATGAAAAATTTGCTGGTGGTGGTATGGGCGAGTGAGTATTGATGTTTTCTTTCCTTTTTCATTCTTCTTTTGCTGTACGGGTGCTTTTGCATGCTGCGTATGAACGTAGGTATGTTCTCCTCTCTCCCTCCCTCCCGATATTTTGCTTCTTCAGTTTGCCCCCTCACGCAGGAGAAGGCAGTTACATCCTTCGCTAGGGTGTGCACGAAAGGAAGGCAAAAAATGTTCTGCTAACCAACCAACCCCCTGCCTGCGATGCCGGCAGTCTTGAAACTGCGGAGACGACCGCGCGACACACGGTAGGTGCCAAGAAGATCTAGTGGAAATGAACTGGTTGTTGTCGAAGCACTTATTAGCAGCCGGCTACTTCTAGAAGCTCACGCGGTGTAAGTGGTTGATACGTATATATTTTGCGTCTGCTTTAGCGAATTCGATTGACTGAGAGATTGTGTACCGTGCTAATGAGTTATCATCGAAAATACCTTTTCGCCATTCTCGATGCGACTGACACTGTTTACTTGAGGGGCCTCTTTTACACCATCCATACCCACGCGCAATCGATTTTCGGGCGAGGAGAGAAGCAGGCATAAAGTCAGGCGTACCCACCAACGCGACAGATCTGGTATTGTTCGGAGCTTTTCCACGCGATGTAAGTAAAATTGTGACGTAAAGCAGACAACTTAGCCATCCGAACACGGTAAGCTCTCGCCCATCGTGGCACACACTCAGTGCATTCAACACATTCTTCATGCACAGCGAAAATCACAGCTCAAACAGTAGACACGATGAAGTGAAAAAATGGTAAACTAATTACGCACTCGTAACACATTACACATACACATGTCGAACACAGTCAGTCAATCCATCAACACCACATTCTCACACAATCAACCCCTTAGTCCATGATACCCTTCTTTCCATCGCCATCCGTATCCTTCAGCGGGTTCAGCCGATCCAGCAAACTGGGCTTGCTCGCCGTGCTGCTCTCCGTGTTCGTCCGCTCCGCCGGCACCGCGCCATATTCGTCACGACGGCCACTGCCAACACCGCTACCGACGCCACTGCCAGTCAGGCCACCACCACCAGCGCCCCTGCCAGCACCGGTGCTGTGCTGCGGCGTGCGGCCGGTGGTAGCGGCGCCCGATGTGCCGGTGGCGCCAGTCGAGCCAGTGGTGGGAGACACGCCAGTGCCGCGCTCGCGCTCGCGCTCGCGCTCGAGACCTTTCTCGACGGCGCCGCCGACACCGCGACCGCCGGTGGTGGTGGAGGACGTGGTGTCGCGGTCGAAGTGCGTGCCGCCGACGCCGGACTCGCGCTCCTTGTTGTGCTGGTGGTGCTGGGTTGCAGCGGCGGTGGCGCCGGCGACGGTGCCGGTGCCGAGGGCGCCGCCGCTGCTGCCGTGCTCGCCGTGACGACCGCCGTGGTAGGCGGAGGTCGACGTCGGGACGGGCAGGCCGGAGCCGGTGGTGCCGCGGCCGTGGTCGCCGGCGATGCTGTGCTCGCCGCGGAGTGCACCGGTCTCGCCGCGGGTGCCGTGCTCGTGGCGGCCGACACCGTGCGTGCCGCCAATATTGCTACCAGCGCCACCAATGTTGCGCGGCTCACCCTCGAAGCCGTCATAACGCTCCTCGCGGCCGGTCAGCACACCACCCTGACGACGGAAGTCATCCATGCTGACGGCGGGGAGCGCAGAGGTCGAGTGGTGTTGGGCCGCGTTGTGGTGGACTTCGTGGATAGGGACGGTGGTGTGGACTACGTGGGGTTCGATGGTTTCTGTGATGGTGACGTATTAGTGATGTAGATCGGGATTACGTCAAACGATCGTCGTGAGGATCTGGGGTGTGGGGAACGAGATGTTTGACTTACCCTTCTGCACCACGGGCTGGATCGTCTCATGCACGTGGTGGTGGACGTGCTCGCCCGCGACTTGTGGCGCGGCGGAGCGGGTGTGGTGCTCATCATGCCGGACCGATTCATCCTTGAACTGCGCGGCCTCCTGCTTCAGACGCTGCTCCACCTCGCGCTCGTTGCCGTGGTCGAACTGCCGGTGCTCAACACCAGCGAGATTGTGGTGATGCTGCTCAGGAAGCACCTCGCGATCCTGAACGGGCTGGACAGCAGTGTGATAGTGGTCTTGGTGGATTTCCTTGTCGATGGCGGTGGTGACGTTCTCGTGCTTGGAAGGCTTGACTGTCTCGTGCTTGACGGCAGGATTGACCCTCTCGTGAACGGTGGTGTCATGGTGGCCAGACTTGGACATGAAGTCGGAAACGGCTGCCTTCGCTTTCTCCATTGTTGCGATAGTGTGGATGGTAATGGGTAAAATCGGTAAAGATACAAATAAGGGGGGTTGAGATGCCTTGAGAGTGTTGAGTGTGGATGAAGTACCCAGTACAGGCGACAGCACGACTCTTTTAAAGAAGCCAGGGAGTCGGCATGCAGACACTCGTCATCGATGCTCATACATCATAAGGGTTCGGTGACGATATACCGAGAAAGTGTATGCGCGGACGTCGACCTAGATGGCCGGATTAGGAAATTGTCAAAGCCACAGTGTGGCCATCTCTCTCGATCACGTCTGGTTCGCAAGCATTGCGCAAATCGTACGCTACGGGGCTCCGGCAGGCGACGGAAAGGGCGCGAGCACTAAGGGATAGCCGCAGATCGACTAGACGGACTGTGGGAATAGTTGAAGCGCCATCGAATGAGGTGAATAGTCGTATGTCAGTGGACCAGGCACAGGGATCGCCAAAGCTGGCAGCACCAATGGCAAGGCGGAATGGTGTGCATGCTTGTCGTCGATTAGTAGATCAGCTTCAAGTGGGGATCCCAGCTGAGCGTTGGCGTGGAGGGTGGGGACGCGCCGGCGGTGCGTGCTTGTGTCATCATCGCGGGACAGGCCGCTGGCTGCGCTGTCTGTACCCATCGACCTGGAATGCTTTCAGCTCCCTCTGCACATCACCACGGCACGCGCCAGCGGCCCAGCCACCCCGTCGGGCCACGGCGCATATCCACGGTCGAGGCGCTGGTTGTCCTGGACGACGCCGCTGAGTGGTCGATTGTGTGGCTGAACGCTAGTGATGTCATCATCAACCGCTCTTTGCATGCTTCGAACTTCCCCCTTCCGGCCGTCGTCCTGAATCCCAATGGCGTGAGCAGTGCTATGACGAACGGGCGGCTGCGGGGTCGCTGCATCGTCAGCTCCCACGCGCGATTCTCTGCCGTTCGACGATGTGCCAGCCCATTCGCCCAACTCCTTGCAGCGTCGCTCAGCCCTCTCCACTCTCACCACACCAATCTCTGCGCTTTGAGGCCTCTGCAGGGAGCTCCGAATGGGTGACGCTATCAAGCGACTCTTTCACAGGCGGGATGGGAGCACAGACAAGGACTCCAAGCTATCCCGCGTCCCATCCGTCCATTATCGCGATGCCGCCCAAGGGACTCCACCACGTCGAGGAAGTCTGCCACTGCATGGAGACCGGTCAATGACTGGTCATCGCCCACTCAGCTCACCCGCCGCCCCCAAGCGGCCTGCGTCGGTTGGATCGAGCCAACAATCCCGTGCACACCGGAATCGACTGAGGAAAGCCGCTTCGGACGCATCGCGCAAAGGCCGGCCCAAACCTCTCTGGAAAAAAGAAGACGGAGACGTGGGAAACTTGGAGAAAATGTCGCCCCCTCCTCTGCCCGGTACAGCTGTAACGAGTGATGATGCCAGGCACGGGAGCGGTGCTGGGGACAGTCTTGCTGCGAGGCAACTATCTGCTGGAAGTGAGAGTTATTACGGGGATGATGTCACAGAAAACGCACTGTCCGATTCCTTCCCCAGTCCTCCTGCAGCACCAGTCAGAACCGCACTCGCTGGTGATGGCGCTAGAGAAAATGCGGCCCGGAATAGGTCCAGCTACCCGGCTCCATTGTCGGTTCCTTCAAAGGGGCTCAATCCGCACGACGTGGTGAACTACTCTTTAGAGGAGGACACTTTGCCTCCATCGAACCAATCGAGGGGAGACAACACTCAATCCAGGCTCTTTCTGGATGACTCAAGCGATGAGGAAGACAGCGGGGAGACCCAAGAAACCCAAGTAACGCCGAAGCGGAACAGTGGAGGGTCGCTCAGGAGGAAGAGAGCATATTCTCACGGCCTGCGCGACTTCAGTAACCCGAAACATCGATGGAGTGTGCAAGAGCCCGTGGAGGGGTACCACACGCCGGACGGCATACCGGGTGGATACAACGGAGGGAGCGGCCAGCGGTCTTACCTCATCGAAGACAGTCCGGAGCCACCGAGCCTTGAGGGGGTGGTTGACTTGAGGAAGACTGAAGACACTACCTACCACTCACGGTATGCCCCAGGTAAACTCGCCTAGGCCCTGTAGATATTGTGTGTGAAGACGCTTCGCTGACAACCCATCTCTTAATTAGCTGTTACCCACGAAACGATACAACCAGAGGTGCACGAAATCCGCGAGGAGCGAATTTTTCGAGAGGTCCATACGCATGATGTGTTTCATCGCATTCTTCCAATAGTCGACGTGGAGGTGTTACCAGCGCGCCATTTCCTGCGCAACGAGGTTGGTGGGCTTCAGGAGATTCCCGAAGAACAGATTCCTGGACGCAGCTCCGACAACCGAGCAAGGAACTGGTTAGTCGCCGAGACAGTGTCCAAACGAAGAAACGATGCGACGACAAGGACCCCTCGTAAATTCACAGCTCGGGCATTCACGGGCACGGAAGGTGACGAGGTGAAGTACATGACAGAAGAGGGATTCGAGAAGACCGAGACCACATGGGTGCACCATCCGACCATCGAAACGGGTGCCAGGGACTCTGGACAGACGGAAGCATTGTACGTGCCTTCGCCGAACGCAGGCAAACACCAAGATGCGAGCGATGAGGCACCCAAGTCACTAAAGGACCTCGCTGGTGGAATTCGAGATGTCCCGTTTGCCGAATGCGCTGAATTTGAGGCGGCAAACGAGCAGATGAAGACACTGCACATCAAGAGCGATTCTGGTGTTGGACGGATACAATGATACCTATCTGTAATGTAAGCACTTTGAGCGTACAACAAGCACTGCGGGTGGTTCAGGAGGGAGCGACATGTTGACGGACGGGTGATGGTTCGCGGACGGTAGGCTTGGTGGTATGAGGCGGCCGTGCGGTGCGGAGGCGCAGCGTTGTCACGGCGACTGGGGGTGCGCGCTGCTCCAAGCTCGCTGACCGTCTGGGATCTGCTTGCGGTTGAGCTGTATTCCGGATGCAAGGCCCGAAACCAGCAGGAAGGAAAATGCAGCTGTACTTGTTGAACACCAAGACCGAGAGAGCCCGTGCCGTCACTGGTGGATGATGTTGCAGGGACAGTGAGGGTCTGTCTCGGCTGCAGATTAATGTTTCCCTTGAGATTAATCACACACAGAGTGCAGAGACAGCTGGGATGGCGGCAGGAGCGCACGGTGATGTTGCTGGATGCAGTGGGCCGCCGCCTCGATTTCCGCCTGTGAGCGCACCGTGACGTCTGTAAGGCCGGCCGTCGTCTCGTAGGCCCGACACAACGCAGGCGAAAGCTCTTCTCAGCACTGCTGTAGCTCGCAGCAGTCTAGAGTTCGTATTTTGCTGCTGTGCTGGCGCTGGCGCTCGGGGCGGTCCTCACGGCGCAGCGGGCGACAACGGCGACGGTGTGAGAGGCACGGGCGGGGGATTGTTGAGAGAGCGACAGCAGGGCAAACACGCTCAAGCTCGCGGTCCGGGCTGGTACGGGAGTGGAAGGGCCAAGCACGACGAGAAGGTGCCAGTGGGTGGCCGCTGGCTATTTTTGGAGTGCGCCCGATAGCCGAACACGCGCACTTGGACGCCTTTCCCGCGCCGCCACCGCCCACATGCCACCTGCCTGCCTGCTGTCTCTCCACGCGCTTCCGACGCTGCTCCTCGTGACACTGCCCCTTCCTTCGCCTGCTTGGGGTTACGGCGCTGCGAAGAGGATACCACGCGCCAGTGCCACCTCTCCGAGCGGGCTTGCTCCTGCGGCCCCTGCAGCCCGACTGCGAACTGTGGGGAAGCCCATGAAGAGCACCCCGGCTCACCGCCGATGATCGCTTGCGACGGTCGAGCGAGAGGCGGGGAATGCAGCTGTCTTCTCGTATTTACCTCGAGCAACGAGACCATCGGATGATGGACTGCTCCGTGCAACCCCTCGAGCTGTGCGCCCCTCTCCGGCTCCGTCTTGTCTTCCGCCAGCTTCCACCCACCTGCGGCAGGTGCCACGAGCGCGACACCGGCCCAGGTAAGCCGATCCCGCCCGGAGAGAAACGCACCAGTCTCACTCGATCGCGGCTGTACACCCCAAAGGGCTGAGCCAGATGAGAAGCTACAACGGCCGGGGTGAGATGGACTAGCCGCAAGAGGGGAAGAGGCGGCCTGGCGCTTTACGCAACGGGGATCGGTTCCTGCTGGCGTTAGGCTTAGAAGAGCACCATGTCGACTCTTAGATCTTTCCCTTTACGAGGTCGGCCCGCCCATTGGCCTGGGCTCGCATCATGGATGCTACGTCCTGGTGGAGGGCAGGTCCGTTTACGAGGCTCTTGCCAGGCCGTGTGCTAGCCACCTGGGAAACGGCGACCACCACGACAACGCCTATAAAGATCAATCGCCCACGCTCTCAGTCCTCTCCCATCATCACCATCCGCATCAGCATTACCAGCATCAGCATCCATCCAAGCACTCAAAGTATCCCATAATACTTCATCAACCAATCTCAACCATGCAGTTCACCACCGTTCTCGCTTCCCTGGCCTCCATGGTCGCCATGACCTCCGCCGTCAGCGTCTCCTACGACACTGGCTACGACGACGCCAGCCGCTCCCTGACCGCTGTCTCTTGCTCCGACGGCACCAACGGCCTGATCACCAAGTACGGCTGGCAGACTCAGGGCGCCATCACCAAGTTCCCCTACGTTGGTGGCTCCGACACCATTGCCGGCTGGGGCTCTGCCAACGTGAGTTACCTCCACACCCTTTCCATTTCTTCCCACAAGAGACGTCGATATACTAACGATCCATGTCCACACAGTGCGGCAAGTGCTACTCCCTGACCTACAACGGCAAGACGATCAACGTCCTCGCCATCGACCATGCCGCCAGCGGCTTCAACCTCGCCCAGGCTGCCATGAACGACCTCACCAACAACCAGGCCGCCCAGCTCGGCCGCATCGAGGCCACCTCCGCCGAGGTCCCCCTCAGCAACTGCGGCTTGTAAATGTCTCTTCTGACATGATGTCTCCGATCCCCACGCGTTCCGCCTGTTTTCTTTCATCTCTTGTTCTTCTCCCAAGCGGGTGTGTGCCCGAGCGGAGATGCAGGGAGGGTGACTCTCCTACATGCATGAGGAAAAAGGCGAGGGGGGTTGAATTGGAACCTGATTGGGCCGGGTGTGGGGAAAAGTTGGGAAGATGGAAGCACACGACTGCATCATGGGCGTACTACTCTGCTGTTCATACGATTAATGACTAATGTCTTACCCTTACTTTCGGGACTATTTCTTCTGTGTTGCATTTGATCTGACGTGACTTGTGAGTGGACGCAGGCATCTTGTGGTACGCTAGGATCCGAATCCCAATCCTGCGAGGTTGAGCCTCTGATCCGCGCTATTGGCAAATCATGGCTATGCTCATCTGACGACTGTACACTTCGATCGAAAAGAGTTGTCCGTCCTACGTAGTGAGTCTGCGATCCTGAAATCGGTCCTCGGATTTCTTCTTGTCGAGTTTTTGTCATCGGGTTTCCAACGCCGATTGCTTTGTGAATTAGATGCCTAGAACACCACCCCTACTAGGATAACATCCGCACAACTTTTTACAGAATGCTCAGCGTATGCTTTGATGCGCAGTGCAATGACCAGGGTTTCTCATCGCGAAAAATCTATTTCTGAGGGAGCAGTTGGGACGAATATAAAATTCTGATGTTGGGTTGGAAAAAAAAAAAGAAGCCTCCTACTGTATTTTAAGCATTTGTGATTTTAACTGGGAGAAGATGCACGAGGGGTATATCCATATTTCAATCTCCATGAGAAAGGAAGAACGCTACGTGTAACGCTTTGAAAAACATCCATCACCTGCGGGACCCTTGCACGTCATAGGCTCACAGCTAAAAAATAAACCCGCAGCTTTTCCGGCAGTCAGCACGGAACGCCAATCACCAGTCCGACCGCATCCCGGCGCTCAGAGAAACAAACAACACCACATCGCCGTCGCCGTCGCAATGCTCTCTCGCCGCGCCCTGCTGCGCCAGCTGGCCCAATTCGACCCCGCTACCGCCGCCTCGACGTCGTCGATATGCCGCTCGTGCCAGCTGCGCCGTGCGCTACGAACGAGCACCACCGCCATCGCAACTCCGCGCCTCCGACAGTACAGCACGCAACAACCAGACAAGCAGCCCCTAAAGCCGCAGGAAAAGGCATCGCCAACCACGGCACCATTGAAGGCCGAGCAGAAAGAGAAGCAAGCGGCGGCAGCAGCAGCAGCAGCTCAGAAAGAGAAGAAGGACGCGCTCGGCCAAGGTCTGGCCTCGTACAAGGCGCCGTCGAAACATGAGGGCTTCAAGGCAGAGGTGCTGGGGCGGCCCATCGGCTTCCACAAGCCGCCTCTGCCGGGCGAGAACTCAGGGAAAGACGACCGCAGTCTGCAGCAGCGGCGGGACGACTTTGTAGACTACGACAAGCACCTGCAGCGGCGGAAAGAGCTGTACGTCTCCAAACCCCCTTCCCATTGACATCGCGCATGAGAACCGCCACATTACCCCACACCCCATCCTCTCCTCGAAGCTGCCGCCATCCGGCCCGCCCCACCTACGCCGCGCGACAGCATGACTGACACACGCTACAGCGCCAAAGCCGTCGCCAAGCCCTACTTCCGCGACTTCACCAACATGCAATACCACGGCGGCAAGTCCTTCCTCGCCAACCCGCGCATCTTCCGCGCCGACCGCGCCCTCTTCTTCCCCAACTTCGTCGGCTCCACGCTGCTGCCGGGCGCCGCGGGGCGCGCCCCGCACTCGACCACGCTCGCCCTCCTCAACCGCGTCTCGCTCGTGTCCGTCTACTCGTCCGAGTGGGCCCGCGTCCAGGCCACGACCTTCACCGGCCCCGACGCCAACCCCGCCCTCGCCGCCCTCCTCGCCGCCAACCGCGGCGTCGCGCAGCACGTCGAGCTCAACGTCGAGCCGAACCCGCTGCGCGCGCTCATCTTGAACATGTACAAGGGCCGGCTGAGGCGGCAGCGGGACGAGAGGGATTGGGATCGCTATTTCGTCGTGAGGCGCGGCATTACCGAGGAGATGCGCGAGTGCTTGGGGATCATGAACGAGAGGGTGGGCTATGTGTTCTTGGTCGACGGCGCGTGTCGCGTGCGCTGGGCCGCGAGCGGGAAGGCTGAGGGGGACGAGGTGGAGTATCTGAACAAGGGTTTGAGAATGTTGATTGGGGAGGCGACGGTTGGGCATCATCATCATCAGCAGCAGGAGGGGCAGCAGAAGCAGCAGCAGCAGCAGCAGCAGCAGCCGAAAGAGGAGGGGGCTGGTGCGAAAAAGGTGAAGAAAGCTGCGGCCTAAGGGCTTGGGGTGGGCTTGTGGTATGCTGCTCATATCAGGAAGAGTGGAGTACTTTTCCGTCTAGAGTGGGTATGAGGAAACTATCCTTCTCGAAAGTGAGATGGGATCTTATCTCCGTGGATAACTGAAGCCTACCTCTGGGCGTATTTGTATGGGTTTTGAACGTACATCTACGTCCATATTTCAGCCGTCCACGTAAGCAGAGTCCAATGTCTCATGGAATGACGGAGTGAGACACAATGTTGAAATGGAACAGAACACGGGGAATCCTTTGAGTCTTATACTCCCCCGATGTAACGATTAGGAGGGAGAAGATACTGATGGCCAGAAAAATGTCAGACTTCAACCAAAAGATAGAACGGAACATCTGTACAAAGAGATCAATGCAATGCCCTCAACGACAAACGTGACAAAAACCGCCCGCTAGGTTTCCGCAAAACTCCTTGACCCGAGCCAGAAACAAGAATCCCAGTCCCTCAGGAGGGGATGTCCATACGCCGTGCAGGGAACCATCCATGACAATCCAAAACAGAATGACATCAAAGAATGGGAAGAAAAAGAAATGCCCAACGACCCTCAGCCGATAGTCTTCGTACGCACGATCCGACTCGCGTACGCCCATCTTCACGAAAAGAAGAATAGCATGAGGAAGCAAAAGGCGATGAAGCTGCCGAGGATGATGCCGTCCCGGCGCTTCTTGGCGCTGATGCGCGACATGAGCGAGTTGAGGCCGGGGACTTGGCTGGCGGCGCCGGTGATGCGGCGGTTGATGCTGGCGAGCGTCTCGCGCTGGAAGCCGAAGTTCTCGTTCACGGCATACGCCTGGCTCAGCACGCTGTCGGCCATGTTGTGCGAGTTGTCGATGCGGCGCCGCTCGTCGAGCATGTAGTCGGCCTCGGCCTGCGCCGGGTTCGCGGAGCGGTACGCGTCGATGTCGCTGCGCACGTCCGACAGCAGGTTCGCCCGGTCGCGCGCCGTCGAGATGGTGTTCTTGAGCCGCGACAGCTCGCGCCGGTGGTCGGCGAGCACCTCGCGGTGCCGCGCCAGGTTGTTCTGCTTCAGCGCGGAGGACGTGAGGTCGGCGGAGGAGTCGAGGAGGCGGGTGAGCTGGCCGATGAGAGCGTCGCGCTGGAGCGAGACATGGTCAGTAGAGCTCCGTTGCGAGGACGTGGAATGCGGTCATGTGTGAGGCAAGGTGGACGAAGTGGCTGGGAGGATACCTTTTCGAGAAGCTCGCGGATCTGTGATTCCGTGCGTTGTTCCTCATCGGTGGGTTTCTGGGGGATGTTCGTCATCGAGGCATATTGCGAATACGTGTGGAACAGCGATTCTGTCTGCGCGAGAGCTTTCGTCAGCTGGAGCTGCCTTGGTTGCGGCAATGAGCATACGGCTTCGGAGGTCGTACCTGCGTTTCCAGGGAGCGGGCTTGTTGGCGCAGCTGCGCCCAGCCGCCACCTGTGGAGGCCATGTTTGCGGAGAATAATCTGGGGATGCGAGAGGGTGGTGAGGTCAGCGAAGACTGGGATGTGCACTGTGAGCAACGAGTTCCACACGTGATGGGTTGCGTCGCCGCCGTTCTTGGCGCGTGCTGGGTGCTGGGGGGGGGTGGGCGGTCGGGGGGTCGGCGTTTTTCGTAAGCGAGGCGCACCGACTCGAAATCTCGCACTCTGCAGCGCACGCCTTTTCGATTTGAGACGACGACCGACGACGACAACCATCCCCACGACGACGACACACCGCCGCCCAGTCTACAACTCGCCAAAATGGTGAGCTCGCCCCGCGACATCGACAATACAATGCACCAGGACGGTTTCGGGCTAACGGTTGCGTGATACAGTCGTCCGCAGCAAAGGTCAAGACCAGCCAGCTCGTGGGCAAGAGCAAGGAGGACCTCAAGAGGCAGCTCGATGACTTGAAGACCGAGCTCGTCGGTCTGCGCACCCAGAAGATCGCTGGCGGTGCTTCCTCCAAGCTCACCAAGATGTACGACTTTCCCCCGCCCTAGGCCCCGGCAGATTTCGCACAGGACGCGACACGACAACACGACACACGCACGACCTCCACCGCAATCAGCAAGGAGGACAATTGGAACCTAGGAAAGGACCGTAGAGCTAACGAAACTTTTTTTTTGCAGCCACGACGTCCGCAAGTCGATCGCCCGCGTTCTCACCGTCATCAACAAGAACCAGCGCGAGCAGCTCCGCCTCTTCTACAAGGGCAAGAAGTACCTGCCCCTCGACCTCCGCCGCAAGCAGACCCGCGCCATGCGCAGGCGGTTAACCAAGCACGAGGCTTCCCTCGTCACCGAGAAGCAGAAGAAGAAGGCCATTCACTTCCCCCAGAGGGTTTACGCCGTCAAGGTATGAGACACCAGCTCCATACCGCCACCACGCCTACGCCACCATCGGCCAATATATCACTCGGCTCTTGTCAAATGGAATGCTGATATGGATGATCCACAGGCTTAAATTACGGGCGTGGTGTCTTCTGGTTTCTTTTCCGGCTACATCTGAGGCATTTTCCTGCGGGGCTATCGAATTCGGGTTGCAGACTACCGGTGGGGCTTCAGCGATGTACCTTACCAAAAACAAGGTGGCCTAAAAAGACTTTACGAGACCAAATGGATTCCGAAGTCCGAGGAAAGAAGCAAAAAAATGGGTGCGATATGTGCATGATACGAAGGGGCGGCAGTGGGAATACCCAGCAATGCACATAAAAAAGTTTGGACATGCCGATCTTCCTAGGACCCTTGTGTTGAAGTAAAGCTCAACTTGTTTTTCCCCACGTTCGCTTGCCCTTGACATCTCCTTTTAGCAACCTCGTCTCTGGACCTTCTCGACTTAGCTGGCGCCTTGGGGCCATTTCCTTGACTATCTCCCTTTCCTAAATCAGATCAGCCAGAACTCTTCGGAAAAACCCTGAGATTGCGTGTGAAGTCATAAATGCCTTCCAAGCTTCGTTGTAGCGTTTTTCACTTCAGTAACATGCACGCGAATCAGGACTTCATGGTGCAGAGCACGCTTCCGCACGCGCAAACTCGATATTGAAGATTGACTCTACGACGCCAGTGTCCTTATCCGCTAATTTTTCCAGAACGTAGTTTCAAAATCGAAACCAAAAGAAAAAGAAGGATGCTGGTCCAATGCTTGCCTCCGTAAACAGTCCGTGAAATCTAGTCATCTCTAGGTACTTTTACAGAATAGAGTACTAGGGGAACTTAGAGCTTGTAGCTGTAGACTGATAGTTAGCACATGCAAGTCGCGTGATGGACATTAGAGAAGGGGGTGGTATGTCTTACCTCCAAGGGTGCTGTTCGTCTCCGTACTGGATAGCCATCATCCAGTCCAGCACCTGCTGCGCGACGGGACCGGCCTCTTTGCCGGGCGCCAGGCCGCAGTCGACGTCACGACCCCTCCAGTTGATCTTCCTCACGGGACTGACGACAGCGGCGGTACCCGCACCGAAGACCTCGAGCATCCTGCCCTCGTCGGCGGCGTCGGCGAGCTCCTTCATGGTGAACTTGCGCTCGACGACGTTCCAGCCCTGAGGCGTAAGGCGCTCGCGGGCGAGGCCGAGGATGGAGTCGCGGGTCACGCCCTCGAGGATGGTGCCGTCGAGGGGCGCGGTCAACAGCTCGTTCTGGCCGGTCTCCTTGTTCTTGATGGCGGCGAACAGGTTCATGGTGCCGACCTCAGTGACGTACTCCTCCTCGCCGAACAGCCACAGGTTCTGATGGTAGCCGCGGCTGGCGGCCTGCATCTGCGGCACGATGCAAGGCGCGTAGTTGGCGCCCAGCTTCTTGTCGCCAACGCCGCCGGGCCAGGCGCGCACGGCGTAGTCGGTCGCCTCGAGGCTCACGGCCTTGAAGCCGGTCGGGTAGTAGGGACCGACGGGGCTGGCGATCACGTACAGCAGCGCGGAGCCGGGAGGGCCGACGCCCAGCGTGCGCTGCGTGCCGATCATCGTCGGCCGCAGATACAGCGAGTAGCCGCGCGCCGAGGGGATGAAGCGCTCTTCGAGCTGGCAGAACTGCGCGATCAGGTTGGTCAGGGCCTCGCCGTCGAAGGTCGGCAGCGCGATGCGCGCCGACGACTTGTTCAGCCGCGCCATGTTCTTGTCCGGCCGGAACAGGCGGATCTTGCCCGCCTTGTCCTTATAGGCCTTCATGCCCTCGAAGCACTCGAAGGCGTAGTGGAAGACGCAGGTGGCGGGGTCCAGCGAGAGGTTCTGGTAGGGGGTGATGCGCGGATTCAGCCAGCCTTCCGAGGCAGTCCATTCGATCGACAGCATGTGGTCTAGCAGGCTTCATGGTCAGTCTTGTGGCCTGACATGGTGCCGGCCAGGGAGGTAGCAAAATTACCAGTAAAGGTGCGGCCAAAGACAAGCTCCTCGGCGGGCAGCAACTCCTTCGGAGTAGTCGTTTTGGTCACAGAGAGCTTGGCCGGGCTGAGTTCAGCCAGGTTGGGCTGCGCGCTGTATGCTCTCCGACATCGCTGGCTGGCGAGACATGCGAGCGATGGGGACTGGGCGCGGGCAGAAAGGGTGGAAAAGGCGGACAGAAGCCTCTGGGACCGTTGTTGAAGCATTGCGAGCGAGGGACCTGCAAATTGAGGTCGGAAAAGGGGTGGTGGTGGAGCAATGGAGTAGTGACGGGGTGAAAGATGGGGTGCTAGAAATGTAATGTATGACTATCCGCGCCCTACGAGCGGTGCTCGGAGAGTGCGCCCGCATGCCGAGACCGCCGGGATCAGCCCGGGCACCCTGGGTCGCGCCTGCGCACAGGCCGCGGGGGTTCGAGAGCAGCTGTGGGCGCGACACCTCGACCTTAACGCCCAAACCGCCAGCTATTCGGAGAACTGGCTTTTGCCCCGACAGTTGGCCTCTGCCGTACCCCCAGTGTCCGCGCATGCCGAGCTGCTTGCGCGCCGCACTCTCTCGTCATTGGCACGCGCAATTCTGACTACCCTGTCCTTCCCTTGCTTGATCGCCAGTGTCGCCCTTTCGCCGCACGCAGCCGCTGCTCCCGAACCACGCTCGCTGATCGCCGCACACTACCCGTTGCGCCCTGAGCTGTGCCGACAGCTCGCATCCCCGCCATGGCTGCGCAGTTCTTCTCGTCCGCCGTGAAGTCCTTCACCTCGAACATCGGCTCCAATTACTCCATCAGCTCCACACCCTCTTCAACCGCCGGGCCATGGAAAATCTACGACGCGAAGAAGAAATCGACAGGCAAGCCTGCCTCGGTCTTCATCTTCGAGAAGAAGTCGTTGGAGCCGCAGGGAGGGGGCTTTGGGCCGCGATCGACAAGCGGGACAGTGAAGAGAGCACACGAGGAGGTGGTAGAGCGCTTGAAGAAAGAGGCCAGTTCGCTCGCTAGATTACGACACCCCAGCATCCTGGAGCTGGCAGAGCCGGTGGAAGAGACGCGCAGTGGAGGTCTGATGTTTGCGACCGAACCTGTGTCCGCATCACTGGCGGGGCTGTTACAAGAGAAAGATGAGCAGGAACGCGGTGGTGGCCCTGGTGGTCGCAGCAGTCGTTACGTGGTCGAAGAAGACGGTACTAGACGGCGGCGGGAGCTGGAGATTGACGAGTTGGAAATCCAGAAGGGGCTGCTGCAGGTCGCCAAAGGCCTCGATTTCCTGCATGAGAGCGCTGGCCTCGTACATGGGAATCTCACGCCCGAGGCCATCTTCGTCAATGCCAAAGTAGGAAGCCAAGTCTTCTTCTTCCGTCTGCATGCTAGCAGTGCTGATGTAGTTCTCCATAGTCTGATTGGAAAATATCCGGCCTGGGCTTCTGCAGCCCTCCCGACAATTCTACCAAGCCCACCTCTGTTACCCCCATCTCCCTGTCTGAGGTCATCAACCACGACCCTCGGCTGCCGCACTCTGTGCAGTTGAATATCGACTACACTTCTCCAGACTTCATAATGGACACGAACCTCAACACATCGTCAGACATGTTCTCGCTGGGTCTCCTCGTTATCGCCCTCTTCAACTCTCCTCATCGCAGCCCTTTGGAGACGAACCAAAGTCCATCTACCTACAAACGGCTATTTGCATCATCTTCGTCAATACCAACGCAGAACAACGGTTTCTTATGCAAGGGGAAGCTACCCCGGGACATCACCCAAGGCCTCCTACCCCGGCTCATTACTAGACGACCAGCGCAAAGGATCAACGCTCGCGAATTTCAGGAGGCTCAATACTTTGACAATATCCTTGTCTCAACCATTCGCTTCCTTGATAGCTTGCCAGCCAAGACTCCGGCTGAAAAGTCCCAATTCATGCGTGGTTTGCCACGTGTGTTGAACCAGTTCCCGAAGAGCGTCCTGGAGAAGAAGGTGCTTCCTGCACTACTGGAAGAAATGAAAGATCGGGAGCTATTATCAATCGTTCTCCAGAACATATTCAAAATTCTGACCATGGTACCTTCGGGAAAGCGGGCATTCTGCGACAAGGTACTTCCTCGCCTAAGAGAAGTATTCCTGAACGGCGGCACCAGTGGAAAACCGCCGCAGGCGGAGCGGGACAGTGCGAAGGAGGCTGGTCTCATGATCATCCTGGAGAACATGAAGCTCATGTCTGAAAACTGTACAGGCAAGGAGTTCAAAGATGGTGAGTTCAAGACGTCGGACGTCCTGCTCCTGTTGTTGACCGGTTACAGACGTGCTCCCACTCATCGTCCTCGCCTTACAATCACCAACCCATTCTTTGGTGGATGCTGCTTTAAGAACACTCCCCATCATCATATTCGTTCTAGACTTCTCCACAATCAAGAACGAGTTCTTCCCCATTGTAGCCAATGTCTTTGCCAAAACCACAAGTATGGGCATCAAGATTCGTGGCCTCCAAGCCTTCCGCCATCTTTGCGGAGGCGGGATTTCAGAAGACACAGGCGATGGGCTGGATGGCTTCGGTGCAAACAGACCACAACAAAGACAAAACCCAGCTGTCCTAGACAAGTATACCATTCAGGAGAAGGTCGTGCCGCTGCTGAAGGCAATCAAAACGAAAGAGCCGGCTGTGATGGTAAGACGCCTTTTCTAAACTTAATGCACTTATAGCTCACACTCACAGATGGCATCTCTTGATGTTTTTACGGAGGTCGGCAAGATCGCCGACTCTGACTTCCTTGCCATGGAGACGCTTCCCATCCTCTGGAACTTCAGCCTAGGTCCTCTCCTGAACCTGCAGCAATTCCAAGCCTTCATGGCCCTCATCAAACAACTCTCCACCCGCGTCGAGCAGGAACAGACCCGCAAGCTCCAAGAACTCTCCACCAGCAGCACAACCACCGTCGCGCGCGCCGACGACTTCATGTCCTTCGGCGGCATCTCGCCCGCCAACGGAACCGGCGCCAACGGCGAGGACGCCGACTTCGAAAGCCTAGTCACCGGCCGCGCGACGACCAACAGCTTCTCCGCCGCCGGAAACGGCTTCGACGACGGCGGCGGCTGGGGCGCCCCCTCGTCGGCCACGACCTCCCCGCCCGTCTCGGCGGGCCTGCAGCCCCCCTCCTCCGCGCGTCCGAGCAACCCGCGCAGCACCTCGTCCATGCAATCGTCGTCGTCGGCGGCGGCGGCATCCGCAGCACCGGCCTTCAACTGGAGCACGCCCCCACCCCAGCAGACCTCCACCCCTCCTCCCCGCTTGGGTATGGGCGCCCCCCCTCTGCAACCGTCGTCGTCGTACCGCTCGGCCACGCCGGACCACAACAACAACAGAAGCTCGCTCGGCGGCTTCGCCGCGCTCAAGCCGCAGTCGACGGGCGGCACGACGGCCGGCTCGATGAACGGCTGGGGCTCGTCCTCGACGCAGTCTTCCTTTTCTTTGCCACTGCAGCCGTCGCGGCCGCAACAGCAGCAACAGCAACAAGGAGGAGGCGGTCTCATGAACATGGGTATTTTGAACCCTCAACAGCAGCAGCAGCAGCAGCAGCAGCAGCAGCAGCAGTCTGGCTCGATCGATTGGACAGCCGCGACGAGACAACAACAACAACCACAGCAGCAGCAGCAGCAGATGGGCGCTGGACTGAATCGGTTTGCTCAGCAGGGGACTGGTGTGGGCGCTGGCGGTGTCGGTAGTCCGTATGCTGGGTTTGGCATTGCGCCGCCGCCGGCGGGCGGCCTGGGGTCGTTTGGTGGTGGTGGTGGTGGTGGCGGTGGGATGGCACAGCAGCAGCGACAGTCACAGCAACAGCAACAGCAACAAGGGCAGCAGCGAAAGGGGTTGGATCAGTATCAGAGTTTGATATAGAAAGAGGGAAGGAATGGCAGTGTGTCTTTTGAGTGAAGGGGAAAGGGGGTGGGGAAAATTGGGGAACGGTTAATCGGAGCTCTTGTTCTTTTTTTTTTGGTGGTTTTTGGTTTTGGTTTGTTTGGAGGGAATTAAGAGGGGATGGGGATGAGTAGAGGGTAGTCTGTGCTTCCGTGCTTTTTTTTCTCTCTGTTCTTTTTCTTGGTGGTGGACGGTCTGCATCGCATAATACCATCTTGGATTTTTCTCCTGATCGGTATGCAGGTTCGTCTGCTTGAGATGTGTGTTGTGAGTCGACGATAGGGAGGTGTGAGCGGAGGGTTGGGTTTCGACTTCAGATGAGTTCAGGTATCTAGCTTGATTGATGTACGTGAAGGGGGATAGAGACAGACCGTAAGAGGGACACACACATATTGGCCTTGAGCCATACTTCCTTGCCGAAGCCGCAAAGTGCGTAGCAAAGTTACGGTCTTAAGCGGAGAAGTGCGTGGTAGGGAAAGTACCACCTTCGAGACACTATCCGCACTGCCTTTCTACGTTATCGTAGGCCGAGGAAGCACTTCGTGTCGAGATGGTAAACCGATTGGATGGACGATGCTGTCATCCCCACCGTTAATTAGAGAACCACACCGTCTTCTCTCCAGGTGGCGGATCGCCACAGTCGTGCTCACACAAGTAGGCGAGTGGTATTGAGGCGTGAGAAAACCCAAAGAATGTTTCCATACAGACAAATCCATTGCACCATGAAGAGTTCAAAAGCGGTGTGTTAACGTGACGTGTTCATCATTGAAAAGAAAGGAAGGCGGTGCTATACGATACACTTCCTTCTCCCCCTTTCCTAATTTTAGTCCCTCTCCCTCCCCTTCCCCTACTAACTCAGACCCTCTTCTCCGAAGCGTCCACGCTCCCCTTCCCCTCCGCACCCACATGCACATGATGCGCGTCCTCCACGCCCATCAAATCCCCACCCTTCTCCACATGGTTGGAGCCGCCAAACAGCACATCAATCTCCTCGAGACTGACCTGCTTCGTCTCCGGGATGCAAAAGTAGACGAAGACAGCCAACAGGACATTGATACCGGCAAACATGTAGAAGGCGTAGAAGCCGCAGTTGTCCAGAAAGGTCGGGAAGAATTGCTGGACGATGGCGTTGGCGACGTTTTGCGTCTGTGAGGCCATGCCGACGGCCTGCGCGCGCACGTTCATGGAGAAGATCTCGGACGTCCAGATCCAGACGGTGGCACCCCAGGAGGGTTTGTCTGTGGTGGATTTTGGTTAGTGCGTGGGGGAGGAGGAGAAGAGATGGAGAAACTCACAGAAAAAGGCGAACAGGAACATCAGGAATACGATGGAGATGCCGACAGGTTGCGACTTGGTGGTCACGCCGCCGACGACGATGGACGGTGTCTGCGTCTCGACAGTGGCGGCGATGACCATGCAGAGACCCATGCCGATGGCGCCGACGATGAGGAGAGCCTTGCGGCCGAAGCGGTCGACGGTCCAGGTGGCGTTTAGCGTGAAGATGATGCTGAAGGTGGCGTTGAGGGCGTTGATAAGAGCGACCTGCGAGGAGTCGGTGAAGATCTTCTTGTAGACCTTGGTCGAATAGGTGTTGAGCGTGCCCTGGCCAGTGACCTGCTGGCCGGCGTTGATGACGAAGGCGAGCAGCAGACGCTTGCGCACCGAGGGGTCCTTCCACAAAGCCGCGTAGCCCGAAGAGATGGCTTCTTTCTCGAACTCGAGCGCCTCGCGGATGACCAGTAGCTCATCCTCGACGTCCTGCTCCGTGTCGCGGACGCGGCGGAGCGAAGCGCGCGCGGCCTCAATGTTGTTGTTCTTCTGGATGTGCCAACGCGGCGTCTCGGGGATGAACCACAGCTGGGCGATGATGAGGACGGGCATCAAGAGCTGGAAGATGACGACCATGCGCCAGTCCCACTCGCCAAGACTGGCGATGTGCTTCTGGCAGGCGAAGTTGATCCAGTAGCTGAAGACATGTCAGAACCCGCACTAGCACGGTCGGCTAGATTGACTTACGCAATGAAGGAGCCAACACTGTAGAACATCTGCCAGAAAGACATGACCTTTCCACGAATCTCAGAAGGCGCAAGCTCTCCGATATAGATAGGACCAGCGGCTGTGACACACGGTTAGCAACCTACCAAAACAAGAGCAGCACGTGACGGAGAGTGGCACATACTCAACGCAAGACCTTGACCCAAACCGATAACGACACGACCTCCGATGAAGCAGCCGATATTGCCTCTCGGCGAAAAAGCCTGCATGAAGGTGGCAATGATGACGAGCAACGAGCCGGCCGCCATGCCCGCGCGACGACCAGCGAAATCGGCCAGCGGGCCGCCCATGAAGAAACCTGCGACGACGGCGCCGACGGTGTAGGCGGTGTTGATGGCACCCTGCGTTTGCGAGTCCTATTTCACATGAATGTAAGCGGGATGTTCGGGTCAAAAGTGCTGTGGTCTGCTGAGGGAGGGCGTACAGGGTTGCCGAAATAATTCATCCAGTGGTCGGAGCCGAGGACGGCGTTGTACACCGAGGCGTCGTAACCGTAGAGGACCATACATGATGCGGCGACAAGGGAGATGTACCTATGTACAGAGTTAGCCTTCGTTGGCAGGCTGGGCGTTGCGGGTGTGGCGAAGCTTACCAGTTGTACGCCCTGGTGGGTGACATAAAACCCATCGTGGAGCGAGGGGTGAGAGGAAGCTCCTCTCAAGGTGGTGGCGAGAAGAAAAAAAGGGATGGGCAAGAAGAGCAACAGCCGGGCTCAGCGACAGCGCAAGAAAGCGGTCGAGGAAGAAAAAGGAGGAGCGCACTGGGGAGGAAGTGGTGGAGCTGGGGGTGCGTGAGGCGAGAACAAGCATGCGCCGAGCGTTGCCATGTCCTTATAGTCAGGCTATCAGCACCCTGGCGGCGGCGCGGCGGGCAAGGGCAGCCATGCAACGCCTCGACGCACGCATAAGGCGCCGAAAACCACCAATAAGGGCGCGTCGTGGCGTCCGGGGCCTCTGGGGTTGAGCACGGGCAGCGGCAGGAGGGAGGGTGTTTGGCTGCAATCCGGGGCCCCGGGGCGCGGGAGCATGGGGTGCACTCGCGGCGGATCTGCTGCGATTCCTCCACACCACACCTGCGCGCTCGGCTTTAGCAGCGTTGCGGGCAGCGGAGCGGTGCAAGAGGCGTCTGGAGGAATCAGGACCGGGGCGCTAGGGGGTGGGCTGCTGGGAGCACAATTCTCCACCAATAGCCTCCGCCCAGGCTAGGCACTTTTGCCGGCTGCCATGGCCATGTCATGGTCTGCAAGCGACCCAGAGCCCGGCCCTCGCCAACACCAGCGGAATTTCGCACAGGACCAGGCCCTCGGCTGGCGCCGACTGCCGTCTTGCTTGCTGCTGGGCCCAACCCCGCAAAGGAGCCCCGTGTGGCGCTTTTGGCAAAACTGTCAGATGGTGCCGTTTCTGCTGCGGTCCGGACGAGGCGGCGAAGATGGCTGCATGCCGCCCTCGCTGGACAAGGGCCCATGCTGCAGGACGCACGATCTCCACAAGCCAACAAGCTTTTTAGGGAAGCAATAAAAGGCAATGGGCGGGACCCTCTCTCGCGCTCCAAGGCTTCCCCTTTTGATCCGGCATGCGGGTAGGCAGTCCGCTCTTATCAACGTCTCCACTGTCCACGGTTGCGACGAGGTGAATATGCCGCACTGTCTTGCAGCAGCCGGAGTGGCAAGAGCGCCAACGCGGTCTTTTGTATGTCGCTTCTGACTACACAATCTCCGTGTCCGAGTGGTGTACGCCACGCCCGGCCGACTTTCGCATGGCTGTACTCGGCGCGCGCTTGGCTCGAGTTGCCACGGCCCCGACTCAACCACGTCGAGAGTAGCAGGGTGGCAGGTCGGGAACAAAGGTGCAGGCCAGGCGGTGGCGCAACGGCTGCATGTCAATCGAAGGGAAATGGAAGGTGATGGGCTGAGTGGTGCAAAGGGCGGAGAGCAGGCGAGAGTCGAGGTGCGGCGGGGAAGCCACCTCCCCGATTGGTTCGCAAAGAGCCCCACCTGCCCACCTGCCCACCCGCTAATCTCATGGGGAAGTCGCATCTAAAACGCCCGCCTTGAATCGCGTTTCGGCTTGCATCCTTGCTCACATTAATGTGTCGCTCCCCGACTTACACTTGTGGTCCCCGCTGCAGCGCCAGCTCGGGTATCTAAAAAAAAAAAAAAAAAAGAGTGCCCATCCCGCCATATTTGCACTCAGACAGTTGACAAAAACAGCCTCCCAATCGCCCGCCATGATGCAGCCCGCCAACCATGCTGATCCCGTCTCACGAGTGTTACCCAGAGCGAGAGTCGATCAAATTGCCGCCGTTAATCACTCAGTATTCTGGTACGGATTGCACCAAGTTGACGATGTAAGCATCGGTAATGTCTCGCAGCGGCTTCTTCTGCGACATCTCCATGGCCTTGGTCATGATCCCGCCAATGCGACACCCGGCCTTGAACGCGAACGCTCGCTTGAGCTGCGAGATGAGGGATTTCTGCGGCGGCGTGCCGTCTTCATCGGCCATCTGCGATTCGTCGAGCCTGCTGTATTGACGTTCGAGCATGCTACAACCCGTCGTCAGCCTGGGTCCATCTCCAACGTGTGAGCCGAAACACTCACTTCTCCGCCCATTCGTTGTGGTTGAGCGTCCCCCTGTTGTCAACACGTCAATAATCAGAAAGTGAGGCTTTTCGGCAGTCACTCACATGACGACCTCCGGCCCACCCCGAAGAATGCAATCCTCGAACACGAGCAGAACGTCGCTGCGGGATTGCGCATCGTCCGGGAGCGCGTCCTGGTGGATGAGGCCACTGCCACCCATTTGTACCGCCCGGAGGCTCTGAGTGAGCGCGATCAAGACTGCAACAAGACATCCGACGGGCATGCTGAAGATGAAGTCGGCCTTCTCGTCATACGACGCTGTTCTCGTCAGTCCTCTGTCCCGGAGGTGAACGGGGAAGGCGTGGGCAAACATACACAGCCCTTGCATGCGGAAAAGGAACAACACTCCGGCCTTGAACAGCGTGTGCCAGGATTGGAGACAGCGGCACACAGGCGCAAGCTCGAACACGTCACGGTGAAGCTCAGTCAGGAGCTGGACGCTGTGCTGGATATTTGCCAGCAAGCTAAACGAGAGGTTGCAAGTGCATCCCACGACGCTGCGACCTGTTGCAGCACCCATCAATACCAGGCTGGGAGGGTGGGGCTGTGACCTAACTCACAGGCTTTGCACTGCGGCGATATGAGATCTGGGAAGTAGGCGACGACGTGCCGCAGCTGGTTGGTCACGTAGCCCTTGCACAGTGAGCGTTCGTACGCCTTGAGGATGCGATACAGTCGCTGATCCACGAGCTGCAGGTTGTGTATCGTGGCGAATTCGAAGTACTCGGTGCTGGCAACCACATGGAGGATGATTTCGCTCGGCAGGTTATCCCAGGTTGTACCGCTCTTCAGCTTGTCGGTGGACTGCATGGCAACGGTGGAGCTCTGGGTTGGCTGCGGCGTCGAGACCGGTGCGAGAAGAGGGGGAACGGGTGACGATGTTGCCGACATTGCCTCTTGGTGAGTTGTATGCAGTGTGTACGTCGATGCGAAGAAGAGAAAGATAGTAACAGTTGATAAAATAGACCGTGGTCCTGAGGCTCGTCGAGATACCTTGATGGTAGGCGAGGCATCGTGACCAATCAGCGCGCCAGCTCACGGACAACAGAGTGTTGAGGCGCGCTGTCTTTGTTCTCAGGGTCCTCGTAGGCCTGGTGCGTGACTCTCTAGTGAGAGAAGTCGCAATGGAGGCTGACGACTCGTCTAGTCTCCGGCGTCAGGCGCGTTCTTGCACGTCTGAGGCTGGAATCAGCAGATCAGATGCTCGAAGAATGAAACAGGCGATGTCTTGGCCATCCAAGTCTCCTTCCACCGACACGTCTCATAATGCAGAAGTGCTAATTCTCAACAAGGGACAGGAAACACCTCAAAGCTCAGCATGGATACGTGTACTTTCCAGCCTTGCACTTCCGAACACGCGGGTGGCGATGGTCTACGGCGCGCGGAATGCAGTGAGCCCACAATAATATTCTTCTTCAGCGCAAACCGAGAAGCGGGAAACGAGCTCTCGGTAACCTTTCCGGCGCTGGGGTTATGATGGTGACGGCAGATGCAGCGTCCAGACCGCGCTCCGAGTCTGTTACATCAGAGCTTGGCATCGGGATCTCGAATGGGCCTGCGCCAGATCTCACGTCTTTCCGCATGGAGCCGGCGGCGCCTGGAGATCCGGGCGCCGTCCGCATGCACTAAGGTAAGCACATGGTCCACCACGCCGAGCCGTACCGCCACCATCACAACATGGGCCGCCCACGTCATAGACTTCCAAACTCCACGTTTTTTGCCCGGAACGCAGTCTATCGAATGGGCTAGCTCTGCCGTTTCTGGTCGGAAGCCGGCAATAATACCGACTTCCGTCGGACCCTTCAACTCCCGACAGACCGTATGACGATGTTGGAAGCATGGTGACATTTCCTTTATAATGTGTTCGCTGTTCCTTGGAACCCGTTCTCGACTTCATCAATCGTGAAACCAGTCCCTTTCAATTTCTCCTCTCGTCTTCGTCCATCATGAGGGACCTTATTCAGGAATCCATTTTTGGTCAGACGGCGCGTTTGCTCACAAGAGGCAAATTCCTGCAGTATCCCGAGGAGCGAGATCCTTCTCTATGGAAGCGATACATCGACCCTGGGAGATCAGGAGGCCAGGCGCTTCAGGCTGCTTCCTTGTCGAGCCGGAGGGCCCCTAATGGAGAGTCGGATGAAGAAAGCAAGCGAAGCGTCGATGTCGAAAAGGAAGGAATCGACTCGGATACGACGTCGCCAGACGGGAGAAACCAAGCGGGTGCCGACGCCGACGCAGAGAATGGAAAAGATACGCTACTGGTCACTTGGTACGGTCCGGATGACCCAGCGGTAAGGCACGCTTCTCCAGACACGCCGGTACTGTATCTGACTTTCTTTGCAGAATCCGCAAAACTGGTCTGTAGGAAAGAAATTCTTCGTAACCTTCGAGATATGTCTCTTGACCTTCAGTATCTACATCGGTTCCGCCATTTACACTCCTGGAATCCAAGATGTCATGCAAAAGTTTGGCGTTTCCCAGGTCGCCGCAACCTTGGGGTTGACGCTTTTCGTCGCTGGCTACGGACTTGGTCCGGTACAATGTTCTCCTCTGGCCCTGTAATCACGCAGTGACTGACTGTTGTATCCGAGCAGATGATCTGGTCGCCCATGTCGGAGATCCCATACATCGGCCGCAACCCCGTGTACTTCCTGACACTCATAGTCTTCGTCGTCTTCCAAGTCCCTACTGCCCTCGCTGTCAATTTTGGCATGCTCCTCGCCTTCCGTTTCCTGACCGGCTTCTTCGGCTCGCCGGTCCTGGCCACCGGCGGTGCTAGTGTCGGCGACATGTATGCGCCGCGCAAGCGCGCTTACGGAATGGCCGTCTGGGGCATCGCGGCCGTCTGCGGTCCTACAATGGGCCCGCTCATCGGCGGCTTCGCTGCCCAAGCCGAGGGCTGGACATGGACAATCTGGGAACTGATGTGGCTATCCGGCTTCTGCCTCGCCTTCATCTTCTTCTTCTTGCCCGAAACCAGCTCCCAGAACATCCTGTACCGCCGCACCCGCCGCCTCCGCAAGCTGACCGGCAATTCCAAGCTGAAGTGCGAGCCGGAGATCATGGCAGAGAACATGACGGGCAAAGACATCGTGTTGATGGCACTCGTCCGGCCGATCACGCTGAACTTCACCGAGCCGATGGTGTTCCTGCTCAACCTCTACATCGCACTCATCTACGGTCTTCTCTACATCTGGTTCGAATCCTTCGTCATCGTCTTCGTCGAGATCCACGGCTTCGACCTCGGCCAGCAAGGCCTCGCCTACCTCGGCATCTTCGTCGGCGCCCTCGTCACCATCCCGCCCTTCTTCACCTACCTCTACCTCGTGCAAGAAAAACAGTTCAACTCCCGCGGCGACATCAAGCCGGAAAAGCGCCTGCCGCCCGCCTTCGTCGGGGCCTTCTGCGTCCCCATCTGCCTCTTCTGGTTCGGCTGGAGCGCGCGGGCCGACGTGCATTGGATCATGCCCATCATCGGCAGCGCTTTCTTCAGTGTCGCTGCGACGCTGCTGTTCAACTCGGTGCTGAACTACCTCGCCGACGCCTACCCGGACCACGTCGCCAGCGTGCTGGCCGGCAACGACGTCATGCGCTCCGCTTTCGGCGCGGGGTTCCCGCTGTTCGCAAACGCCATGTACAAAGATTTGGGCGTCGGGTGGGCGAGTAGCACACTGGCGTTCTTGGGCATTGCGTTTATCCCAATTCCGTTCGTGTTGTACATTTACGGTGAGAGGTTGAGAAAGGACTATAGCAGGCATGCGAGGAAGGATTTTTAAATGAGGTATGAGATTGTCATGACTTACGAAGGATATATGTACAGAGCATTGAGCGACATGTTCGGTTCTGCGGTTTTATTAAGCAAGCCATGGCGTTTTTAGGGAGAGCATATAACTTTAACTTGGAGTACTGAAACCTATTACTGCAATTCTTGTTATTGACATGAGGTATAAAGTGTACACATTCTCTCTTTTTTCTTTTTTTCAAGTTCATCAACTATCTCTACGGCAAAGAGGAGCTCCAGAGCAGATTTGGAAAGAAAAAAAAGGAGCGTTCTTACATCTAAAGGGCTGGCTGCCCACCCTGTCATGTTAGTCTTTTAACAAAACGGTGGCGGGTCCGTTTACGATCCCCTCGGCATATCTGCTTCAGTTGGCTATTCAGGATTCTACGGGGTATATGTTTTGCAACCCATTTCAGCAACATGCATTTTTGCACGTGATGTCGCGTCGAAGCTATGACGCGGTGCGCGAAGCTTAGCTGCGTCTTTTCGCCCACTCCAACCATCCCCGCATCATCGTTCAGCAACACCAGCTTTTCTGCCATTGAACACCATGAGCAAACCGGTCGAACAAGCCCTCGTCGGCCTCGTGCCCGCGCACAACGGACCCATCCCGCCCGAGCTCCTCAACACCGCCGTCTCGCTGCTCGCGCAGTCGCGCAACAAGGCAAGCAGCCTGAGGCCCGAGGAGGAAATCGCCCGTACCTACGCATGCGCCCATCTAGCATGCGAGAGGTCAGTCCTCCCTCCTTCATCGCCAACTCATTCCCTTTCCATACTGACACGCGCAACCATGGCAGACTAAAACAACGCCTCAACCTCCCCCCGATCGCCCCTCGCCCGCCCATCCCCCCTCGCGCCTACAAGAGAGTCTACGCCTACCTCGACAGCGCCCTCACCACCACCACCACCCCCTCATCCTCCTTCACCGGCTCCTTCTCCGGCGCCCCCGCCCAACCCCAAACCCCCAGCAGACGCGCCACCCGCACCGCCGCCGCCACCACCTACACCCCCTCGAGCCGGCGCACCCCCACCGCCACGACAACCCCGTCCCGAGCAACACCAGCCCGCAAAACACCGGCAACAACGCCGCGCGGAGCAGCAGCAGCAGCAGCAGCAGGCGACACACGCACACCGACCGCCTCCTCCACAAAAAGAAAACGAGGCGACACCGCTACCACGAACCACGGCGGCGACGGCATCGTCCCGGCATACGTAGCGCCCCTCATCCGCGCGCTGTGCCGCGCACTCGACGCGCCGCGCGCCGCGGTGCCGCACGTGTACGCCGGCGTGCAGTCGGTGTTGAAGCAACAAGCCGCCAACACCACCACTCCATCTCGGTCGTCGGCGCGGAAAACGCGTCGCGCGGAGCATGCGCCGGCGGAGGTGGTCGTGGTCGTGGGCGAAAAGGACGTGCCGCCGCTCGTCGCCGTGTTGCTGATGTACACGATGATCCGGCTGAGTGGGCGGCCGACGAGCGCGGCGGAGATGCGGGAGAGGAGGGGGAAGGTGGTGGAGGTGTTGAGGGAGGAGGGGGGGTTCGGGGAGACGGGGGAGGAGGAGGAGGGGGAGGAGGAGCTGGTGGGGAGGGTGGAGGGGTTGTTGGTGGAGGTGAAGGAGAGGGGGTGGTTGGATATGGAGTGGTTTGGGAACGTGGTGCAGCAGGGTGAGGATGAGGGTGAGGATGTGGATGTGGAGATGGAGGACGGGGGGGATACGGAGGCGGATGAGGATGGGGATGAGGATGAGGGAAGGGGGGGAGTCCCGCAGACGCCGTATACACCGTTGAAGAAGAGGAAGACCAAGGCGGTGGATGTGCAGGCCGGGGTGTCGCAGGGTGGGTTGGGCACGATGATGCAGGATAAGGTGGATTATTTGAGTGAGGCGAGGAGAGCGGGGTTCTTGAGGTGGAAGGCGAAAATCATGAAGAGGGTGGAGCAGATTGAGCGGGAGGACGGTCAGCAGGCCATGGATGTCTCGGTGTGATGGACGTCGTGGATGAAATCTCACGCTACCGGGTAATACGAGCGGTGCGGTGCTGGGTCAAGGCTAACCGATGCGAATGAGTCAAAAGATACCCGAATGCATGTTCCGCATGGCGATGAAAGATGCTTGGTGTTCTACTTGCGGCAGGTTGATCGACCAACCGTCGTGTTTCGAGGAGTGCTGACATCTAGCGCTTATCGTTCACTCCCCGTGCTCTGAATGAGAACGCTGCACCCCGCCTTACACGTGAGACCGGTCATAAGATGATCTGCTGCTTCCACCACCCCGCTTCTGCTTTCTCACATCGAAATCTCTGCGCATCGGACTACAACTCTGGCTACGCAACAAAGACGGAAGAATTAGAAAAGGAGCTTGGAATTGCGCAAACATGTCGGCATCAACCACAGCGACGCACGAGAACGGGTACGATCCAGCATGGCTTGAGGTTCGTATGACATCCGCCTTCTCTCTTTCCAATAAACTACGAAAGAAAAAGAAAAAAAATGAACAGCGGCGCTGTGTTGCTGACTTGAAGGGGGCGGGGGAAACAAGCTCGAAGCCGCAATGGGCGGCCGCAAGCACCTGTCCGGCACCTTGACAGAGAAACGAGCCCAGTTCAACAGCCTTTGCGATGCGATGCAGGCGGCATGGCCGCAGCCTCTCGTAGACGGCGAGGGCAGAGTTGTCGATGTGGAGGTCGAGGGTACGTAGGGAGAGAGGGTGGGAAATTATGGGACAAACCAAATCCTTCTTCCCCTCCTCTTTCTCCAAAGCACATTATTCTTTCCAACCCACCCACCTCCCCTTCCCCCTCTCTCGACCACTAACCTCACCACACAGATCTCACCATCCCCGCCCCGCCGTCACAGCACTCGGCCGCCAACAACACCACCATACCCCTCCGCATCTACAAGCCCCGCAACCGGCCGTTATACTCGAAAGAACCAACAACGGCGCCCCTCCCGACCATCGTGTGGTACCACGGCGGCGGCTGGATGGCTGGCACGCTCGACACGGAGCACGCGCAGTGCCAACTCGTCGCCGCGCTCGTCCCGGCCGTCGTCGTCGGCGTCGGCTACGGCCGGCTGCCCGAGCGCAGCACGGGCGGCATGCTGGATGACTGCGTCGCCGGGTTCCGGTGGGCGTGGGAGAACGTTGCTGCGGAGGAAAAGGGAGGGAAGCGGGGCAAGGACGTCGTCGTGATGGGCGGGTCGGCGGGCGGCGCGTTGGCGTTTGGCGTGGTGAGGCGGCTGGCGTTGGCGGGGGAGGAGGCGCGGTGCGCGGGCGCGGTGGGGGTGTTTCCGGTGACGGTGCATGGGGAGGCGCCGCCGGAGAGGTGGAGGACGTTGCATGGGAGTTATCGGGAGTTGTGGGATGAGGCGCCGGTTGTGAGGGGGGCGGATCAGAAGGAGGTGTTGGGTAAGTGGTGGCGGGTGGTGTTTTTTTTATTTCTTTCCTTTTTTTTTGGGTTCCCTCTCTTTTACTTGCCTCTTGTCTCTCTATCTCTCCCTCTTCTCTTGTTTTCAAACGCGGGTTTGCTAAGTAGCCGTGCCCACAGATATTGCGGCCGAACGCAGCCCAGAGGACCCGCTGCTGGCTGTCAAGTTTACGTACGAGGAGGAGACGCTCAAGAAGTTCCCTCGCACCTACATTGCGACGGCTGGGAAGGACCTCATGCGGGATGACGGAGTGGTGTTGGAGGCGGCGCTGAAGGAAGCGGGCGTACCGGTGAAGAGGAGAAATTACGAGGGGTTGCCGCATTACTTTTGGTTCTTCCCACAGTTAGGGGAGAAGACGATGCGGTTTATAGAGGAGCTAGCGGAGGGCGTGAGGTGGGTGCTTGCAGAGGGCGACGATTGATGTCCCGTGCAAGCTGCAGGCAATCCTGGTATCAGCGCCGGGTATCTGTGATATGCATAGACGGTCTCGACGGACACGTTCGTCGAATTTGGCATCGATTCCCAAGAGGAACGACTTGAAAGTTGCCGATCCTAAATCAATTCTACAGACCAGCTTAGCCATCTGTACTTCGAGTCGCTGTTTTACACTTGATCTCATGACATTGAGTTGTTAAAGCTGTAGACTGACCTCACACTGAAGAATCCTCAACAAATGGAAGAATGCTCACAGAGGCTTGCCGGCTACCTGTCGAAGAAGAAAAGGGTCTTGTATAATTTCTTTGTATGGGCACTACTTATTGTCTCGGCCTGATCTTCTCAAGAAGAGAGGAGAAGAAAGATTGCAAAAAGAATTAGAAGAGAAACCGGCCATGCAGTGTACCTGCCTCTAGCCATCCTGTCCCTCGATTTGGATAGCTCCGGCGTTGCTGTGTTACTTCTCCTCGGGGAGAGGTTTGTACACAATGCTCACTAGGGTAGTGCCAATCAGCACATCCGTCATGGGCACACCTCCCGGACCGTAGATGCGCATCGACTCCACATAGTTGCCGTTCGCATCTCCTGGGCCAGCCTTCCTGCCACTTGTCGTCTCGACGAGCGTATCGGTAAACTCGACTGTGTCGAAATCAGGGAAAGGCTCGTGCGCCGGAAACTCAGACACGTTCTTTGCAAATGGGTCGGTCACCACCCACTCGGCATGATAGCCTTGAACAACGTCTCCGCCGGTCAAGGTGATGGTTGCATTTGCCCTTTCATTGCCGCTGTTGAGGTTTCCGTGCTTGGTGATGGTACCGCGACCGCTGGTGCCGTTGGCATTGTCGAACTCAAGCTGTAGAGCCAACACATCGCCTTGGGCAATGGGGAAGTCGTTGAAGTAATGCTCGACTCCACCCATTTTGAAGAAGGGCTCATACCAGACAGTATTGCCCATTTGGGGTGCGACGATGAGATTGACACCGACAGAGGAGCTAGGTTCATCATCTTGGGCAGTACCTCCGATCTTGACTGCGACGACGGCGGTGTAGTTGCGCTCCAGTGCAGCGCCCGGCACAGACAGCGCAGGCACGATGAAGGTACCCTGGATGGCACGATAGTTGTCATTTTCAAGAGGCTGGACGAACCTGACACCAGCACTGCCGCCGGGGCGGACGGGATCCACGGTGCGCTTCTCCATGGCGCGACGCTTTCCAACGCGGGGATCAAATGTGACTGTGAGCTCACGGGTGCCCAAGACAGTGTCCGTCATCAACTTCCAGCCGTCCCGAATGGTAGAAATGAGAGCGCCACCCTCTTCGGGGCCAATGTTCCTGCCATCGCTGGTGTAGGCGACTGCATTGGTGAATTGAACCGTACTGAAGTTGGCGAGCTGGTTGTCGACTGGCTCCGCGATGAACCACTCAGCATGGTGGCCGAGGAGAGGCGGTGCGTTGGCAGGAGCATCCAAGATCTTGTGGACGCCCTTGCCAGTGGTGTGATTCTCGACAATGGCAATGCCAGTGGAGAGTGAGTATGCCTCGACGCGCATTGTGACCACATCTCCCTCGGAGATGGCCAGCTCAGAGTCGTCGAAGATTGCATCGCTCTTCGGATACCACACGTGGAAGGCGCGGTACGTACTCTCGCCAGAGGCCTGGACGGTTCTGTAGGGCTCATGTCATTTCCGTATATCGTAGAGGAGTAACTTGACCTACAAGAGGATACCGACTTGGATCCAGTAGTTGTTGCTGCCTGTGGTACCACCAAAACCGACATTGATAGCAGCCTCCCAGTAATCCTCGGGCGGGAATCCGACAGGAATGGTGACCTTAGGGACCGTGAAGCTTGCCTGAACCGCGGTGAAGTGACCGGAAGAAGGAGGCTGCGGGAACACCACACCGGCCCACTTGTCATAGTTCGGAGAGAAGGACGTCGTGACAACGTTGCGCGTGAGCTTGTCAGGGGCGGTGGCCAATCCCGTCTCACCAGCGCCGGCAGCGAAAGTGAGGCCGGCGAGCAAAAGGCCGAGGAGCAGGGTAAGGCCTCCGGAGAGGCAAGTGGTGACCTTCATCTTGCGGCTGCGGTGAGCTTGCGGCTACGGTGAGCTTGCGGCTGTGAAGTGGAGAAAAGAGGATGTGGAGGAAGTGGAGGAGATGGATCGCAAGAGATGGAATTTATATGTGCCAACTTTGGCGCTAACTATAAATGGAAATCGCCATTGGCTGCAGGAGGAAGGCGCGACCGGGAACTGGCTGTAGACAGGTGGACCTTAAGTCGCGAAGTGGTCACCGTGGAGCTGTCTTGCGCGACAAAGGACACGTTCGACGAGGCACGTGTTCATACTATACGTTTCTCGTCAGTATATACCCGCAGTGAATGTTTGGGCGACCGAAAGAAAACATGGACCGGTCACTGTAGCAAGCATATGTTGTAAAGTCAACGTGGGAAGAACACAGACTAGCTTAGAGGGTTCCAGAAAACACCAAAAGGTGCTACGGGGGACAGGATAGATGATCGACGCATGATGTGTATGATTGGATCCCAATGTTTAGAAAAGGCAGTCAAGAGAGCGACGATCACTGAGCCAGAAGACATTGTACATACATATGGGGAATTTTGAGCAATCCTCACATACAATCGTCACAAAACTAGAGACCGAGTGGCCAGACAGTGATCAATTTGTGATTAACTCTGCCGCGAATGAGCGTCGACGGTCTGTACAAAGTCGGTATCTTGCCTGCTGTTGACGTAGCGGTAACTCTTTTCTTGAATGTTAGGTGCTTCAAGATCATAAACCATTTGATGAGTGCAGCAGAATACTCACAATCGCACCCCTCATCAAGTCTGCTTGGTAAGGGTTACGATTCTCGTGGTTGCTGTTGCTGGAGGTATTTATGTCGGATCAGAAGTCAGAAATTTAGTTTGGTTCCTGGGTCAAAGCTCACGAATGCTCAGGGCGCGCGCTCGAGCCTTCATGTTGACTTCCGGCGCCGACTCCAACAAGAATGGCATGTACATACGGATATTCACGTTCTGTTGTTCAGTCGGTCTTGGCCAACTGACTCGCGCCTGTTTTAAGCTTCAACGGTTGCAAGCGTTGTCTAGACCACGACGCGCCGTCCATAGGCATGATCATCGTGTGCAACGGCGATCAGCGGCTCAGATCATGCAGATCAGCCAGTCCCGTGCACGGCGTCAAGATGATCGTTGACGGACTCCTCCGTGACGGGGACGTCACAAATCGGGCAGGCAAGGAGTGTCTTCTTTTGTTGGGCGGCTGGAATGCTTTCCTCATCACTGCGTTCTCGTTTGGCACTCGAGCCCCGACCGTCTGGATTCGAGAAGGTTTCCCCTTGGCTGGGTCCAATAGAGCTTGGAGCAACCTTGATCCAACGGTCAATTTTGTTCTTCTGGCGGCCAGCTCTCTCCTGCGCGCTCAGGGCGTCAACCTGCTTCTTGGTCAGGTCGGGCTCTGCTATTTTGGCAAAGGCACCGCCGCAGTCTCTCTGATGCTGGGACCACCAGCTGTCAGACCTGCCGGGCGCTCGGTTCATGCTGCGCTTGACAAGGCCGAAGTAGGGCGGACTAGCTCGGCAGGGGCCATCGCACAACCACACGTGGGTGCGATAGCTGTCAACCTCGTCGTGAAACGTGTGGAAGACGGCGACATCGAAGCCGCCGTGGGCATTGATGGCGGAAGCGAGCATCTGAAACCCGGCGCCGTGGCCGGACGTGTCGTCGTCGTCGCGGGAGTGGCGCCAAGACGAGGTGACGAAGAAGTAGGCATGGATGGCTTCGTGCAACAGCGTGTTGACCGTGTCGGAGCGCGGGCGAAATTGGAGCAGCGGCTCGGACAGCTTGAGCCGGATGCGCGTGTATTTCCCCTGGGCGTCTTTGACGAGCTCGCAGATGCCAGCGCAACTATTGAAACCGACCGTCAGCCTCGGGCGTTTGATGCGACTTCATGCGGTTTCCCGTTGGAGCAATCTCAGGGAGGCGCAGGGAGGAGGGGAGCCCTTGCCATGCACGCGTGATGAAATGAGAGGTGCAGCAAGCCGCAACGCGTGGGGGGTGCGAAAAAGAAATTGAGGAAACGAATGGGCCGGTGGCAAGGATCGCCAGGAACACAGGCGCAAAGCAAACGCAGGGACGGGGCGGGCGCAGGAGGGGGCCGTGTTGCACGCACAGAGTCAAGCGCGACGACCAAGAGAGGTCGACGCGGGCGCGCAGCGTGGCGCGGAAATAGAGCGTGTCGAACAGGGCAAACAGCTCGTGGATGTCGACGGAGGGCGAGGCCGCGTCGGGGTCCAGCATGCGCGCGATGGCGGAGCGGGCGACACGCTGGTCGGGCGATAGGGCGTCCAGCGCGCGCATGGCCAGTGCCGCCGCGTCCTCGTCGGTGAGCGGCATGGCCGTCGCAGGGCCTGGAGCAGGCAGGGCACAGGGTCTGCGATCGCGCCCGTAGGGCTTAGGCAGATTGTGTGGGGAGCGGGCTGGCCTGAGGCATGTAGCGGCCGAGGTTGGGCGCCGTGGGCGCGGCTGTCGGGGCGATCACGCTCGCGGATGCTGCCCAGGGCCGTTGTTGACACGGGCATTCATTCCCTCGAGAGCCCTTGCGCCTTGCAATTCTTTGCTCTCTTCAGCGCCCCAGGCCCCGCTGCGGTGCGGCCGCGAAACGCCAGCTCACTGCGCGGTTTTCCACGTCGCACCCCGGTGCCGAAACGAACTCCACCGCCCGGCCCAGACATCCCGGCCCATGACGCAGAGCCCGCGAGCAGTGCTTCCTAAGCTCCCACCAATAAATTCCGCCGTCAAAACCACACCGCCGCCCCCGACACGCTGCTCCCGACGCGCTCGATGCTGCCACGCCGCCCCGTTCATGGAGCCCGGTAATGACGCCCACGCCCGGCGCGCTTCGTCGACGCACTCTGCCTCGTCGAGCAGCCGCAGGTCTGCCTCTGGAGCCACCGCTCGCCGCACCAGGCCGCGCAAGACCGCCTCGCATGCCTCGCTCGCCAGGTCTGGCGCCCCGACCCCGTCCGACAAGAGCCTGACCTCCTTTCCCTCGCTGTCGCCGTCGCCCGAGGCCTCGCCCATCGCCGCTCGCTTCAACGAGATCCTGCTGGCCCAGCCCCAGTCGCCGCAGCTGCCCCAGTCGCCGCAGCTGCCCCAGGACGACGCAGGCCTCCCCGACCCGCCCACCGTCCCCCGGTCCTCGAAGCCCGTGCAGTCGATAGTGGGAAGCCTGCTCGCCACCCTGCCCTCCTCCGACGACCGCTCCGCCCTCTTCGACGACACCCCGCAAGACGTCCGCAGCGTCCCCGGAAACCTACATCATGCGAGCGACGACCAGATTGAGCGGATGTTGGCCAGGTCTGGGCCCGTCAGCGTGGTTAAGCAGTTGGCGCAAGATCTAGCGCAGCGCGACGCCCAGATCACGGCGTTGCGAAGAAAGGCCGAGGAGCGGGAAAGAATCCTTCGGAAAATGCTGCAGGAGTGCGAGGTCTCGAACTTGGACATTGACGAGCGTCTGAAGCTGCTCGAGCGGGGCCCCACGCCAAACGGCGCCGGCGATGCCGGCGAGAGAGGTAGGAAGACGAAGCGACAGAGCCTGGTCGACCTCGATAGCGTGCACCCCGAGGACCCCATCGACAAGCACCTGGCTCGCGCCATGAGCGACGAGAATGACGGTGATAGGGAGTTGATGCAGGAGGATGACGCTTCACTGACCGCCTTCCCGGCCCTGAGCGACGATCACTCCGTTAACTCTGCCGATCTCGCCGCCACCAAGACAACCAAGAACTGGAAAAGTTACATCTGGAACGGCTCACTGGCCAACAAGAGAAGGAGCCAGACACCCAGTGTCACGAGTGCCTATGACGAGGACATCCAGACCCGCTCGCGCGCGTCCAGTGGCGCTCAGCGGAAACGCCTTAGCAGTGACTTGTTCGCGCCTCCATCCCAGCCTGTCTCCAAGGCCGTCGACCACCTCAAGAGATTGGAAAGTGGGGACGAGGCTTCATCCGTCACCTCTCGGAAATCATCGGGCTCTGTTGCCTCGTGGGCGATGAGGCTGGTGGCTGGAAACAACCAGTCAAACCGCGAAAATGACAAAATTGGTGCTTTGAGAGGCAGGGCCCCGCCCAATGGCACGGACCTGGAACGGTCGCAGCGCGCAGCTTCCATGGATTCGTCAAAGACAGACCCAAGGGCAAAAGCAAAAGGTCGTGGGGCAAGGACATCTTTGGGGCCCACGGGGACAATCAAGAAGACCGCGCCATCTGATTTACCAAGCTCCAGCCCACCCATCAACCGCTCTGTCAGCAACATCGGTCCTGTTGAGATGGACATGATCCTACCAGAGGAAACAAGACCGCCAACGTTGATGCCGCACAATTACTACGGACGTGATTCTGAATTTCTCACCGACTCCTTTGGCTTCATCTATGATCAACGACGAAAGAAGAGGCAGGCACAGGCACAGGCTGCCGCCCTGCAGAAGGGAAAGCAACATACGAAGAGCGAGTCTCTCGGCACTGCACGGGCAATGCTCACTTCCAGAAATAGTGACGAGGAGATGCCAGCCGAGGTACTAGAAGAGGCGTACACGCTGCCACGGTCGGAAAGCGTACTTTCGCAAACAGAAGACATCCAGTCGGCAAAACGTAGCTGGCAAGATTATCTCAAGATCGCCACGTTCCCAACCGAACTGCTGTCGCATACACCCGTTGCCGCGCCCATGACTACAGTCGACATCGAAGAGACGCCCAAGGCTCCCCAGGTGACCGTTCAGAACAACGCATCGTTTCCGGCTGTCCGTAACAACCCTGAGCCAGCCCTCAGCGTTGAATCAGGCGCCGCAGAAATCTCGCAACCAACCATCAGTGGCCCTGCCAGCCCCATCTCGGGCGATTTTGGCAGCTCACAGCCAGACCCTGTCAAGGCGCTGCTGGACCAGTTGACCGACTTGCACAACTCGCTACAGCGCGATAAGCAGACTAGATGGCATGAGTTTTTGCGAAAAGTGCGAGCGGAACGAAAGCGCGAGGGTGATGCTGTGGCAGCAAGCGAGGGACGCGGGAAAAACACAATGCCCGAGACTTTACTCACCGATGGAGAGATCATTGGAACCGCTGGATTGGGCAACAAGGGCAAAATCGGAAGAGCGAAGTGGAAAGAGTTCAAGAACCTCGTCTTGGGAGGGATCCCTGTCAGCTATCGCGCCAAGATCTGGGCAGAGTGCAGTGGCGCCGCCGCCATGAGGATTCCCGGATACTACGAGGACCTGGTGGCCAACGGAGTTGACGACCCAGTCGTGGTTTCGCAGATTCAGATGGACATACACAGGACCTTGACCGACAACATTTTCTTCCGCCGTGGACCTGGTGTCCAAAAGTTGAACGAGGTCCTTGTTGCATATGCTCGTCGCAACCACGCCGTTGGATATTGTCAGGGCATGAACCTGATCACTGCGTGTCTTCTCTTGATCATGCCAACTGCCGAAGATGCCTTCTGGATGCTTGCAACCATGATCGAGACGATACTGCCAGAGAGCTACTACGATCACTCGCTCTTGGCTTCGCGGGCCGACCAGATTGTCCTCCGGCAGTACGTGGCTGAGCTTCTTCCCAAGCTCTCTGCACACTTTGACGATCTCAGCATCGAGCTCGAAGCGCTCACCTTCCAGTGGTTCCTATCCGTCTTCACAGATTGCCTTTCCGCCGAGGCGCTTTACAGGGTCTGGGATGTCGTTTTGTGCATGCACGACGGCTCGACCTTCTTGTTTCAGGTTGCGCTCGCACTTCTCAAGCTGAACGAGAAGGCACTGATCGAATGCGACAACCCGGGCGCCGTGTATCACTACATCAACCAGCAGATGACGAACCACGCCATCAGCATCGACGGCCTCATCCAGGCCAGCGAGGCGCTAAAGAAGGTGGTCCGGAGGAAAGACGTCGAAGATCGCAGGACAAAGGCCATCGAGCATGAGAAGGAAGTCTCGCGTCAAAGGGATGAGCTCCGGGCCGAGAGGTTGAGCAAGCTGAAGGAAGGTGGTCCTTCTGCTGCAACAATATCAACAGCGGAAAGCGGCGGCGAATTGTCGTCGTCCTACGGGTCGGCCCCACCCCCGCAACTAGTCGTGCAATCCGCCACGGACGACTACCCAGAAGATGTCGTCAACATGTCCCCTCCCGAGCCGACGACCCCGACCACGATGACGTCGTCAGTGAGCTATTCGTCGTCCAGAGACGACGAAGAGCACCACCGCCACCCCTTGCCCGAGGAGCTGGAACGGAGCTTGACGCCCATGCCTATCGATGAAGAGCTGATGTGGAGAGCTTAGAGGAAAGAGGGCTTTTCAGTTTTCACCTTTTCTCAAATTACACACCACACCACCATGCGTACATGCCCAACGTCTTTCCTTTGTCGTAACGCCTGCGCAATCTTTTTTGGCTGCTTTTTTCCATCAGAGGGGTGTTGGTGCATATAGGACAAGACTTCGTTTATTTTATCGTATTTTTTTTGGGGGGGGTGGAGCAGTGGCGGCGGCGGCGGCGACCACGACGGCGCGGAGGAGGGCACCGGGGATGTTCAATTCTTTTCTTCATTCCTCGTCATCATGATGGATGGACGGAGCCTGGAAGCGAAAAGGGGAAAAACTTCTGGTCTTCATCAGTGTATTATTATTCTTCTTCTCCTTTGGAGCATCTTTTAGGAGCATTTTCCTGGCGTTGCGGTATTATCAACGTCGTTCAGTAGTGGCTCCCTCCCCAACGTTTCTTTGACGGTCATGGCACATGCACATTTTTATCCCTCTTCCTCTCTTTCTTCACTGCAGGCATCATGGCAGTCGGGAATGCGGTCACGATGATGGGCTTTTGCTGTTGCGTTTTTTGTACTTCCTCTTCCCCTTCAGCGCGCGGGCGGTTGCATACGGGTCTTTGTTTGTTTTTTTCCCTCGCCTGATCGGTCTGCTACCGTTGCTATATTCTAGATTGTGATACCTATGTGCGTGTAGATTCTTTTTAGGCGGTGGGTGTTGTTGGAAGCTGTACAACAGAGAAAAGGAAACCGCGTTGTTCTCAAGTCGTCATTAATGATCTGTTATTCGTGAGATGGGATGGCCTAGGCTAACAGAAACTGATTCCTGCTTGTGAGTCGCTACGAAGTAGGGCTGCTCCTGCCCACACTTTCCACCTCCACATTCAACACCGTTCAAGCTCCGAGCTGACCCTCTTCGCCTCTCCAGAACCAATAAAACATCTGCCAAACCCTGATATTCCTCCTCGGCATCCAGCTCTTCCATCAGCATTCGATAAAGCTCGGCAAGGATCGGATTCGTGAGGTCTTCATTCGCTGCCTCGTCAAGCCAAGGCAAGTGAGGCCCTACCGGATCGATCAGCCTTGACTACCTTAGAATGACGACGAGATATACCAACAATCTACCGGCCGTTTGAAGTTGTTACTACTATGGTCGGGCATCCTTCCGGCCGTCTGGAAAGAGGTCAGAAGGTGTGGGTGTGCTTCTCTCTTTGGTTCTTTCTCAACTTCCAAGTCCCGAAATGTTGCGGAGGTTTGTTGATAATCCAACGAAGTGGATGTGAAGCCGGGATCATCATTTACGGGCGGCACTCCAGAGCCCTCCAAGACCACCGCCGACGATAGCCACGACCGAGCTGTCGGTTCCTTTGGACCCCTCACCCCGGCTGTCAGCGTCTTGCGCCGACGCCAGAATGTGCTCCAGCTAAGAGTCCGAAGATTCCCAGCTACGGACTATTGGGTTTAGTAACATGCATCAGTGTACACGTGGTAATGCTCTTCTACTATGAGCGACGTCAGTGTTCAAGAAGAAGTAGGTCCCTAAAGCTTGTCAACTCATGACACGCGGTTCCTGAAAGGCGATGTTGGAATTCACTTAAACGGTGTTCACATTACAGGCTCAACACAGATTTCCCCTCCATCTCTCCTGGACCCAATGCCAGAGATAGCACACCGTATTCCGAGATCTCATGCCTGTTCGACGTGCGTCTGTCCCATTGGGTCCCGTCTTGTCATCGCTCGCTTATCGCTCCAAAATAGGCTAGTGGGAGGTGGTTGAACGCTGGCAAGTACCAGACACACACTCTCCCCGCGGCATCTCCCGGTCTATGAAGCAGGTATCAGTGTTATCCTGAAAGTCTCTCAGCCCGTCTCTAAGCTGGCCGGGGGTGCCCTTGCAAAGTTCGGGCCGAAGGACCAAGTGCCCAACTCACGGGGAGCACTGACGTCGTAGGATTGCGCCTGACCTCCATAGGCACCATCAAAGGGAGCTTGGACGCACTGTTTGGGCTTCCTACCGAGAGTCGCCAGGATTGTACCCGTGACATCATCCCATGCAAGAGCCTCTGCAGATAGTATTCTCGTGGCAGCCATTACAGACAGCGATACACTGTGATGGCATTGTGACTGTGTGGAGACTGCTGAGAAGACGATAATGAACGGTAACATTACCAACATTTGTTCCATTACAACTGCACACCACTCGCTTATTCAAGCTCAGGATACTCTCTCTCTTTCTCTCTCTCTCTCTCTCTCAATCCTTCACTCTTACCCACCTCATCCTACCCGTCCGCCTCCATCCATCTTTCATCCATCAAAAAGCCTTAACCTCCCCACCATTCATCATCTGCTCCAGCGCCTGATCCTCCAATCTATCGGCCGGGTGCACATTAACATCCTTCTTCCCGCCCTTATTCTTCTTCCCACCCTTCCCAACATGCTGGTCCTCCGCATACCCACCATGTTCCTCCCTCCCACCCCCACCATACCCACCGCCATTGGCCCCCACCCCAGCAGCATCGACGACATGCCCGTGCTTGATCGCCTCCTTCACGCCCGCATGCATGACCACCTCTCCCAGCGGCTCCTTCTCCCTCTCGCCCACGCCCTTCGTCGCCGCCGCCATGAGCGACTCGACCATCCACTTCGGCCCCAGCCGCCCGCCGACCTTATCTTTGACGCCCTCGCGTCCCCCTCCCCACGTCGTCCGAGTCCAAAACTGCGTGCGCACATCGCCATCTCGTTTGCCGTCGACGCCGCCGGGCCCGTGCGCCGCCGCCTCCTCGATCAGCTTCGCGTTCCGCTTCGTGAACCTCTGCTTGAGCCTGGGCGGCAGGAGGCGGGCCTCGAAGTTGGTGCGCCCGTGCACCTCTCTGATGACCCACTCGCTCAGCTCCCTCTTCGGCTCCGCGCGGGCGTGCAGCGGCCAGAGCGCCGGCACGGCCGGACGGACCCAGACGGCCCCGTTGCCGTCGGCGCTCTCCTCCCAGCTCCAGCGGGGCACGCCGATCTGCGGGAGGAGGCTGGGCAGGTTCCAGCCCCGGCGGCCGCCGAGGGCGGGCGGGTCGTACGGGAACCAGGAGCGGGCGGTGGCTTCGGCGCGGTAGCGGACCGAGGGGTGGAGGGTTTCGTTCGTGCGAGACGATGCCCACTGCACGTCGCTGAGGTCGTACATGCCGGGGGTGCGCGTGCGGCTGCCGCCCATGACGTCCAGGCGGAAGGTCTGCACGAGGGTCATCATGTCGAGTTCGAAGGCCGTGGCCCAGTTGACGCGATCAGTGTCGGCGCCGCTGCTCTCGTTGAGGAGGAGGATCTTGTTGCACGCATCCTTGTTGAAGTGGAGGAGGCCATCGACCTGGTCGCACATCCACGCGAGTGTGATGTCGTGCATCTCCGAGTCTGGGAGCAGCTTCGTGATCATGTGATTGAGCTGCGTGTCGCCGCCGCCGATGGATTCGTGGAAGCCCGGAAACCAGCATTGTTTGAGGTTGGGGGTCTTATTTCCGTCCATGAACTTTTCGTCGAGGTACCACAGCGTTGGTGTGAATGCGCCGCGATGCTCATCGAGAGCAAGAGCCTGGAAGGCATTCTCGACTCCTGTGGTCCATCAGCTTCATTCGAATTACTGATGAGAAAGTAGAGGTTTCTCAAAGAAACATACTGGAGTTTAGCGCGGCGTCGTGAAACTTGAAGTGGCCGTTGAACCAAGGGATTGCTCTGGACAACATGCTTTCTGGGATGCCTAGTGCACCCACCTAGGTTCGATATCAGCATCTTTTGGCAGAGCGCAGACAGAATCGGGAATCTTGAACTCACCGTGTCCCATACCCCGACCACCTTGATTGTCACCTTCGGGAACATCTTACTGTCCGGGCCCATTGTCTCGTTGGCGTCGTGGTGGAGGCGGTAGATGAACTGATAGTCATCTTGTTTCAGCAAGGGCTTCAGTGCTTTCACCTTGTCAATGAATTTGATGTTTCCGAGGTTGCGCTCTCCGGCCATGTTGCCGATTTTCCGGTAGAGTTGATAGGCACGCCTGAACTCTTCCAGGTAAGCTGGTCTGATCAATCCTAGCTCAGTCACAAGCCCAGCCAAAGCACGCGCCGTGAAAGCGCCCCGGGAGAACCCAAACAGAAAGATCTCATCCGCGGCATGGTTCTTGTCTGCGTGGTGGTAGTTGGTCGAGAGATAGTGATACGCTGTCAGGACATTGTCCTCAAGGCCTGCACCGAAGCTGCCCGATACGACATAGTCGACAATGCTGTGACTCGTGGTGCCGACACCAGACTGGTAGTATACAACCTGTGGGATTCCTCCGGAGTCCTCCGACTCGGGGTGAATCATGCGACTGAGTTTCCCAACGTTGGACAGCGTTGTTGAGTTGTCGTAGTGCCTGTCTGCCACTTGCCAACTTCCATCGCAGCAGATGACAAGGCGCTTTCTGGGACCCTTGGTGTTCTTATCCGACATGTTTGGGAATCTTGACAAATTTTGCGTCGTAGTGCTATGAATATAGTAGAAATTTGGAGATTCGATATGGGAGCCTGCTCGAACTTATAGGATCATTTGCAGGCACTAGATAGGGTTTATCTCATCATTCCGTGCACCACATGAAGGGGAGCTGAGAAGTGAAAACAGGAGGCAGAGATAAGTGCTCATGTGCAGCTGAGTTCCAGTCAGGCTATCCATGGGACTAAGAAAGTTTCAGCTGGCATGTGCGATTACATGTGCTAGAATGCTGCGAGCAAAATATCCTGAAATGGTTAGCCGACGTCTGGAATAAGCCAATCAAACAGCCGGAAGCCCGCGTTGGCATGTAAGCATCGCAGCAACTAGCCTCTCGTGGGGACCACTAATCGAGTATCTCGAAACCCCACAGCCATAGTGGGCAGTGCGCCGCGACACTCCTGAGAGGGGCAGTGGATCATTGGCTAAGAAGAAGTAAGAAATGCCGTGCCAACGGTCTCGACTAATTCTTAACAGGGAGAGTACGAATGCGGAAATAAGCGACCGACGGATGCGGAAAGGTGCCTCGTTCACTTGCATGCATGTGAAGTGACAGACCAGCTATCCAGAACCACTCGCGTTCGAGATGCTGGAGCTGGATCCGTTGCTGCGGCAAATGAAATGATTGTATCGGGTGCATCCCTCTTCATATGCGCAGGTGCCCTGTCATCGTATCCAGCCGTGGCTGTAACATCGGCGATATCGCTGGCGAGATAGCCTCATGCTCCGCCCTGGCTGGGATTGTTGGAGAAGTGAGCAGCAGCGCTTCGAGTTCTGCCTTTTCACGATCAGCAGGCAGCCCACTGGCCACGGAGGTGTTTTCCAGCTCGGCTGAGATATCTGCCATGGAGAAGGTGCAACTAGCTTCATCGGCTGCGCGAATCTCTTGGAAAGATTTCATGAAGCGATCGAAATCTACGCGTGATATCGTAAGCGACCAGAACGAACAGTGCCGAGTCTTCAAAGGGGGCACGCTTACCTTCAACGGTATCAAAACGTAGATCGAGGTATTTCATGTCAATCATGAGCGCTGCTTGCTGCGGGGTTGGCTGTGAAATGTTGGGAAGGTGGTCTGTCACGGGCGTCGATGCTTCACTGGTCTGAGAGCGTCTGAAAAAGCCCCTGAACGAGCCTTTGCTCTGGCCTCCCTTTGGAGGGAAAGCAAAGGTGAGCTTCACTCTCTTCTCTACTCTTCTTGACACGGCCTGGGAATTGAATCGGAGAATCGGGAATTCTACGTCTCTCCCTGCGTGATTACCGAAGAAGGATATGGAGTGATGGAAGGGAGGATCGCGATCCCGCCAAAATTTGACATGGCCATGGATAGCTTCGCCGTATGTACTTGAACCACTCCGGTTGCTCAGGATCAGGTGGAAGTTGAAGACGTCGACGAGATGCTTATGGCGAATGTCCTCTTGGAAACAGATAAAGGGCTCGTTTTGGACGAATTCGTAGACGACGCGGGTTGATGAAAAGAAGCGCTCCGAGTTCTCGGATCTCAGGGCAACCTTGTGGAGAGTGCTGAACTGGATGACGGATTCCTCGCCGTGGTCTTTGTGAAGCGTGAGAGGGAAAGCGTTGTGTGGCACTGTGTAGATGGTCAAGGCGTGGCTCTTTATGTGGACCGTGCGGGGGTAACGGCTTACGGTAGTGCACGAACTCTTGGTCCGAGCCCTGGATGGACCACGTTATTACACTGCCGTCCGGATGTGTGCTTTTCCGCCAGCCGAGCAACTGGATGTCGCGGGGCAAACTCGAGTTTTCTTTGGTGTATAATCGTCTAGTTGTAGTTAGAGATGGGCCACGACTATAGGCAACTACTTGACAAACTCACAGTGCCGCCACATGGGCAGGCAGAGACGCGGGTCCGAGAGACAACAGAGGGAGTTTCTTGTGGACGGGCAAAGGTTCTTGTGGTGCTTTTTTCGAGGAGGTGAAGCTGGTCATGGAACTTTGCTGCAGGCTGGGGGATGTGCTGGATATCGAGGGACTGCATGTTGAGCCGAGCGAGGAGGGCTGTATGGACGGGGTGGCCTGGCCGCCGACTTCTGGCGAATAGTGGGCTGGGGCACGATTGCGCGACGCCTCGGCTTTCCGCTTGAGCTGGTAGCGGCCTCGGACGTCGACACCGTGGTGGTAGTCGTCCGTCATGGAAAATGCGGCCGCGGAGTGGGTGTCGCTGCTGGGCTCGGTCCCGGCATGGTTTCCTGAAGGCAAGCTGACAACGGTCGCGGTGCAGGCCCTGCGGAGCTCGGGAGGCACTGTTTGGCGCGGCGCGGAAGCGGCATCTGGTGGTGGTGGGCCGCGGGCAGTGCGACTGTCGATTCTTGCTTTGAGTTTAGCGCGGCTTCCATCAGCTCCGGCGGACGAACACCCACCCATAATCCCGGAGCAGGCCTTCGAGCTGCTCGGTGCGCACCAGAAGCTCGCCGCTCAGCAGCAGCGCGCGTCCGGCGGGGAAGGCATTGCGGTCCAGGCTCAGCGCGCCGCCATCAGGGTCCAGGATCGAGTCACGGCGGAACAATATGCACTCGTGGATGAAGGCAGCGCATTCGTCCAGCTTGCGATCGCAAGTCTCGACGAAGGGCGCGTCGGCTTGGAGCGCGGCGGGCAGGGAGCGCAGGCAGACGAGGGCGCGGCTCAGGCGGGCGGCATGGCTGACGAGCTGCTTGACGGCGGCAGGAGTAGTCGAGGAGCTGGCCCAGATGATTTTCGAGAGCTGCGACGACTTGGCGATGGCCGAGTCCAGAAGGGCGGGCGTGGCCATGGCAGAGGATGGCGGCGGCAGCTGGGCAGCCGGGCAGCTGTGCAGCTGTGCGGCTTGGGCTGGGAGAAAGGCGGGCGGCTGCGAGGGCATGAGATGAGCGAGGCTTGAAAAAAAATCAAGGCAGCCGGGTCGCATCCATCGCGTGAGGAGCGGGCCGCGTCGCCCGCGTGGGCAGGACAGAAAGTCGGCACAGGCGCAGAGGTGGAGCTGCGCCGGGCTGCGCTGGGCTGCGCTGGGCTGCGCTGGGTGGCGGAAACGGCGCTCCTCCCGCTTATGTCTGCCGCTCAGCCAATACCAAGCCGGCGGCCCTCAGGTCCTGCTGTGCAGCTGCGCCGCCGTGCAGTTCCCGCTCGCCTTCCGCCTTCCGCCTTCGCTCTTGCCTTCCTCGGTACAGCCACCACCACCAGGTCGCCGGCCTGCGTCTGGACGATGCCCGGTACATGACCACCTGAAGCACCTGCTAGCATGAATTCGATCCACCATATTCCCGACGCATCCGCCTTCGTGAGTCTCCCGCCAACCCTCCCGCAGAGCCGCTGCTGATCGCCCACTAGACCAGAACCCAGCAGCTGCATATCATCAGGCGCACCATAGATGGCAACTCGTTCAACTGGCTCGTGTGGGCCGTTGCCGCCCTGGGCCTGCTTACCGATTCGTACAATCTGTTCACCTTCAATGTCATCATCAACGCCTTGTACTTTGTCTACTGGCCCGACGAGGACGACACTCAGAAGGAGTTCCTCATCAACATGACCACCCTCGTCGGCTCCATTGTTGGCCAGATTGTTTTCGGCATCTTTGCCGACAAGTTCGGGAGAACCCGGCTGTATGGCGTCGAGTTGGTCATTGTCATCTTCTCCACTTTGGGCGTCGCCTCCGCCTCCAGGGGCGAGGGCTCCATGGACATCCTCGCATGGCTCCTGGTATGGCGTTTCGTCATGGGAATAGGCATTGGCGCTGAATATCCGCTTAGTGCAGTCATAACTACCGAGTGAGTTCATCATGTCCGGAGTGTTTCTCCAAGCCTCACGTTGACAACCGCACAGATGGTCTCCTACACATGCGCGTACGCGTATGATGGGCTCCGTGTTCTTGATGCAGCCGCTCGGTCAGCTCATCGCAAACCTGGTAGGCCTCGGCGTCGTCATGGGCTACAACAGCAAGCACCAGCTCGACAAGTGTTCAAGCCCCAGCATTGGCGACTGCCGCCAACAGGTTGACAGGATATGGAGATGGGTCACCGGCGTCGGCGCCATCCCAGCTCTCCTCGCCATCGTCTTCCGCTTCCTGATCAAGGACCCCGGCCTCTACGAGCTCGAGGTCCGCAACGACGGTGACAGCGCCTTCAAGAACACCGACGAGGTCTACGGCGGCGGCATCCCAGAACCCGACTCCCACGGACCCCTCAGGCACACGAGAGGCAGCAGTCACTTCATGGACATGGGCGAGCCGCCCCTCCCCGTCCAATTCTCCCGCGCCGACCTCTATGACTACTTCATCGCCCAAGGCAACATCTGGTACCTCGTCGGCACCTCGACCACCTGGTGGCTGGTCGACTTCGCCTTCTACGGCCTGGGCATGGGCAACCCGCGCACGCTCGCCAAACTCTGGCTCAAGGGCTCCGAGCGCAACGCCCGCGTCGCCGCCCTAGGCGGACGTGTACCAACCTGGAACGTCCTCGCCCCCAGCGGCCGCCTCTCCGCGCACGAGCACAACGACGGCAACAACATCCACGCCGCCCTCGTCGAGGGCGCCAAGCGCAACATCATCACCGTCAGCATCGGGTCCGTCCTCGGCTCCGCCGCCTTCATCCTCCTCGGCGACCGCCTCCCGCGGCGGCGCGCCCTGACGCTCTCCTTCGTCGCCCTCGGCGCCCTCTTCCTCGCCACCGGCGGCGCCATCTTCGCGACCGGCGACACGGCGCGCCACGCCCTCTCGGTCGCGCTCGTCGGCCTCATCTACTTCGTCTTCAACCTCGGCGCCAACACCCTCACCTTCGTCCTCCCCGCCGAGATCTTCCCCACGCGCTACCGCTGCGCGTGCCACGGCGTGTCCGCCGCGTGCGGGAAGCTCGGCTCCGTGCTCGTGCAGTGGATACTGCGGCGCGCCAGGTTCGAGGGCGTCAAGGCCGACGACGTCGCCGGCGAGAATCTGGGGTACGTCTTCGTCGTGTTTGGGTGCGTCATGCTGACCGGGACGCTGTTTTCGTGGGCGTGGATACCCGAGGTGCAGAAGAGGGGGAGGATGAGGGATGGAGACGACGAGGAGCGGCGGCGGCGGCGCGGTTGTTGTGGTAGTAGTGGTGGGCTGTTGAGGGTTTTGCCGAGTAAGACGCTGGAGGAGCTGGGGAAGGGGATGGAGGCGGCGAGGGCGGAGAAGGTGGCGGTCGAGGCGAGTTCGAGCATGGTGGGAGCCGGGTCGGCGGAAGAGGAGGGAGTGGAGATGGGAGATGTCAGAAGGAGGAGGGGGAAGGATTGGAGGAGGTGGGTCAGGAGGGTTTGATTTTTATCTATGGCTGTGTGTATGTATATATGAATGACTGCGTTTGGGGAGTTCTCTCGGAGTTTGTGCTGCTGCCTTCTTTCCTTCCTGGAACTCTCCTTGTTATAATACAAAGCCCTGGATCTACGATGATAGACGTATAGTCCCTATCGTTAATGATGGTGATGATGCAATAAGGTAAAAATGGATCACACCTCCTCCTGTTCCACCATCTCCCTCGCCCCTTGCTTCAACCGACTCTGGTCAGCCCACTCGGAGTCCCCCTCGTCTTTCAGAATCAGCGTCAGCCGCACGATCTTCCAGAGCCTCGTCGTCTCAGCGGGATCTGTGGGGGGGATCTGGTCTGCTGATCCTGATTCTGATTCTGTTGGTGCGGCGGTGCTCGTGCCGTTGGGGTGATTTTGCTGGTGGCCTTGGTGGTGAGGTCGTTGCTGTTGTGGCGACTGCGTTTGCTGTTGTTGGCCTTGGGGCTGTTGCTGTTGCTCTTGCTCTTGCTGTTGATGTTGTTGGTCTTGGTGGTCGTGGTGAGACTGGCCTCGAAGGTTGGAGTGGTGATGAGCTTGGTGGCACGGGTCCTGGCTGTGGTTGTGCGAGGGATGTGCAGTGTTCTGGTATTGCCCTGGGCTCTGGCTTTGGCCTCCTCGACCGTGACGTTTGGCTGGCATAGCGATTGTGTTGATTACTCTTGCTAGGTGGTTGGTGTAGTTTTGAGGTGCAGATGTGAGATGGAGTGATGGAGTGATGGGCTTTTGTTTTGGTTGCGCGGGTGAGAATGTGGTGTGTTGCAGGTGAGCCGTGTATGTGAGGAAAGAGGTCGGGGCCGCTTTCCGCATGTAGGCTATTTTGACCTGATGATTCTGGTGGTCAGAAGCGGAAGGGGCGGCGGACTGGAGAAGGGTCCGCGGATCGTGGAAACTTCAACGGCCAAAAGTGACGCGTTTGCATCAAACAAATAATTTCTCAGTTTGATGCAACAAGTGGGCATAGCCGCTTCGGTGAGAAAGGCCGAAAGCACTCCCTCCTAGCATTCCTCCGCTTGCACTTCCCCCTTCGTCTTCTCCTCATCCTCTAAGTTGCTCTCATCCGCCCACTCAACCTCACTTTCTGATACTCCCACCTCCGGACAGATGGTGTGGAACTTCTTGCAGTTGGAGGTGAAATCTGAAAACCCAGTGTGACGTTGTACATGGTTGGAAGGGAATCCGGGAGCCACTAGATGGTTCTATGAGTCACTGGCTGTGGTGTCACTGCACCAATGTGTGGGAAGGGGACACTTCCGACTAAGTTCAACTTTCTCACTGAATATGCTGCAGCCTTCGTTCAGTTACGATGATCTCAACCAGCTCTCAACCCTCGCTTTCCTCCGATCAAAACTTGTATTGCTATGACCGACCCTCTAAGCGGCTTCACGGCGGCAGGGACCAAGCCCGCTTGGGTCTTCTTGCGGTTCATTCGCTCTGCAAGCGTGACCATAGAGTCTAGATAGACTTATCGATTTGATGTATGCTCATCGTTGACAACTGATGTCTATTTAAGATACGAGCCACTGCGAGTCATGAGAGATGCATGGTGCCTACCTAAATGCCGTGCACCGCACCGTCGGGATTGGCCAGCAAGCGCATCGGCGACAACAACAATTGCCGACAACAGATGACTC